AAAAAAAAATCCCCGTCCCGAAGCGCAGCTACGGGACCGTCAAGATCACCACACGCGTCGAACGCTCCTACTCCAACCGGCGACGCATCCAGGTCCTCGAATTCCTCGAGCTCCATCGTATCCCCATCACCCACACTCCGGCTCCGGGCAGGCCGCCTCTACGGGAACGAGAACGGGATATCGGGGAGTCGGGGAGGAGAGAAGCGTCGTCGCCCCAGGGTACCGACGACCGACCTATCTTGAAGCTAGCAAGTATTTCATGGTCCCGGAGTCGACAATAGAGAGCTGGTGGAATAGGAAGCACAAGATATTGGGAATTACGGGAAGCGGTTCTGCTGCTTCGCAGACGCAGAGGCCGATGTCCGATTTGGGTCGCGCCGGGGAAGGGAGGGGGGGGGGCACATGGCGATATCGGAAGCTTCCACAGTATCGGGTGCAGCCACAGCGTCATAATCAACGCGAATGCCCCCCTCTCGAGAGTTCCTACAGCATTATCCTCCGATGCATTACCTATCGTCCCATCGGATTAACTTCTCTGTTAAGCCAGTTTTCACCCAGTTTTCACCCTGAAGGAGTGCCCACTGTTTAACTAACTATTTTCCTTTCTTTTTTCTTTCCTCGTCGATTGCTACCCCTAGACTGAGTGGCTGTGGTTGTTTGAAACTTCCCGAGGAGGGGGTTGATAACACCAAACGTACGGTCACAGCGTCCGTCTCCTTCGTCTTTCACCTCTCCACCCGCTATCATTAGGCACATCCATCACCTATCTAATTATCTTGAAGCTCTGGTTTCTGATCAACTTCTCGCGCGCCTCTCCCCACTGTAACCTCATTTCTTTTGTCCCAGCGTGTAACCCTTATCTCTACCTCACCCCTATCTTCCTCTCCTCCTCCTTCACACCTCGCATTGTCACAGGAGATGAGATAGGAAACGCCTCTACTCCATAGTCAATGTGACCTACCCTGCTTCCATTCGTCACGCCATCTGCCCGATACTCGAGATCGTCATATCTTACGAAATAAAATTTAATTATTTACTCCCTCTTATCTATTGTCCCCTATGCCTTGGATCATACAGTTACTGTACCAACCCCCCTTCTCCCCCTTCTTTGAATAGTCAGACACATATCCGTTTGTGGGCGGGACATCGCCGAAAGCGAACATGGGTTGTTGCCTATCACCTGAAAAGTACTCTCACAGCTCTAAGCCCAAGTAATGCGGATGGCTAAAGAATATGGGTTGCGTCGGGAGAGCTACCTAGTTCGGCAGTCCGTCCGCATATTGCCGACTATCTCCGAACACCTGATTTACCCGCCCGTCAACTCGGGCCCTGAAATGGATGATAGTTCCTGCATACCTGCCGTTTAACACAACCCCACCAATTCCTAGCTGTCGGGACAATCCTCCACGTGAGCTTAGCCGAGCCGTGACGTCGTACGGTGTGTCGATGGTCGTAGAGCCAACAGAGCCAGCATGAAAGCTTCCGCCCGTCTCGTTATCCATCATGTCCCCTCTCGCGCCGGCTAATGTGATTCTACTCTTTCCCCATCTCTCTCTTACACCACGCCAAACTCGGATGGCCTTCCATGGTGGGAAACCTTGGGCCGGCCGTTCGTTGGTCAACCCGCCATGGCGCCTTTGGGCAGGACAACCCAATACCCGCCACACGAACAGCGCCTCTGCTGGGACATGACGAACATGAAGCCTGCCCGCACACCAGCCACATCCTCCATGACCGCAGCGCACCGCACACACCTCCTCCACTGCGGCGTGGCATCCTTGGACGCCTCGTCTCCCTTGCCCTCTTGATGGTTCAGCCCTTGTTGCGACGGAGCAGGTGTAGGAGAAGGAGGCGTTGTTAGGCTGGCGGGCGGCGTGATCTCGACGCGCCGGAACACGTCCACGTACCGCCGGGCAGCTCGCCGGGCCTCCAACGTCCGCTTCGAGTCCTGTATCTCGAGGAGGCTGAAATCCGCGAAGAAGAGCTTGGCCGGGTCGGTCTGGGTCTTGAGGGCGGGGAGGTCCTGGGTGAAGAACTTGCGCAATACGGGGAGGAAGGGCGGCGGCGGCTGGCCGCTCAGTAGTATGTTCAACTCGGCGTGAAACTGTGCGCTCTTAATCTGGGCCTCCATGTGTTTCTGCTCCGGTGCATTCCCGCCTTCCTTCTTGTGGTGCTGCGCCGCCAGGCTGGCGAAGGCCGACTGGTACGAGACCCGGACGTCGCTAGTGAACGTGTTGAGGAGCCGTTCAACCTCCTGGACCTTGACGAGACTGCTGGACGTGATCTGGTGCAACTTCTGGTATGCCCTGTGGAGCTCGTGGGGGAGCTTGGAGTGGCTGGACGGATCGTTGGCGTTTTGTATGGCAGCCCGGCGGTCGTAGAACTCGATGGCCTTGTTGGAAAGGGCTTCCATGTGGAGCACGCGGCGGCAGACTGACGACAAGAACCCGCGGGAGGAGGAGCATAGGAGAAGTTGAAGGGCCGGGTTGGATTGTGACTGAATGTAGGACGAGACCTCGTTGAAGCGTGACGGTTGGAGGAGGTCCATGAATTGGGGTTCCTGGAGAAGGGAGTAGAGAGAGTCGACGAGGTAGGAGATCACGTCGAGAGACCACTTCACGCAACCGCTCAGGGCGTCGACGACCTCATGTTCATCCAGGGGGCTCAGTTTCTCACGCATGTTGCTTGGCGTGTTGATGGCGAACGTGATGAGGATGATGGTGTTCCTAATATTGAGCGACAAGAGCGCGAACTTGCCGCTGAAAGACCGCGGTTTGAATTCCCCTCGAAAACCCATGTGATTGATGATGCTCAAGCACAGCTGCAGCGAGTGATTCCGCACGGGGTTGTCGTTCTGGGTTTCTTCCGAGTAGTCGACAGGGACTTTGAGCATTCGTACGATTTCATTGACCCAGTCCCGGGTAAAGTCTTTTTGAGGCACGACATGATTTAGCGATAGCCGAGACGGACGATGTCGCCACGTAGCGTACTTACTCTTCTTTTCGGCGTATGGCCTTGCCACGGCGAGAATATCATCGCAATTAACATGGTAGAAAGTAGCCGCGGATGCTGCCACGGTCAGCGCCGCGATGACGGCGGCGTACGTAGCTGGTTCTGATGTGTGAGTACAGGTACTGTCAAACAAATCTAGATTGTTATTTGGACCTACCATCCTGGTTCGAGTCACCGATATTATCCATGGGATAATGGAGCCTGTTCCACTTGACGCGACCGTCTTCGAGCATTTGGGCGACAGAACAGTTTGTTGGTGACAGGGCTGCCTGTAAGCCTGCAGAAACTGTCAGTTTACCTACCACTAAGGCGGCGAGAAGGGTGTGTTGACGAACAGGGCGATTCTTCCGCGAACGTGAGGCCCGCTTGATGAAGGGTCATGACCCTGTCTAGATTGGTCTCGTTATACGTCTCCTGCAACGTAAACCTGTCTCGGTACTCGATAGACCCGTCGCTAAAAGCTAGACAGAGGCGTTTCCCGAAGTTTATGGTGTGCATGCCGATGAGGATTTTATTGTTGATGATAATTGGATCGAGTTTCTGAAGGCAGTTCGGGTCCTAGACAGAAGGGGGGTAATAAAAATAAGAATGAGCATTCTTAAGCCAACCCACTCGGAAGACAGAGGCTTACCTTGTCTGCCGGCGTCGTGTCGTGATTTGTGCGACTGCTCATTTGTTCAAACGCAGGATGTAAGGCGGGAGGCGGCTCATGGGTCAGTTCCCACCGATCGATGATAGTTTGCGTCTCTTGGTAAGGAGCGTTGAGCGCGGGTAGGTAAGTGCGGACGACGAGAACATTAATGGGAGCCCATGGCTGACCGGGGCTGTCCATTTGAGAAGGTAGGAGTTCGATGTGGGATAGCTGCGTCATGAAGGGATCGCAAGGGGTAACTCCAGAAAGCCCAGGCATCCAGGTAGACACAGCGAGGTGCTTAGCATGCATGGTCGGGTTCAGAGGCTGCGCTCCGGGAGGTACCTTGCCGTCCGACTGAGGGATGCCCCACGATATTGTCACACGCAGTAACCGGAGCTGCCTCGAAGCCGTGGCTAGGGCGATGAATATCTGATCTAAAGTAGACGAAGAAGTAGACAGAGGTTAGACAAATGGATACGGTGACTAAAGGAAGGAAAAGGAACATCCTTACTCCTGTCGCTATGTAATGACGCATGGGTGATGAGGTCGTCGGACGAACTGAGGCTCTCCAGTTCCATGGTGGTTTCTTCAAACCTGTTACTGCCACTCTGCATCCAATAAAGTCTCAGAAGACCGTTGGCAGTAACACAAAGAAGAGCACTCCTAGTGGGATTCGGGTGCCATGGGCCAAAGGCGTGCACAAAAGAGCTTTCGTAGCGATATCCAGTGGCATCTTTCACCGCTGGGCCATGCACCACATGATACTAATTTTGGACGTCAGTTGAAAACAACAAAAAAGTCGGCCCGAGACAATCGAGAGGCCAAGTCAATAGAAATCAGCAGGGACTCGTAAAAACTCACGTTCTTGTGCTGTGAGGCAAGGTTAAGCCAGAAGCAGCCGACGACGGCGTGGAGGTCATCGACGTGGTCGTCGTCCCACTTGCGCGTAGGATAGGGGCGATTGAGAGCGCCGGTGAAGGCGACGATGGCAACACGACCGGTGGCATCGATTACGGCGAGCTCGTGGGCGGCGGTGGGGGCCCAAGCCAGGTGAACGATGGGGTTGGAGGAGGTGGCGGTGATGAGGTCGATGGTGGTGGGTTCGCTGAGGGCCCAAGAGCCGTCTGCTGGGTCGGCACGCGGGACCCTCGCCTGAACGGATTTTCCGTCGGGGGAGATGGAGGCAATGACGCCCGATTTCGACCAAGCAATGGCCCTGGAAAGATGTCGGTTGTCAGAAACTCATCGATCATCTCATGAAGGGGGAGTAAAAAAGGAGGCAAAAAGTACTGGCAGCAACCCCGGGTCCGGAGATCATCCACACGTTGATAGAGCTGCTTGCTCGGTGTGCGGGCATTCGAGAGCGATAGACCAACACCTTCGCCAAAGAGGTCGTCGACGTCGAGCTGGTCGACTTGCATGGGTCCATTCATGCTGCTGCTGTCAAGCATGAGCGGCATCTTCGTGGCTTCGGTCATGGGATGGCGAGGGGAATCGAGTGTTGTCGTCATATAAGGTCGGCGCAGGGATTCGCCGGATGCTGCATATATGTTCTATTGCGGAGAGGTGTAATGTGTCGTGATTATGGTAAAGTTGCCGATGAGACATCTGCATTTACCAACACCTTTTTATTTCCCCTTTTATCACAGCCCCATCTCGAGTGTTGAGTCCGTCAAGGTCGAAAGGGAGATGAAGAGGAGAGGAAGGGATGAAAAGACATCCAACCCGCTGGCCGGACTACATTAATAAAAGTAGACGTATGGATGTAGAGTCGAGAGCTTTTGCAAACAACTTATTTAAGTACAATAAGAGAATGCTTGGCTGTGGGCGTAGGGATTCAAGTTCAGGACGTTCAGTTGGGATTTCAAGACTCTTAGAGTCGAGGCGAGAGGAAGGGACAATTGGAAGACAGTGCGTCTAGCTCCAAGTATCCACACTACCTAGCTACGGAGGTACAACGTAGGTGAGTAGTCACCAAAGACACAGCCACTTGTGGCTGGTGTGGCAGGAAAGCAGACCAACGAATAGGATTGGAGGGTATGATCAGGGATGATCAACATGCCTTGCATCCGTAGCCGGGCAACGCATATGTAACCCCAGTCTCGCCAATCGTCATCAACGGGTCCTGGCTTCTGTCTCAGCCGCTTTTTCTTTGTTGTCTTATTACCAGATCTCCTTGTATTACTCCGGACAAAATACTTTGTACAAAAAAAGAAGAGAAAAAAAAAAAAAAAAAAAACCTCCCACAGGGGCAAGCTTCTTGCTTTGAACATGCAATAGATCAGCCTTCGTCGAGGACGTATGGATGCAAAGTTGTATGACCAGGACAATCAGGATAATACCAGATGCTCCCTGGGTTCGGATACTTCTCCGCGTAAAGATACTTTGAACCAAATGTTATGAGCTTCAAGTGATATTTGGAAGATTTTTTTTTTTTCACTAAGGTACGGCGTCGTCTAGTACCTCATAGGCAGGCACTTTGTAATTACATACCTGGTAGCATACAGGGCAAAAATGGAGAGGGAAATGGACATTGTTTTGCCCTGGGGTCGGTGCTAGATTACCTGGATCATGTGGTTCGACGTGTTAGACCCTTGTTCGATAATCACACAAATACTAAGGTAGTATTGGTACTTACTGATAGACCCCAAATCCGTGAAGATACTTTACTCCGATACAGAAGCCCAAGCCAGTACAAACATAGACCCTGCAAATACGGGGAGCAACGTCACGAATGGATGTAGCTTGTATGTATATTCTCCATTTGGTTACCACCCTCTGAGATCCCCCCTGAGATATTTCGTCTGGACTTTGTTGTTTTCCCTCCCCATATCATCTGGCCCCCAGGAACATCAACCTCCACCGCCTCCCATCCAGCTCCCAACGACACATTTTCCAACTTCCAACACCACCCATAAAATAACAGACCACATTGCTGCTTCATCTTTAAACTTCCGCCACATTTTGCTCTTTCTTTCTTTATCTTTATAGGACCTTCTTGAATAAGGTAACGACGAACAACCTTCAAAGACAACAAGCAACACACAAAAAGACAAACGAAAACGAAAAGACCATTCCGCTCGAACAACGAGCGAACAACGAGCGAACAACGAACTTTCTTCTTAACAACCGACCACACCGACGACTTTACCACCTAATTTGCCATGATATCCCCTCCCTGATTTAATCCCGCGCCTTGTGGATTGAATTGGCCACTTCAATCCACTCCTACAAATGCTCAACCTCGTATTCCAAGCCCCCAGTTAGAGGTGCCCTCCGTTCTTCGTCCTACAGAACTTTTCTAATTTCCCTCGGTCGCCAATTCCACCCAACCCGAAAAGACAAGGCTGCCCGAAGACAAAACCAAAATTGAAACGGGAACACCAAAACCTGTGTCTATACACCATTTTATAGCCACTGCAAGTCCAACCAGCATGGACTTCCAGCAACGCCAGCTTGGCGATTCACTCCGGAGCGAGATCGCAGCCACACCCTCGGCCACGGATTTCTCCTCGTCGCCCGACTTGTTTGCCGCAAATCGGCATTCCCTACCTTCGTCCCCTCTCTCCGAACTCTCCAAATCGCCTTCTCTACCTGCCTCACCTATCGTCACTCGAGACGCCTGCAAGGACCCTTGTCGCTACCCTTCGCCTTCATCATCCTCGCCTTTATCCCCTCCTGCCATGTCTTCGGGATCCCAATCGCCTGCCCACGTCGCTGTCGATGTCACCTCCGATTCCATCAGCGTCAATACCAAAGCGATCCCCAACGAACGTCCGGAACCCCCCGCGAAACGTCGCCGCATCGCTGGCCCTAAAGAGCGCACCACCGAGTACCTCGATCTCGAACGCGTAAGGAGGGATCATGGGTTCGACGAGAGGAGCCAGCGCAATCTCGATCGCCTGGTCGGCGTCTTGCGCAAACAGAAAAAAGTCGTCATTATCGCAGGTGCCGGTATCTCCGTCTCGGCAGGCATTCCCGATTTCCGATCCAAGGAGGGACTCTTCGCCTCCCTACCAAAAGACCACAAGGTGAAGGGATCGGGAAAGCACCTCTTCGACGCTTCGGTGTACAAACACGATTCCACCACGGAGAAATTTCACAAGATGGTCTGCGACCTAGTCGGCATGGTCAAGTCCGCCGAGCCGACGCTCTTCCACCATATGCTCGCCTCGCTCGCCGCAGAGGGCCGCCTCACGCGTCTCTACACACAGAACGTTGACTGCATCGATGCCAACCTACCCCCTCTGGCCACCAACGTGCCCTTGAACCCGAAGGGTCCCTGGCCGAAGACCATCCAGCTCCACGGCAGCGTCGAACAGATGGTTTGCTCCAAGTGCGGTACCATCCGGCCCCTTGCGCCAGAGCTCTTCGACAGCCACGAGCCCCCGCTGTGCGACGAGTGCAAGACGTTGGACGCCGTTCGTACTACTTACGGTGGTAAGCGGAGCCACGGAATCGGCCGCCTGCGGCCTCGAATGGTGCTGTACAACGAGTACAACCCGGACGAAGAAGCCATCGGCAACGTCTCGAGCGCCGACCTCAAAGGCCGCCCCGATGCCGTCATCGTCGTCGGCACCAGCCTGAAGATCCCCGGCGTCCGGCGCCTCGTCAGGGAGCTGTGCCAGGCCACCCGGAGCAAACGCGGGGGCTTCACCGCCTGGATCAACGTCGACTCGGAGCCTCAACACAACGATTTCAAAGACTGCTGGGATATGGTGGTGCGTGCCAAGGCCGACGACATTGCGCATTTCGCCCAACTGCCCCGGTGGGACGAGCCCGCCGTCGACGGAAACGCCATTTTGCTGAGCGAAGAGGACGAGGAGCTGCGGGAGCAGTGGCTGCGTCGTAATAGGTTCGAGGTCCAACTGGGCCGTTCGTCCCAGGAGCCGCAGTCGTCGTCGTCGTCCCCGCAGTCCAAGATCGAGGTCGTGCTCAAGAGCGGCGTCGACAAGGTCCAGGGCATCCCTACGCCGACCGCCAGTCCGAGGATGCGCCCGTCCTTGCCCGACCAAAAGCAGCAGCCCAGGGGCAAACAGAGCAAACTGTCCTTTGGGAGGAAACCCCTTCCGGACTCGAGCGGCGGCGGCGACGCGACCACCAAAAAGCGCAAGAAGTCGACGGCCAGCAAACCCGCCAAGCGCACCAAGACGGCGGCCGCTGCTCCGCCGCAGAAGAACACGGTCACGAAGGCTTTCCGATCCGTCAAAATGGGCGCCGTTGCTATTCCATTGGAAGAGAAACCCAACGGTCCCGCCGACCCCATCAAGATCGAAGACTCTACTTCTGGGAAGCCAATATCCTCCCGCTCCTCTCCCTGTATCGGCGTGTCCACGGCGACCTGTAAGGGTAGCATTGTGGCTGCTGGTTCCGAACGTCCTACGACCCCGACACACAACTGCGCATCCATTGAGGATACAGAGAATACCATTTCCCCGACCTCGAAGCCTCGGGGGATGGAAAGGCTGGTAGATTAAGGCGGTCTGTGTCTCGGCACCTGTCGCAATTCCAAAGCGACGTATTACATGTAATTTTTTGCCTCTGAGTGGTGGCGGCCCAGCCACGCTCAGAAGATGAACATACATAGAAGTATGTAGCAATTGCTTTTGCATCTGCTTTTTTATATATATATATAACACATCACCGCAACCCCCTACAGCTTTCGGTAGTTTTTGGGAATTGGGATTTGAGTTGGCACACCTCCAGCATGTCGTTTGCAAACCCCGCCACGGTTTCTGGTCTATATCCTAGGGAACTCGAGTTAGAGAATGGGAAGGGTTGCGTTGTTGGAGTGACACGTGACACTCTGGACTTTGGGGTACAGATGGAGTAGTGATGGAGTAAGGCGAATTCGTTATGTAACTTAGTCGGGGCTGGAGTTCTTACGGAGTATTACTCCTTCAGTCCTTTGCCTCCAAGGCAGGGGGGAGAGACTCTTGGGGCATTAGGATTCCTATTAAACAACGGGGGAACGGACGCCTTCTTTGTCTGTATAATACCTAGAAAGAATTTGGTTACCTCAAAATTCCGTCACTTGTGCAGACATGAGCGTAGACACACACATGTTGATGTCTCGAGTCCTAGAATAAGCAGGAATAGAAATGATCTATTTCCACACGAGCCATCGAATCAGTGGTTCAATCTCAAATATGCTAGGGATGTTACAGGAATTTCGGGTTTATTGCTGTTCTGTATGGCGCATCTCCGTCTATAACACAGGCTTCATCGGGCGCCAGGGCAACTGTTTGTTGCTCTCCAAACCACGGCGGCCTCATGTGTATAAGCCCCTCGGCCCGCCCATTCGCAGAGGTGGTATGATCCCTCTGGACAAGAAGAAAGAAGTAAATAATGAAAAAAAGGCTCTACCAGGAAAACGGAACACACCCGACTCTTCCCCACCCAAGCTTGACCAAGTCCCAACCCAGCATCCATCCCCCCCCCAATGCACACGCGGCTAGAACCAACGACGAGGCTACCACGTCATGTGACATTTGGAAGACCATCCAGGCCAGCCCTGTCCAGCAGCCTTTCCCGTCAGGGCCCAACAGAGTACGACCAGAAAAAGCCAAAACAAAACGCACTTAAATATCCGACCCATCATTAAAACAAACCGCTATCTCCATCCATAGCGGGAGCCTGGCCGACACAAGATGCCAAAATTCTGCCAACTCCTGAAAAAACAAGAGGTTTCTCGTCCTGTAAGCCATGCCATGCCATGCCGGGCTGGGGGGTGTATGTACTTGTATCAAAAAGGTTGTTCCCTCTGCTCTCTCTCACGAAGTATTCAGGCCCGCCACCGTCCCACGCTCGTTTTTTTTTGTTGACCGGAACGCCTCGCCCATGCAAAACAATCAATGTGGGATATCACCTGCCCTCCGGGCTTGTATTCTGGGAAGCCTGCGGGAACACTGCCCTGCCTGGCCTAATTTAGTTGGTGGGCGTGCCGTTAGCAGCGGCCTTCGCTGCCTGTTCCTGCTGTAACTTCCTCTCCCTGTCTCGAATGGTCCTGTATAAATAGCTGAGCCGGTCGGCCGTGACGGGATTGCTCGTACTGTCGACTGGCCATAGATTTGCCAAGAATTCCCTGCAAGAGACAAAGGTCAGTATGTTACCCTCTTTGATACGGGAAAAGCAAACCGAGGAAAAAGAAAGAAAGAAAAAAAGAATCATACCAGAAACGGTTCTTAAGTGATACATCGGAATCTCGGACAAACTCGCGGTCTAAAAAGTCGCCGATAATGACGAGTTCTGCACCAAAGATCTTGGCACGTTCCTTGCTGGATCGGACTTTATCCTTGGTAGTGCCGAGGATCTTCTCAAAGTTTTCGCGCACGGGTTTCAGAAGATACCAGAGCATCGCGTCGGGATCCTTCTCCCTCTGTTCGCTGCTGTCGCCCATGCGACGGAGCTCGGCCAAGCGGGCTAGCGCCTGATTCCGGCGTTCGCGCTCTTCTTGATTCCCCTGACTGTCACGACGATCCTCCTTGGGACGCGCGTCATCAGCACGCCGATGCTTATGGCTGCTGCTCCGATCGTCGTCGTCACGATGCCGTCTCTTCTCCGGCCTGGGGGACGCTCGGCTGTCGCTATAGCTCCTCGCGCGGCGATCATCATCCGTCCGTCGATGCTTGGGAATACGACCCTCGTCATATCCCGAATGCTTTCGCTTAGAATCCGGTCTCGGTGTGCCCCGCTCGTCAGCGTTGCTTCGTGACTGGTGATGGTCGCGCTCTCTGTCTCGATTATGAGAGCTCTTCTTCGTGGCCGGAGCGCCGGGAGAAGCCGCAGCGCTACCCTCCATACTCCGGCGGTGTCCGTTCGACATGTGCTTCTTGTTGTTCCGATGGTGGTTCTCCACTGCCTTCTGGGCAGCCGCGTCTGCGGAGTACTTGGATTGCAAGACGGAAAGCAGGTATTCGGAACGACGAACAAGATGGACGGCGCCGGGGGAGTTGATGCCCTTGTCAGTCGCCTTGCTTCGCTCCTCCTTCTTCTCGACACGGTGCTCCTCTAGGAATAACTTGTCCTGCAGTTCTAGCTCGGGATCATCCCGGACCTGCGTCCAAGCTCCGAACCCGTAGCGGTTGAGACCGACAAGGAGCATGGCATCTTCCTTGGCGCCCCATTCACAGGAGTAGTGCGCTGCCTTGGACGCGTCCGGAAGGCGAAACTTTTTCCAGTCGTCGCTCTTTTGCAGCACCTGGCGGAGCAAACGAAGCTGCTTCGGCCGCTCTATGGCCGTCTCGGCATTCATCTTGCGAACCTCGCCAAAGTCGACCAGCACTGCCTTCTTGTCCTTTTTCGTGAGTGTCTTGCCGAGCTTCCGCTCGTCCTCCCGTAGTCTGGCATTATTCTCCTCGAGGGCCCGGTCGCACGCTTTGACAAAGTCGTCAATGATGGACTTTAGGAAATCGCGGTCCCTATCGCTCAGGCGCGCCTCCTGGACGATTTCGTCGCCCCGGTCCTCCACGGCGCCGAACCTGAAGAAAGCTTTGAGGAGATTCCTCGTTTCCTTCTCGGTCAGAGGCCGGCGAGGATCTGACAACAACGCACGTTTCTCCTCTTCTTCCTTGCGCAGCTGCTCCTCTCTTTGCCGCTTCTTCGCCAGGCGGTCGGCGCGCTCGGACTCTGTGTCGCGGTGTTTCGTGGCCGCCCGGCGAGGTGCGCTTTCGGCAGCAACCTTGGCCAGGTAGTCGTCGTGCTGTTTCTTTTCGTCCTCACGCTTGATGTTGGCCAGTTCCTCGGCGGGAATGATTTGGTCCCAGTCAAGGTTAAGGTCATCGACCTTGACGTCTGTGTACTGCATGAAGTTGTCCCAGTCGATACCACCGCTGCTGAGATTGATCTTGTCGTCAACCTTCGTTTTCGTGACTTCGGCATTCTCCAATATCGAGTCGATGTCGAGCTGCTCCAAACGTTCCTGGTTTCCAACCTGCTCGAACATCTTTTGGGAACGCATTTTGAGAACCCACTGAATGTCCTCCGCCGAGTTCGGGCCATCCATCCTCAAGCCCTTCTTACTAAACTCTTCTCGGAATGCCTTGCCATCATCGGTGACACCAGCCTGGATTGTGAGATATTCCAGAAGGAGCTTGTTGCGTGCTCGTTCGAGCACTTCCTCCTCGACCGTTTCTTTGGAAACCAGCCGGTAGATGCTGACGGGCTTCTTCTGACCAATACGGTGAGCCCGACCCATGGCTTGCAAGTCGGCCTGCGGATTCCAATCCGAGTCGAAGATGATGACGGTATCGGCCGTCATGAGGTTGATGCCCAGGCCACCCGCACGGGTAGACAGGAGAAAGCAAAAGTCGTCGCTGTCTTCGGCGTTGAAATGATTGATTGCCATGCGACGTGGGCCGGCCGCGATGGTGCCATCTAGGCGTTGGAACTTGTAGCCTCTGAGGGCGAGATAGTCGCCGAGGATGTCCAGCATTTTGACCATCTGGCTGAAGACGAGGACGCGATGGCCGTCCTTCTTCAGCTTCGTCAGCAGCTGATCGAGAAGCATCATTTTACCACTGCTCGTGATCAATCCCTTGATCTGGTCTTCGCGACGCGTACTGCCAGCCAGAACCCGGTCTTCGGCGCCGGGAAACATATAAGGGTGGTTGCTGACTTTCTTGAGCTCCATCATGATGTTCAACAGAGAGCTCTTCTGACCGGTCGCGTCCGAGAGGGCAGCATAGTTCCGAGTCAGAATGTTTTTGTAGTAGTCTAGTTGAACGTCGGACAACTCGACACGGATGATCTTCTCGGTCTTGGGCGGAAGATCAGACTCGACCGTCTCCTTTGTACGTCGAAGGATGTACGGAGCAATCGACTTGTGCAGCTCTTGCAACTTTTCCTGCGTATCGTTACCGGAAAGATTCTCCAGGTCTTCGTCTATCACGACGCGGCCTGGATTCAGGAAGTCCATCAGGGCCGACAGCTCGGCCAGGTTGTTCTGAATCGGGGTTCCGGTGATCAAGACCTTGGAAGGGACACCGAAGCTCACAAGCTTGGCGTAGAGCTGCGATTCGCGGTTCTTCAGACGGTGCGCCTCGTCCACGAGAAGTGATTGCCACTTGATGGTTTGGAGAAAGGCCCAATCTTGAAGGATCATCTCATACGAGGTGATCAGGGCGTTGAACTTGGGCTTCTTCGGATTGCCGTTGATCAACAACTCATTCTCTCGGATCGTCTGCCGCGCTGTTTCGTTGCCCAAGTAGACGACGTAGTTTATGTCGGGCGACCAGTGGTCAAACGTATCACCCCACGCAGGGATAACACTGAGCGGAGCAACAATGAGAAATGGGCCTTCTTGGCCACGGCAGTTACGAAGCCAACTGAGAAACGAGACGCTCTGCACGGTTTTGCCCAAGCCCATTTCGTCAGCTAGGATGACGTTGTTCGCACGGGTCCAGTTGAGGCAAAGGAAGTTGAGGCCTCTGAGCTGAAAGCTTCGCAACTCGCCGCCCTGGATGTACTCGGGTTGCGACTCGAGCTTGGTCATCCGGCTTCGAGTATCCGGATTCGTTTCCTTCCGGTCAGAGACCCACTGACGGGAGGAGCGGTCCAGGAACTGATCTATCTTCTCCTGGAAGTCTTGGCTGATGGCGGAGGCGGCCTCCCAGGTGCACTCGTCATAGTAGCAGCCTTTCCACTTGATGAGATACTCGGTCTCCTCCTCGCCATCTCGGACAGCGACGACTCTGTCTACCTTGGTGTAGTCCGCGAGGGCCTCTTCAGCACGCTCACGGTCAAGGAAGAACTGCTCCTTCGTCTCTGGCGGCACATCGTATCCGAAGCGGATATATAGCTCGTTCTCAACAACCACCCTGTAATAGTTCTCCACTTTCCTGTAGCCACGTGTGTTGCGTAGAGTGTCAAGGTCCTCCCACGTATCGTGTAGATGAGATCTGCCCTGCCATTTGATGAAGTACTCGAAGTCATTTCGAGTAACGTTCTCGTCAAGTTCGAGGTCGTCTTTCAGCCGGTGCCGCAGCACCTTGTCGATGTAGGGAGAGTTATCTACCTCCGTATAGTAGTATTGAGCGGGCTCTTCGTCTTCCTCTTCGGCATCGCTTTCTTCGTAGGCGCCTTGCTGAATCTGGGCGGCTCGACGGCTCGACCAACGCTTCTCGACGAGAAGCGACGATGGTTCGGCTTCCCGTTGACGACGGGCCTTCTTTCGGAAGAGTTTTGCGCGGGCTCCCCCGTAGGTATCCGAGTCGGAATCATTGAAAGACGCTTGTTGCGCGGGTGTAGTACGTTTGGAAGCTTCAGGGAACACTTATGTGTTAGCAGTGGAAGGGGAGGGGACAGTAGGGGGAGGGCCGGTCGAGGTGGAAGGGAATATGCTGGAGCAGAGGAGGTACTCACATCGTTGAGATGTCTCTACGCGACGTCGTTTCGCACCTCTTCGGTTAGCGGGCACAATATCAGAGTCGCTTTCATCGTCTGACTCAATCTAAGGTTATGTCAGTGATAAGAGGCATGGAAGGCGGGGAGGATGGGAGGATGGGAGGATGGGAGGATGGGAGGATGGGAGGATGGGAGGATGGGAGGATGGGAGGATGGGAGGATGGGAGGATGGGAGGATGGGAGGATGGGAGGATGGGAGAACGGGGGGAGGGAAAGGAGCAGAGGGGAGACGCACGATTTTTCGTTGTTGGGTTGGCCGTCCCTATTGGCGAAAATTAGGCATTGAGAAAAATCAAATCAAAGGATACTGAGAGAATCGTACACTTCTCCTCAGGCCATATAGCTCTGGATTGGCCTTGATATAGGCGTCTTCCTCAACGGCAGCCTTACGCTTGGCAGGCCTGGAGGAGCTATTGGAGCTCTTGGAGCTCGACCTCGCGTCACCAGCGCCGTCACTTTGCGCAGTAGCAAGATCATCGTCTGCTTCATCATCCATATCAAAGTCGGCATCATCGGATGCATTGTTCTCATCGGTAGAGCTACTGCTCTCGGCGAAGTCGTGACCGCCGTTCGCGTACACGGTCGAATCTTCCGGGTCGGGGGACGGCGACGCGGCAAGAGAGGCACCGGCATTTTGTGTATCGGAGAGCTCGCTATCGCTCCTGCGGTGATTAACGGGTTGGGGGGAGCTAGAGACCGATCCGGGTGACGGATGGCCATTTGGAGAGCCATCTCGGATCGGGCTAGACATCGTGACGGTGTAAGCCGGGATAGTCTGCTGGATGGAAACCGTGTCAGTAAGGCATGGACGGGCAAAACTTTGCAAACCGTAGGCATTAACAGAGCCAGCAGAATTAAGCGACCGGTAAAGACGAAAAGGGGAGAGAAATAAGTAGACAATTGCCAGCATAGCATCATGAGCGCATCGCGGGATGATATTGATCAAGTCGAGGCTGAGAGATGATGGAATTGCAATTGAACCCGCCGGGCTGGCCAAACGGGCCTCGACAAGACACAACGGCATCCGCGTCGTAGACAACCATCAATTTCATCAAAAATAAATCTTCAGACGGGCTCTAGGGGCCGGCCGGAGGCAGATACCGTGTCGGCCGATGCCAGCTCCGAGATCAAAGTGATGGCCTCGCGACTACAGAGGCGACGACAAGGCAGGGGCCAAGCACGTTAGACATGGGGCAACTTACGATTCATGAAAGGTATGCCCCTAGGCAGAAGTAGCCATGTAGTTTAATTCAAGAAATCTGGGGGGAAAAGTATCACAGGTTCCCTACGATATGGGACACCGGGGGTGTGGTGCGGATTCGGGCCTGGATGGTAAGAGGTGCGTTGGAATATGGGAACATGAGGTAGGTCAGTCGGTCGGTATGGTGGAGGCAGCAGAAAAGAATTGATTAGGTAGGTAGGTAAGGTAGGTAAGGTAGGTAGGTTAGGTTAGGTCGGTACGGAAGTACTGGAAAAGTGGGACAAACGCCTATACCCAACCACCACCACAGTGCTCAAGCCATCGAAAAGAGCGAAACCAATGGCAGGCGCACGTGACTAGTCGTCCGTCATGTCCCAATACACACGGAGTAATGCTCCGTACGGACTTGTCCATACAGTACTAATAATCTCTTTGTACGGTGTGCACGGCGTTACTGGCCTTGCTGAGAACGGCTTTAGAATTTTCGGGATCCGTATCCCGTACACAGTCATACTCGTATTTACTTCGTAGGACAGGCTTTGGTAAGCGGTTGCAATGCTCCCGACTCCGTCTGATAGTCATCCACATCCACATCCACTCCCTTCCCCCCCGTCTCTAAGCAGGCAGGCCCTTGAAACTGTCGTCGCCTCTGAAATAAATCAGCTACGCGCTGACGCTTTGGTCCTTCGTCCCTCGCGCTAGCCGCTCCGCTAGGATAAGACATATATCTCCGGGAATATGCCACCAAGCGTCATTCTCCGCCCAGCTCTTCGTGTCTAGGTCTCTTGGGCTTCTCCACGGCTGAATTCAACGTGGGGAACTCTTGGGGTGTTTGCCCAGTGGGAGAGGTTGCTACCTATGTTCTCTCAGTCTGAATCTGAACATTCAAGATCATTGCCGCTCGTCTCTACATAGCCAAGAAGGACTATTGTTGGGTTGATGTCTGATGAGACTTCAGTTCCTTGTTTATTTCCCAGTATGCCGCGCAGCTGAAGTATAGCTCTCCTGATAATCCCGCTATCATGAAGCTCAGCTAGTCTAATGAGGACGTTCTTCGTATTTTCTCCTGGCCTTCTTTGGCATGGGCCTCTGGCTGATCTGGAGGAGGTCGACATGCAGAAAGTGATACTGTAGTATGACCAGCGGAAAGCTCTCCGACATATTGAGTTGGAATTGTCAAGACGTGCTCAACTAGCGGTCAACCTCACTGTTTGAAGCATCTATACCATCGTACCTAGGCAGACAAGGCCGAGAGGTCATGAACGTTACCTACCTTACCTAAGGGTATCCGCCTCAACTCCAGCTCGCTCGGAATATACCTATTCGCCACACATTCTCTACCGCGGGCGATACCTTAATAATCCATAGGTACCCATGTTTACATGCTATTGCCGTTTGGAATAAAATATTTTTTATTATTCAAAGTATCTCAACTCATAAACTCATAAACTCATAGGGATCGTGTTGATGTACTGGCAACATATGGAGCACCGTTATAAGGTAGACAACGGTCGACTGCAGAGTACCGTAGAAAGGCGGGGCAATTTGCCCACTACCCTACCCCGCCGGGTTTGGGCGATTCACAGACCACTAAAATTTGATGACCAGCTTGCGCCGTTCGATTCATTCGTGGAGGGGTTGGTTGTTTCTTCGGTGTGGACTAAAACCCAAACAACCTGTTTTTTTCTTCTTCATCCTCAACTGCCCCTTCCCCTCCTGCATTTACCCGACATCGAAGGGGGAAAAAGAGAAACCGAGTCCTTCCTCGTCATCATCTCATTTTCTACCGATATATATTTTCTCTTTTCCTTCGCTGTCGAGATCTGCGCTCGAGGCGGCTCATCGACCCCGCCATCGGCATCATTCCATTTTAACCCCGCGGAGGCTGCAGACTGCACAAGATCGCCACCTCGCGCACCTTCAACCATACCGCGTAGTAGATCGTGAAAGGCAATAGCTCAGGAAAAGAACGGAAAAAAAAAAAGGAAGAAAAAAAAAGGAAAACAAGATGGCCGACAAACTCACCCGTGTCGCTATCGTGAACAGCGACAAATGCAAGCCCAAGAAGTGTCGACAGGAATGCAAAAAGTCTTGCCCCGTCGTCCGCTCTGGCAAGCTTTGCATCGAGGTTTCCCCGGAGTCACGCATCGCCTACCTGTCCGAGTCGCTCTGCATCGGTTGCGGTATCTGCCCCAAGAAATGCCCCTTCGGCGCCATCACCATCATCAACCTGCCCACCAATCTGGAGACCCAGGTCACCCATCGTTATTCCGCCAATTCCTTCAAGCTGCATCGTTTGCCCATGCCCCGCCCGGGCAACGTCCTGGGCTTGGTAGGAACAAACGGTATCGGAAAGAGCACGGCACTGAAAATTCTTAGCGGCAAGCTCAAGCCAAACCTCGGAAGGTATGACAATCCTCCTGACTGGGAGGATGTCATCAGGTACTTCCGTGGCTCCGAGCTGCAGAGTGAGTTTTTCTTTTCGCTTATCACCCTCTTCTTCTTCTTCTTCTTCTTTTCATCGCCTTTGATACTGACTTTGTTTGTTTGTCGCCCAGACTACTTTACCAAGCTGCTGGAAGATGATCTCAAGGCTGTCGTCAAGCCCCAGTATGTCGACCAGATTCCCAAGGCCGTCCGGGGCCCGCAAAAGACCGTCAAGGCCTTGATCGATGCCCAGAGCAACATGGACAACAAGGCCGAGGTCTGCGACACTCTGGAGCTCAACCACATCATGGACCGTGAGATCAACCTGCTGTCGGGTGGTGAGCTGCAGCGTTTCGCCATCGGCACCGTCTGTGTCCGCCAGGCCGACGTTTACATGTTCGACGAGCCTTCGTCCTACCTCGACGTCAAGCAGCGTCTGAGCGCCGCCCGTATCATCCGCTCCCTGTTGCGGGATAACGGCTACGTCATCGTCGTTGAGCACGACTTGTCCGTCCTCGATTACCTTTCTGACTACATCTGCGTCCTCTACGGCCGGCCCGCCGTCTACGGCGTCGTCACCCTCCCGCAGTCGGTCCGCGAGGGCATCAACATCTTCCTCGACGGCCACATCCCCACCGAGAACCTGCGTTTCCGCGAGGAGTCGTTGACCTTCCGTATCGCCGAAGGAACCGAAGAATACGCCCTCGACAGGTCCCGCGCCTTCAAGTACCCCAAGATGGAGAAGATGCTCGGCAACTTCCGTCTGCGCATCGACGCCGGCGAGTTCACCGACTCGGAAATCATCGTCATGATGGGCGAGAACGGCACCGGCAAGACCACCTTCTGTCGCCTGCTCGCCGGCGCCCTCAAGCCCGACACCAAGTCCCAGATGCCCGAGATGCGCATCAGCATGAAGCCGCAGACCATCACCCCCAAGTTCGAGGGCACCGTCCGCCAGCTCTTCTTCAAGAAGATCAAGGCCGCCTTCCTGTCGCCCCAGTTCCAGACCGACGTCGTCAAACCCCTCAAGCTGGACGACTTCATCGACCAGGAGGTCAAGAACCTGTCCGGTGGTGAATTGCAGCGCGTCGCCATTGTGCTCGCCCTCGGCATGCCTGCCGACATCTACCTCATCGACGAGCCCTCGGCCTACCTGGACTCCGAGCAGCGTATCATCGCGTCGCGCGTCATCAAGCGCTTCATCATGCACGCCAAGAAGACCGCCTTCGTCGTCGAGCACGACTTCATCATGGCTACCTATCTCGCTGACCGCGTCATCGTCTTCGACGGCCAGCCGGGTATCGATGCGCACGCCAACAGGCCCGAGTCGCTGCTCACTGGCTGCAACAGCTTCCTCAAGAACCTGGACGTCACCTTCCGCCGCGATCCTACCAACTTCCGTCCTCGCATCAACAAGAACAGCTCTCAGCTCGACACCGAACAGAAGCTGAGCGGCAACTACGTAAGTTCCTACTCCCCCCCCCCTCTCTCTGTCTCTCTCACCGGTGGTATGCATGCATCCTGCTGACAAAACTCTTCCTCCGCTAGTTCTTCTTGGACGAGGTAGACAAGCCCTCAACGAGTTGAAAAGGGCATCCCTAAGGATTCCACCCCTAACCGACGCGGTCACGGTCAGGGTCACGGTTACGAAGCATGGCATAGAGGCGTTTTAGGCGTTCAAAAAGGGGAGCATATGAAGCCGAAGAAACGGGCTTCCGGCAATGGTGATCACGGGTCGGGTTTAGGAGATTGTGCCATGACGGATGACGAAGATGATGCCGACGACGACTGACAACGGCGACGGCAGTCTATCCCCTGTTGCCTGGTCCTACGAGAAGTTGCGGTTTGTCTGGAGGAAGGGGCTGGATGGAGGCCATGTTGGCTTTTTCATTTTTGCACTGCACGTCTTTTTTGGTTCCTTCTTTTTCCTTCTTCGCAGCTTGCTTCTTGCGATGCGGCGAGCGATGCCGGAAACCAACTCGGTCCTGGCTTAGCCGCCCACCGGCAGCACTCGCTTTTTTCATCGGCCTGCAGTTTATTTTCCGGATTTTTGTTTGCCTTTCTCTTTTGTGTTCCAACATCGCATCGCGTCAGATGCGACGAGATTTGGTGCAAGGGACTGGAGAGGCGAAAAACGGGGGCATGAGGGAAAGAGAGAGACAAACCGTGTTTCGTAGATTGAGGGGCAATGGATCAAGCAGGATGACTGCCGTCAGTTTTTCACCCAAGTGAGAAACAGGGAGGTTTGCCGCAGAGCGCGCCCGGGACCGACGTACCTGGCGACGCCTTTGCGAGCCGAGAAGAGACAGAAATGAATATATCAGAAGGGCCGCTGTCGGACCGAGCTTTTTATGTTTTACATGTATTGCTGAGCTCCGATGTGGTAGTAATATTTTTCTTGATATTCTCACCGACTAGAATTATGTGCATTAAAAACGCCGAATCAAGGAAGAAACATACTAGGGCTACGTTCGATGTGTTGAGACACAACCAAAATAGAACGCTGAAGCCTTTAGCTAGCTATCGGCTTGTCGGTGAGTGAAGGCCTGGGTCAAGATCTCCAGTCGACGTACTACTGTAACTGAAGGTGAAAAGGGGGCGCCGAGAATGTGGTCGAGGGATCTGTATGCCGCATGTCATCTCGCCCACTATGACTGCAGTGATATGTAGTGTAGTTTCCGATACGTACTCGAAAAGACTCTCGGTCCCATAGCTCATCAACTAGCAAGGGCGCAAAGAGGGCGGGGACGGCAGCCAAAACGTTGGGCAGTCGGGGAACCAGAGGAGGGCTTAGTCCTCCTCAATCTCGCCCTCCTCAGAACCAGAGTGAATTGCGGGATCCTCCTTGACGGATTCCTTGACTGGTTCCTTGACTGGTTCTTTGACAGGTTCTTTGGCAGGTTCTTTGACAGGTTCTTTGACGGCTTCCTTGACAGCAGGCTCCTTAGCTGCCGATGGTGCAGGAGACGCGTCCTTCTGGACCCCATCACGAGCGGGAGTACGGCCACGTTCAGCCGATGGCTCCTTTTTCAGTCGCTGGAAGATTTGTTAGCAAGAGTATGCGGACACATGTGGTACAGCGCGTTTTTTTTTCTCACCTTGGAATCCCTCGACTCCCGACGTCCGTCGTCTTCATCGTCCCTACGACGACGGGAACCAGTTGGACGCTCATCACCATATGGAAGTTCATCATAAGACCCCATCCGGCGTCGGTAGGTTTGCTCGCGCTCGTCTTCTCTGTCGCGCCTCTCGCGATCGTAGAAGGTGTCATCACCACGGCGGGATCGGCCGGGGGGCCGGTCGTAGTCTCTATCCCGAACCACGTCCCGTTCGCGTTCTCGCTCTCGCTCTCGCTCTCTATCCCGGTCACGGTCACGGCCACGGTCACGGTCACGGTCACGGTCTCGATCCCGCTCCCGGTCGCGCTCCCGGTCACGGTCACGATCACGATCACGCTCCCTCTCACGGTCTCGCTCACGATGGTCTCGATCGCGGCGGGGCGGGGTCGAGGGCCGTCGATCGGCGGACAAGAGACTCTCGGCCATGGTCGACTTGCGGTGGTTTCGTTCTCGCTCGGCGATGGCCTTCCGTCTGTCGGCTTCGTAGGCATCTACTTCCGGACTACGGCTGCGCCTACCAGGCCGCCCACTGTGACGATGAGACCTCTCCCCTCTCGAATGATCCCTCTCACGGGCCCGGTATGCATCACGCTCGCTCGAGACGCGGTCTCGGCGCCGACGACGATCCCTCTCGGCCTCCTCGTCTTTCTCGCGCAGGCGACGGACGAATTTATCAAAGGCCGCAATCCTTGCTTCCTCGGAGCCTACAACCTGGAAGGTAGGTGCGTCCACCAGCCGTGGCCTGACCTTCTCCCAAGTATCGCCGACAACAATGGGAGGTTCCACCCGTTTCATATAAGCGCGTAGATCGTCGGCCGCCCGTCGTTGTTGGCGTTCAGAGTGCCTATCCTCTTCCGGTCGCCTAGATTTCTTCTCTTGGAGCTAGGCCTTGTGTTAGTTCGATAGGGCGGGCTAGATCTGGGATGATGGCCAAGTACTTACGCGTTCGAAAATAATAGACAGGATGCCGCGGTCAATGTTAGCAGTGCGCCGGTTCTTTCTGACAACCTCGAAGAATTCCTCAAACGTCGTCTTGGGGGTGACTTCAAACCGCTCATCCTGACGAATGCAACGTTAATACACCATGCAGCTTAGAGAAACCGAACAAAGCTCGGAAGAGCGGGATACTGGACTTACATCAAGGGCGTCGAGAACCTCGTTCCTTGGCGTCCGCAGCGCCTTTTCCTCCTCCTCAACGACATCCCAGAAGAGCTCCTGAGGCGTGGAGCCTGGCTGGCCCAGCATGGCCTTGTAGCGATCGTCGTCCTCGGCCAGGGGAAAGAACTGGCTCCACTTGGTGGCAGCATTGATTTTCCCCTGCTTCCTAAGCTCGCTCAGGAGGCTCAAAAATCCGTCTCGCGCTTGGCGTTCCCTACGGAACTTCCTGTTCTTCTGTTCCTGCTTTGAGTCGTTGAAGGCACGCTCGAGCGACTTGATGTGATTTTGGAAGGCAGTCAAGACGTCAAACCGGCTCAGGGTCTTATACTTCTCGTCCTGCTGGAATGGGGGAGTGGAAGTGATGATACCTTCCGCGTCGGACCAGCGGGTGTAGGGCTCCAGGTTGAGCTTCGGGAGTAGTTCGATGAGTCCGTCCATAGCGGACCTGCGCGAGCCAGCCTTCTGGTCGAGGTGGGCTTTCTTCAGCCCGATGATGTATTCCTCGAACAACTGACGGCGTTCGTTTTCGTCATCGGTGGAGCGGAACAGGGTCTCGCCCTCGATCATGCGCCGAGCCGTCTTCCAGCGAGTATAGTGCTTGATCTCAGGCTGTCTCTTGAGCATCGTCTCGAAGTCAGCGCGAAGCTTGTTCAGTCTTCCCTGGGCGCGCTCCCTGTCCTGCACAATCACGTCGTGGCAGTACTTCTCAAAGGCGGCCTTCCTGTCCCTCGGGTCCTTGATTGCCCTGTACTGGGGATCCCTGGCGATGGTCCGGAGGGTTTGCTCCCAGGTCCAGTCTGCCTGGACACCGCTTCGACGGAGAAGCTTGATGAAGGCAGCCTCGGCCTCTTCGAAAGTCGCGTACTCGGGGTCGTTGCTGGCGGGCACGAAAGTCCTGGCGGGGGCGTCGCCGCCGTACATTGACTGGCGCGAATCAGAGACGTGTTCCCTATCGCGGCCGTCACGATGATCATGGCCGGAGGCCGGGATCGCACTACCTGCATTGTAAGGGATCGGGGCCCTGATTCGGTTAGCTGATGATGTTATTTATAGGAGAGTGTGGGCCGGAAGAGGGGGGGAAGGACATACGCGGGAGTCGTGGGTGTGCCGGCTGCTCCCAGGGCATTCTTATAGACTTCGGGCATCTCCCACGAGCTCTGTTTCGTTTCAGTGTTATACCAATACTTCCGACCACCCTCGGCAGTGTATTCCTTCCACGGTTGGTTCGCGAGAGCGCGCTGCACAGAAGTTAGCCGCCATCACAGTGAGATTGGTACTTTGGATTAGAAATAAGCCAAGGAAAAAGAAAGAAAAAAGAAAGAAAAATGTAGCATACCTCTGCGGGAGACATCATATCCTCTGGCTTGGTCCATTGCGTGACCTTGGTGATTGCGTTGTAATAATAGACGCGGCCATCAGGAGTGCGATGCTCTTGCCACGGCCCCGGTTGGGGGAACGGGCTCGCAACGCCGTTCATCGTGCCGTTGAAAATACTATCTCCAGGAGAGATGCGTAGCTGTAGATTACTCCTATACAGTGGATAATCCGAAAGAAAATTCGATGTGGAGGGTGAAGACGAGGGCTGTCGTGCGTGTGTAAGATGCGAATCTTTTTTTTTTTTCTTTTCTTTTTCTTTAAACAACACGCGAGGCGATGACAGAGGAATTGGAAGGGAAAACTGCGACCTGAAAGGACATTGTGGCTGGAGACCTTACCTAGTTTAGGTAGTTTGGAAGTTATTGTGGCGAAGAAGATGAGGTAATCGCGTCAGGGGGGTAGGTGCCGTACCTACCTACCCGGGTTTGGGGGGGTATAGGACAGAGCCCGATAACTGGTCAATCTGTCAACAGTCTTAGAACATCATGTCGACAGAAATTTCTCTGTCCTGGCTCTGGTCAGAGCAAAAGTCTCTGTCCGAGCTCTGACCTAGAAACCCCCCCTCCCGGGTAGGTAGGTAGTTACATAAGGTACCTTAGGTAATGTGCTTCGACATTTTGACCGACGGGTACCTCTCCGAAGTACCTTATCCCTTCAATACCTCACCGACGACCACGACGACCGCGACGATAACCTCAAGACCACTCGATCCCCTCGCAATCTTACAACCTCCTCCCCTCTCGTCTTAAGGCCCGCGTGGGTCATTTTTACACAGGATTCTGCGGTCCCATTGAAGCTGAAGCCATTACATAGGCCGTTGTGTGGATGGGACTTCCCCTTCTTCTTCTTCCTCACTCACTGATCGAATTCGTCGCCTCGTATTATTCTTGACCGAATTCTCCGGCGACTCCCTATTCCCCTTTGACGACATGTTCATGATATAAGTCGACATATTATATAACTCTCAATCAAGAATGGCCATTGATGATGGTGCATCGAGTGACGCCCTTGGGAGGGGTCCGTTCGATATCATCGAGAGCTCACATTTGTCCTATATTATCCCAAAAGCGACCAACCTAGACCTAGAGGAAGCCTCTCAAGATGCTGACGACACGGGGAATCTTTTTGACGCCATAGAGAAACGCCAAGAACTCTTCTTTGGTCTGTTAGACTGTTACTCGCTCTCGGGAAGCCCTAGGCTCAATCAATTGACTGGCTTCTGTAGACGAAACTGTCGACGTACACCTCATACTACGCGCTCCTTTACTCGACGAGGCAACGTTGCGCTCCTATCTGACCCGGTTACACATTTCCCTCGAAGCCCAAGTGGTGAACGGCCAATCGGCTGGGAAAGACACCCCGCCTGCATCCGACACCATCTTCGAAGGCGTCGTTGAGGACACCGACGACCCGTTCATCGTCGTCAATGCCGCCGAGGACAGCGACGACGAAGATGGCGAAGACCACCCGCAGCAGCAACCGCACATCTACGCCGTCTGGAAACTGTCCGTGTTTCTTGCCAGACCGCGGGTCCGCCTCCAGAGCCCATCCGTCGTCTTCCGAGCTTCGGCGAATCTGAAACCAGCGGATGCGACGGGCAGCCCCTTTGGAGGCACGAACGACGGGTACATGCGTAGCGGAGTCCCGGCCGGCCTCAACCTGCTCGAGTCGTTCAACGCAGACCCTGCGCTGGGCGGCGTCACGCCCCGCCTCTCTGCTCTCCGCGTCTCCCGCGTGGCTCCCGTCACCCAGACGCGGGGTCTTATGAAGCCCTTACGTGCCCAGCCCAGCCTGAAACTCAACATCTTCCCGGCCATCCACACGAGGGTGCGCTTTTCCCGCCCCAACACCATCCCGCCAAGCCCCGCCCTGATCGCAATGTTGGAGGTCGATTTCACATCTCACATCGAGGACGCCGGCATCCGTATCCGTTTAGACAAGGTCACCTTGACTGCGCAGGACACTGTTGTCCAAGACCTCAACTACCATGCCGGACTGTCCCTACCCCATAAATGCGCGGCGCATGACCACGTCACGCTCTTGTACCGCCTGGCGCCCGCGCAAGCCGAAATGCTGACCAGATCCCCGACCCGCAACCTCGACGTCTCCATCGAAGCCACCATGGAAGACGACTCCGGCATCTGCACCCCCAAGCTCACGCTGGCGTGGACCACCAACCTCGACTTCACCCTCCCCGTCAACCCGGGCTTCGGCTCCGCCACGCAGCCGCCCCTCCAACGCGCCCACCGCCCCTCCCAGCTCTCCATCAGCGGTTCCGAGTCCCTGATCGCCCCGGCCGTGAGCCGCCCGGACGCCCTCCCGGCCCTTGAAGCCGCCACCGCCCGAAGCACCGAGACCACCATCCCGGACCTGGGTCTCACCATGACCATTTGCGCACCTCCGGGGCCTCTGTTCCCGGGCGAACCATTCACATGGACTATCTACGTCGTTAACCGCGCCGGCGTAGGCAAGGCTGCAGCTGGTGGTGGTGGTGGTGGTGGTGGTGGTGCTGCTGCTGCTGCTGCAGCTACTGCCACGGCGGCGCCACCTGGCCGCAAGCTGGCTCTCCTGGCGCTCCCGAAGCGCAGGCGTACCGATGTACGCGTCGTTCGCCCGCCCTCCGCCGCGGAGAAGGGCAAGACGGCCGCCGACCGCCGGAAAACCGCCGATGCCGTGTTGGACGAGAACGTCGTGCATGCCATGCAACGGAACTCGCTCGTCGATGCCGCTGATGTCGTGTGTCTGAGTCCTGACACGCGGGTTGGGCCGCTCGCCCCCGGGGCCTGTCATGTGGTGGACCTCAAGTTCGTCGCCCTGCGGGCAGGGATCGTCGGCATGGAGGCGATCAGGGTGGTTGACCTGGGAACGCAGGAACATGTTGATGTTCGTGAGTTGCCAATTATGGTTGTGGATGATCTAAAGGCCGAAGAAGATGGAGCGGAGGATTAGGGGGGTAGGAGTCCGATAATTCAAGTTCAACGCGCGTCAAGTTAGGTATGGAGGCCCCCCCCCTTTGCTTAATCAAGAGCTATCTACCTACCGTTTGTGCCTTGGATCCCGCTATCCTTGACGCCCCTTCCCGTCCCTAGCTTTGAAACCGAGAGAGCGCCAGACAGAATGGCTACGCGGGGGGCCATATAATCCACGCCCGTGAGAATTTCCACCCAAACCCACACTCCCCGTACGCCCCATGCAATATAATACTTCGAAAACCCCATGCCTTCCCACTTGCGCCGTAGCCATGCACGCCCGTACCGTTGTCTATTTTTGTCATTATAAATCATCATAATCATTATCCCATCCTAATCGTTCGTATATAGACCCATTTGTCGTCGTCTGGTTGTTCAGGTTCTTGATAGGTGTAGAGGAGATTTCTTCTTGCGGCAAAGTGAAGAATCTCGGTCCTTTCACCGGCGTTTCCAAAATCCCTCCATCGGCCATAGGAGAGGCAGAGATTGCAATGCTGTTCTTCTGTGTTGCAGCGTGCGTCGGGGAAGCTAATTGCTGCAGTCTGGCGGCTTTTCTTTCCATCAGAGGCGACGAGCCTGGAACACAGGCGACTTCAGAGACATCTACCCGAGACGAAGCGGAAGGCTTGGATGGCGTGGCCATTATAGCAGACGATGGCGCAGCTTCCAACGCATCCCTCGTGCCTCGTCTTGGAGCGGTAGAGGGGATCATCGACGCGCTTGACGGCGGCAAGCCCAACTTCGGCATGTGCATGTCGGAACCACGGGCCTCTGTGGCAAGCGCGTCTCGAAAGCGATTGTTTGTTGGTGTGGCCTTGACCTGGACCGTCTGGAAAAGAGGATGCCGAGTCGGCTTTTTGGATTCTGCGGGCACCTGTTAGCACCATCGAGAGGCGTCAAAATCAACCTGGGCCTGAACGTACTCTTGATGTGCGACAAGCCTCCAGACGTCCTGCGTTCAGCCGCCTCCTCCACGATCGCCTTGCCGACCAACACCCGGTTTGGTTTCCTGATGGCGTCAATAGCGTTCTTCAACTCAGCTTCAACCATGGCCTTCTTCTGCGCTCTGGGGTTATCCAGTGCCGTCAAGCTGCTGCTCCTAGAAAGCGACCTCGTTCTGTCATGAGACATGTTTCGCTCGGGGTTTCGGCTCAGGCCCCCCAACGCATTTTGTTCACTGGCTTCTCGCTTGAGGCCAGGGATGACGGCGGAGGTGGCCGACCGCATCAATGCAATGGTGCTGCTCGGGCCGCGAGAAACGCTTCGCCTGGACTGTTCCTTATGCAGGGCTCTTTCAATCGTTTTCGAGGCCGATGATGAGAGAGTAGGTCGCTTGGCGGCGGTGCCAGGTTTCGGTCTCGCCTCGGAGGAGCGAGTAGGCTGCCTGGGCTTTTCCGGCTTCTCTGGTGGTATTATGACGGGTCCCCCCAGCTTGCGGCTGATGGAGTCACAAAGCTCAGGCAAACGGGCGGCAAAGCTTTGTGCGAGTTAGCTCTGGCTTGTACACGGGAGGCCTTGGGAAGATCAACTTACAATGGCAGAATAATGTCTGTGCAAAAGTCCTTCAGGGGATCTGCGGACGCCTTTTGAGCCGGCTGCCCCGGTGCTTGTGTTATGACCTGTGAATCCTCGAGCAGTCTCAGCTCGTCAGATGCTGTCGACTGCCAGATGCACAATCGATCGGCATGTACGTCTACAAGGACGGGGAAGTTATGTTTGTTTCGTTTCCTGGAGGTCTGGGCGGCAGGCGCTCTGCTGTCGGAGTCGGGAGCGGCTGATAGCCCCGGCAATTGGCTCTCTACGTCGTTCTCTTGAGCCCTCAATGGCTCCAGAGCCAGGATCTCCATAATTAGTATCATTTGGAGCTGCGTTTCTCGGGTGCGCAGAAGGTCCACATGCGACTTGACCAAAGCCCCCGGAATATTGCCGTCTTCTTCTGAGGCTTCGAGTTTGTTCGCCGTCCACCACTCACGGACATGGCTCTCCTCAGAGGGATATAGCCCGTCCTTTCCAATCCTCATCTTCTTCGGCCTTCTCTTCTTGGGTTTATTTTCTTCGTCTGACGTTTCGATAAGCGTTTTCATTGTGGCGATGATGTCCGGGATGGTCTCTCTGTACTTCTTATCGACCTGTACCGTAGTCATAATAAGGCTTTTAAGAAAATCGATCAAGTCGCTCATGTTAAATGCCATGTCGCAATCAAGATGGAATGCTGCCCTCGCTCGAGATAGTGGCCCTTTCGCAAAGTACGCCAGGGATCCCTGTGTCGGCGTAGATCAGCATCAACCATATCGCAAAGACACGAGTCTCTTCCGCATACCTTGGATGCGTACAGGGCGTCCATGTATTGCGCCCTGAGCCTGTCGAGTACATCATCGGGGGTGGTTGGAACACGAAGTTCCGAGGTCGCCGAGTCTCCTGGGACTGTGGCATCAGGTGGTTGATGCTCGAGCGTATCGATGTCCTGTGGTCCAGTATGATTCCTAGGCATGTCGGAATCCTCGGGTGTATCGAGATTCGACGAGGTAGGGGGTGAGGGCCGGCCGTTGTCGCACATGGACCGCTTCTCTGCTCTGGCAATTTCCAAAGCCGAGACCGACTGCGACCGGCCGCGTTTTCGCACGACAGATTGTAGGGCCTCAATAGCCAGCCGTTTCTGTTTTTGTTCTTTGTGGAGATGTGGAGTGGTCAAGGGCGCGGTGGGCATGTCTGCGAGAGCGGGGCGCCCGGGTCGTAAGAGTTGCCTGTTCGACACAGTCGCCGCGCTGGACAATTCCAACACGTCGACCCACGATCCCAGTTTACAAACCGTATATAGCTTAGCATCGCTCCTCTCAATAGCGTATATAACCCTCGTTGCTTCGTTCCGCGCGATCAAAACGCTCGGCTCCACAGCCATGCGATCTTCGAGGTCGAGTATCTTGATGTGAGATTCATAGAAGCGGCTCGAATGCAGATTTCCGTGAGGGGAAGACAGATCGAGGAGGGAGAGTGGGAGGTGCCGTCGCTTAAGCAGCAAAATTGGTTGCAGAGTGCAAGGTTTCGCCAGGACGTCGGGAGGGTGCGGCTTGGGATGTCGTCAGTCATGGGGGAACAAGAGAAATCGAAGAACAAAAGCTTGGCCAATGACCAACCCTGACAACAATTGAGGGCTTCAGAAGATGTTCCAGCGCACTGGAGCCCTGTCTCCCCTTCGCGTCGAAGCCATCGAGGGATTTGGCATGGCTCTGGTTCAAAGAGTTATCGGAACTTGGTGTGAGGATCCTCGATGGTGGATGTGACGCGTCCGGCGAAGCAGCGGGCCTACAAGTAGACATTGGGTCCGGTGTGCGGGGACTGGTTTGTATTCATTGATAAATACCCAGAGGTAAGGATTATCAAAAAGGTGGTATACGAAGGTAGAATGTCCAGCAACAATATGCCATGTGTAGGTACGATGTTGATAGAGGTTCTCGGGACCAGTTAAGGGTACGGATGGTGGAACGAAGTCAATTTGTTGCACGGAATGGCGTCACGCGATCGTGTGGCGTCCGACGCGTCGGCCGTTATTGCACCGCCTCACGGGCCTGTTACAAGCCACATTTCACTTTGCATGGCGAAAGTAGTATAAGTACACACGTCTCTGTTCGTTTCACAATTGCTCATTGAACATCGTACCCAAACAGAAAGCACCTTATGCGTAATTACTACGATACGTGGGAATTCTTTTCCTTCTAGTTCACGCCTCGATTTCGTCAATATGGCCATGGTAAAGATGAGAGAGTAAGCAGCAAACAGTAGCAAAATGGCCGGATAGACCTGTGGGGGGATTCCAGTCTCTGAGAAGCTTTGGCAGACTTCAATGCCTGGGCTTTCCTGGAGAAAACGAGTTTCTCACCCCAAACCATGGTGCAAGGATTCTGATAGGCGAGAGATATATAAATCGCCATGCTGATCGACCATCACCATGTCAACTCTCGCCTTGTACTTCGTCGTACTCTCCCCCAAGAGCAACTCGTGGTTCAGTTGCCTCATTCCGCCCACAAGACGCAAAGGTCCAGGCACGCCAATCACGGAAGCTCCATGCTCCGACGGCTTTACGCATCTCTAAAGCTCTGGTAGTGGTGGCGCTGAGTCTCGCATGCTGGCGGGAAGTGGGAGAAGTTGATGGGGGTGGTGGTGAGGACCACACACACACTCGCATGTATTCGACCTGGTTACCCAACCCAAGAATGCCGTTGGGGCGCCACTAAACGGTCACCAGACCGTTTGGATGCGGCTAAGGCGTTCATTATCACCTGCTTATTTATGTACCTTCAAACGGATAACCTGGCTAAGGTATGTATATACAACACCACATTCAGATTCAAGCAGGACCAGGGTTCGAGCGCACTCAAGACTAGTAGAGCACGTCGACCTTGATAGCTGTCAGAAGACAATAAAGTACGGAAAATTGTGTGTGTATTTATCTACGTGAAGTTCGTGGTACTTCACGGGGATGTCTAACTATTAGGAAAAAACTACCTAGGGTAAATAAGTGTGGATACAGTGGGTGAGCAATAATTTCGGTATATTTCAAAGATCCAGTGATTCGTTACTTTTATGATATGATATGGTTTTGCCACTAATAGAAAAGTGTTCCCCAAAAGCTTCGAAGTATTCTACTTTAGGTTATCCCGAAACTTTTGCTCACTCACTGTATATAGGATCGAGGGACCCCACACGTCTAACACAATATGGGTTGTCACACCTCGATATAAGGTGGCTGTGGGCATCTGACAATAGCTATGGAGTTCGGTTGCCTTCGCGAGGTTAGATCTTCTGACAAGAGGGGTAGCGAGACCCAAAGCGGCTACGAGGTAATTAAGAGCTCTACAACGTACTTCGTATGTACGAATAATAGCCGACGATGGGGATTAGCCTCGTGCACCATACCTAGGATTAATTACGTGGAGAAGGTTTATGGAACATATCAGACTTCGTAGCTACCTATCTACATTCGAATATGTTCGGCATGTAGCCGGGACATCTCGGCGTAATTAATCGGCAAGATTGCAGCCGACCAGAGATTATCTGTAATAGCGAGTGATATAACCTTGGCATTATGGTTAGAATGCCGGACGGCACTTTATTACTCTGGAGGTCACACATATCCTGTCCTTGGTTCGAAGTAGCGTGAGAGCGTGGGGGAGAATCCTCCCTGCCTATGAGTAGCCCGTACAGGACCTGCACTTTCAAATCCTGTCCGTACTTCACGTGGTACCCGTACATTTAAGATTTGCGACACAACTTGAAAGGCCTGGAGAGAGAGCACCTGCAGTGAACGGGCTACCGCCCCAGGTCTATGTACACACGGTTGCGTAGGTACCTGCGTGAGGTGGGGCCGGGGACCAGAGTGCTTCAGAGACGTCTCGGGATATCTGGGAGTACGGTGTATGGACGGGTCTTGCTACGGGTAGCGGCGTCATCAGGATAGGCCAAGGGGAACGACGGCCAATGTACAAGACGCTTTCGTGTTTTGTTCGTGGTCTTTTGACCCAACTGCCCAGCTTCAGGAGACATGACATGGCGGCCCACCCAAGTTTGGTTGATAATATCGGGTGGGTCGTGTCCGGCATATGTAATATATATCTTATAAGGTACTCTGTCACGAAGCTCAGAAGCAACGAAGGCATAAATTACCCCAGAGACCCATAATGGTGTTGCGGGGAGAATTATAATTAATTACTACGTAGTGGCAGGTCCCGGGCTCGCCTTTCGCTTATCGTCCGTAAAGTCTCCTTCGTTGGCTTGCTTTTACCAAGAAAAGAAACAAAACGGCGGAGGTTTGTGACAGGTGGGGTAGAAAACAAGTCAAGATATCTACCCCGTACAAACCAAATAAGACAGTCATGATAGAAGAAGCAATTCCTTGTTAAGCACGAGACAGGCTGAAGGCCTGTACGATTGCAGACAGCCTACCCGGATAAGCCTTTCCCGTCGCGAGCAAAGAGAGTCTTGGGTCACATTGGTGAGGGATGGTATCCGTACATTGGATGTTAAAAATCAAGTTCAATGTTCGAGAAAAAGGTGGGGTTATTTATCTTGGTTCTTGGGTGCGTGGTTACGTTGTATACAGTATTCCGAATAGATCACACTATCAACAAATCCACCCATTGAAAGCAAAAACGTCCTTGCTTATTACGACCGTTCCCGAGCGCATTTCCAGAAACGGGGAACGGCCCGCTCCGGTGTGTGGACGGTGAGGTGAACATTTGGCGATTCTAATATCTATTTCGATCAAACTGCGATCTGAGAGTGTAGTGCGTACAACGTATAACTTGACACCTATCTTACCTATACGAGCAAGATTGATCTGCCAAGACCGAGCTCAAGGCTGTTCAGGTGTCGTATCTGTGCACACGGAGAAAGCAATCCCGCTCTTCGATCAATAAGGTAGTCCAGTGGTAGCATTATCTACGTTGTACCCACCCCACTCCTGTCGTACTCAGTCCTTCTTACGGATACCTGTAGAATACTTTGTGTGAAGTAGACACACTCCAAAGGCTTCGACCACAGTCAGTCAAGTGTCGCGATGAATGGCACGGCACGGCACGCACGAGAACGTTTTATTAGAATCTTAGAATCTGTCGCTTTCTAGAATGACCCGAGATCGGAATAAATCCCTTCAGAGTTACATGGGCCATCCGTGTTTTTGGTTATCCGAAATGAGTCCCACGCTACGTAGTAGGTACGAAGTACGAAGTAATTAATACCTAAGGTAATCCTGTTGTAGCGAATGTGTGTGTCACGAGTCTTGTCAGGTACGAAGCGAACACCGTGTGTGACCTGGGCAAACATCATAGAAAATCGGTATTTCGTACTGTATTAATTACGGGCTGGCCAAACGCCTCCATAAGGTAAGCGACGAGGCGAATTGTTCCTCGTTCGTTGCTTTTCTCCCATTCACCTCGTCGTTCACCGCCTCTCCGCCCCAGCCTCTTTTGAAACAAACCCGCTTTTTCATATTCTCCCACGGGCCGCTCCAGACCAGCCAAATCAGGACAGGGGGCCAAGACCACAAGCGTGGCATCGGCATCCCGTTTGGGTGTCCGAAGTCCGAAGTCCGAAGTCGAAGTACGACGCAATTAGCCTTGATGTCCGACTTCTGCTGCGATCGCCCGTTGTGAGACAAAACCGAGGAGATGATCGATTACACTTCGTTCGTACATACATTGGGTATCCACCCCTACACACCTACATGCTATGGTGCCATTTGAGGTAGGTTAGGTATTAATTAGCTCACGTTCACATCCGCAAAGAAACGCTGCCGTGTCACCGAAGATCGTCCAGTCTCTAGCTGGTGAGCACGGATGTACGCAGGCCGGCGCCATGTTCCTGTCGATCAACGCACAGGCACACATGCTCTCTCAAGACCGTAATTCTGATGCTTGGGAAATGCCTTTATCGCTGCTATTCCATGATGGGTGGCTTATTACGAAGTTCCACGCGATTGCCAGCGACGAGATGCGATGACCGAATTGGGCTAGTTCACGACCCCTTCTGGATTCGACTCAACCCCTCAGTTCACGGCTAAAAAGAAAAGATAAGAATGAAGAGGAGAGGAGAGGTAAGGTACAGTTGTACTTGCTTGGTAATAAAGAAGGGTGTTGGCCAAGAATTGGACCACCTCCCACCTCCCACCTCCTCACCATATGTACTCAAGTTCCAATGGCCTTCCGTTCTCACCCACCTACACACTTGCGCTCCCTTGCTTATTATCCGCTACATATACCCTTACCTACGAAGTATGGAGTACCAATGGTATGGACTACTTCGCATTGGTAGGTAATTATCATATGTACGGATATGGGGGCACGAAAAGTACGCCCTGTTCATCCCTCTACTTGAAGATCGAAGCCCGTCTCTCATTCGTGCAATCGCTCGCTTGTCTGTACAACGTACTTGTACCTGACGGTCAGCGCTGACCATGCAGCAGAAGGCTGGATTCCCAGGGACACATGGCACCAGCAAAAGAGCAGAGACTCCATTCCGGCGGTGGTCGATCTGGAGTGGTACCTGACTAGCGCTACCTGCATCGTCGTCTTGTTGGCGTAAAAAAAATCAAGCCGCAGCGGCGGTCCCGAGAGAAAGAAGGGAGGCGTGAAGGAAGCATGCCGGATAGCGGCCGGAGAAAGAAAGAAGAAAAGAAAGCAAAGAAAGAAAAGAAAAAGAAAAGAAAAAAAAAGAGAGAGAGAGAGAGAGAGAGAGAGAGTCTGTTGGAAAAAGGCGTTTGGCTTTCTTGGCCGTCCATTGCGCAGCTTCTCTTCCCGTTGAACAGTTCGTACTTTCGTCCCCAGTTGTCCGATGTCGATTCGTCCCCGAAGCAGCAACGTCAAACAGGTCAAACAGGTCAAACAGGCGGGGTTGCTGGCCTCTCCACGCTGCGGGGATGTCATCGCCAATCGGTCAGTAGGTCAGGGGTAAGACAGAACAACTCGGTACAAATTCTGAAGATCCACTTCTCGAAAACCTGTCTTGAATTCTTTGAATCCCAGTGAGTTGCCCACCCACCTATCCATCCACTCAACCACCCACTCTCCCACTCTCCCACTCTCCCACTCTCTTTCAGCCATGTCCACCCAACCACGAGAGCTTAGCTTACCCTACCACCACCTATTCCGAACCGAAGGGCATACGGACATGTACGTTGTAACCACTTGCGCAGCAGCATGGTACGTCAAGCTAGTGTTGTTCCATCGGTCCCCGGCCGTACCTTTTGACAAAAATTCCGTTCCTTGCAAAGCTGTCTTATCATGCATCACCTATGCAGCAGAAGCCTCTAGGTTCACCATGCACCATGGCGGTGGAGCTGTGGGCTTCCCTGAGAGTGTCCGTGCTGGTGCATTCTCCTAGTTGACCACTAATTAAGGTACCATTCTGGCCTGCTCTCCTTCCTACCTTATGTTAAGATCCTGCCGTAAGTGCCGATGAAGTGATAATAATCAAGGGAGGTAGGTAAGGTAGTAACAGATTGCTTCGTACCTGGTATATAGAACATCCCCATGCGCCCACCATTTTAAACCACCTCTTATTCCTTCGGCCCTCCCTTCTTCGCCTCCGAGGTCTGTCTCCAACCCCCTGGCCGACCGACTCCCCATCGTCAAACTTGGAGTCGGGAGATTCATTCTCTCCTTGCTGCCTCTACCAAGCAGCTTTTCATTCTATACACAGTACAGCACAGTACAGTTAGTCCTATCCTACCTAGTGAACCCCCTTGGTTTCTGCTTCATCTTCCCGCCTGGGCAACGATGGCAATTGTCAGGGAAATTTTGTATGGGAAGCTTTGGGTAGAGAGGCAACGGCATGGCCTGGTATACCTGTAGCTGCTGGGGCGGGACGCACCACTTGGTCCGACAGCTCACGGCCCGCCATGTCAATCTTCAATCTTTGCCCTCCGACAGAGCAACCATAACTTAATTTCTTTCTTTTTTTCCTTTTTTTAACACAATTATGTTGTGTGTGAATCACCTGGGATGGATTCTCGTGCTGACTAGACATTGCTACAGCGACAGCTCTACTACCGGTTCCCAGAAAGTTTACGACGTAGAGCGAGCGAATCACCACCCGGGTCTCGCCTCTACTCTGCTTAAAAGGTCCTCTTTGTTCCTTTCGTTTCGGCCACCAACTACATTACATTACATTGCATGTACATGGCTTTGCCACTGTCCTCCAACACCAGGGCGAGGCGGGCAGGCCGTCGTTAACCCTTCCTTATCTTGTCCCGTTTGCCGTGGCTCAGGACAACGAAGCCCCTCCCTCCGGCAGCAAAATCGCGTTCACGCACCCCGAGTCGACAGGTCGACAGCAGATTCGCTTCATTCTTTCCTAGTTAGGGCTCGACGTCGGTATCCAGACGAAGATGACGACACTAGCAGCACCGGAGGACCTCGACACCATGACCGTCAACGTCGACGCCGGGCAAGCTTCGCCTGAGAAGGATGACGACCAGACTCTCGCCATCGCTCTGAGCACGACCTTTTCGGTTCTGGCCATCGTACTCATTGCGGGAAGTGTCTTCGTCTGCTGGCGCTACAAGAAGGGCTCGCGTCTCTTCACCCAGCGGGGCATCACGCCCATCAACGACGAGGAGATCGAATCGTGGAAAAGAAAAGATGATCCCGACACGCTCGAAAAGTCCATCGTCGCAATCGAGGACCTCACCCCGAGAACTTCCGTGAAAAGGCCAGCCAACGTCGTCGTCTACCAGGCACCACGCCCCTCCGGCGAACAACATTCCCCCCGATCCTTCGTCCTGAGCAGCGCCGACACCACCGGCGGCAAGAAAAGCATCGACGTCCCGCCGACGCCCGTCCTCGCCCGCGCCCCCAACGCCCGCCCAGGCCTCACGGACGAGACGGTCCAGGGCGACGAGGCCTTCATCCCGAGCCCTAGGCGGCAGACGTCCCGCCTCTCCAAATACCCGCCGCCGAGCAGCGCGGGCGTCGCCGCCTCTCGTCGCGGCCCCGGTCCCGGCCCCGGCCCCGGCCGATCGCGCAGCGTGCGGAGCAGCTTCAGCGTCGGCGGGGCCAGCGTGCGCAGCCAGCAGTGGTACGGATACGGGTACGCCCACAGCCAGGGCGCCGCGAGCCGCGACTTCACCGATGCCGAGCTCTCGCCGCGGTCGTCCCAGGACCAGTTTGTCCGCCCGGCGCACCACTCCTTCCAGCCTTCTTCGCCGCCTTTCCCCTCTTCGTCTTCTTCCGGTCTGCCGGCGCAGCACCGTCGCGACCGTGTCCATTCTTCCTCCTCGGCTCTGGGCAGGTTGTCTTTGGATGACCAGGCCCTGGTGGGCGGTCTGTCGCCGCGGCCTCGGGTCCGGGAGTGCGAGATTGGACGTGCTATCGGTTGAGAGTTCGAGTAACGGGGATCGACTCGACGAACTGCCCTTATTATAACGGACGGCTTCCCTCCGCGCTGTACTGCTGGAATATACTAGCGAGTCAGATTGCGTTGGTAACCGTCCTGACTTGGGTGAATGCCGCTGCATTGAGGCTCACGAGCCCCATTAGCGGCCCCAGAGTTGTCGACGGCACAGATACCAACAAATATGACGTGTCTGTCTACGTTGATTTTTTTTTATTACTTCGACTCCAAATTTCACGCCCATCTTACAGATACAAGTTGGGCCAGAGAAGCCCGCACAGCGCAAGTTGTAGGCACCTTGGGAGCACGTCAGGCCTACCTAGCATTAGCTACTTGAGATCCTCGGATGAAACAGAGGGTCACCAACAGGGTACCTTGGTTTCCATACGCCCGAGGTTACGTGACTTCCCTTATCGGAGTGGTCGAAGAGCATAGGTAAGGTACGCAGGAATTCTTGTGCATCGATGCTATCCGCGGACACGAGTGGTTTATATATGACGAAACAACCGCACCGCACCGTCTTTACATCCTACGAAACCATGATTTTTCGAGACATGGAGACGAGGAACTTTGCTTGGGAGAGTCGATGCCCTGAGCCTTTTCTTTCTTTTTCATTTCACGTCCGAGATACCCCCCCCAATTTTCATGCCATAAAGATTATGACTCGGCCCCCACGATGTGGTCGCATTCTTGTTTGTCTTAACGCACAACTTGTTGTTTGTCTCTTGGAGAGAAACGCGCGACTTTCTTCTTCTTTTTTCTTTTCTTTTCTTCGTACGAAGTTAGCTAGGCTCTACACGACTAGCAGCAGATACGTGCTGGCCGTGCAGCTGTTCTTTGCCAATAATTGACCAGTCCCATCTCAACCAGCTGTCCATTGTCGCGTGATATTTGACGGTGTTTTCGCATGATGAACATGTTGGAGGACAACCCTTGAAGTACGTACCTGGAGTTATGGGTTCGTCTGGATACGGTAATATTTCTTGTACCTGTTTATCCTACCTTAAACACCGTAAGCGCCCTAAGAATGATGAGTCGGAGTAGAATATTATCCAGCATTGGGATTCAGGACGCTTCTTGTCCAGACGGCGATGTACACTGACACCAAGGGGGGTCTAAAGAGAGAGAGAGCGAGAGGTACCGTGTAGCCCCACTGGATGTACAGTGATTTCTCTCAGAGCTACCTAAGTATACGTCGAAGTGGGGCCAATTGGACAACTTAGATACGGTACGGAGCACGGTGTAGATGCATTTAAAACGTAAAGTCACGACGACGCGCTTCTCACCACAGGTCCGACAAGAAAAGACTTAGACTTGCTCAACACAACACCATTGATTCAGCTTAACGATCGACAGCCTTTAATTGGTTAAATCTCTCTCGCATTATAAACACCATCTGCCCGGCTTTCACTGAATTGCATCGTTCAGTTCAGTTCATGAGAAGCAGCCCTCATCTCAGCTCGCGTCCCTGACGGTTCATACGGTCCGGTCCAGATCTTGTCGGAGATACCTCAAAGCTCACACCTCATAACTCCCGGGATTGGCTGACAACTCATCCCCTGTGGTCTCATACCGCCCATCTCATATGCCCACACGAAAAGACATATGGAGAATCGGACCGAGTCGTCGTCGTAACTAAGCCCCAACCCATATTCCGGTCAACTTGCGCCCCCTCCGCCCTCGTACACCTCTCAACCTACATCTCCAGGCAGGCAGTCCCTCGTCTCATTCAACGCCATGCCCCCAAGGGAAAGCGACCAATCTCGCAAAAGCGACGTTTCCGTCGCCCGCTTCGTAGTCATGGATGAGGACAGGCCCGACTCTTCAGGGGCCGGCTCTGCCCCGGAGCAGGCAACAACGACAGCCGCATCCCAACCAGCCGCCTCGGAGTCTACTACCCCTGCACCTCACGTTGACGGACCCGAGCGTCAAGACGAGAAGAAGGAAAAGTCCAAAGACAAGGAGAAGGAGAAAGGGTCAGAGGAAAGAAAACCGAAAGAGAAGAGTGATAAGGACACCATCACAATCGAGGTATGTCTCGTCTCTCTCCAAGCAGATATCGTTCTGGGCCGACTTTTATCTAATGTGTTTCCTCTCCCTAGGATCTGAATCTCCCCAGGTCCATAATCACGCGTCTGGCCAAAGGGGTTCTGGCTCCAAATACACAGATTCAAGGCAGCGCAGTGCTGGCCCTCACCAGGAGCGCCACCATTTTTGTTAACTACCTGGCTAGTCAGTACGTCTTTAATCTCCCTGTTTCCCCTTCTCCTCCCTTGATCATGTCGCTGGCATTTAGTCGTCTCTGGCGTGCGCATCGTACATGGTCTACGAACTTGTGACGAGTAGAGCAGTACCCCCTCCTGACTTGATGCCGACAGCGCGAATGACCACACTGTGAACGCCGGCAAAAAGACCATTGATGCGTCTCACGTCTTCAAGGCCCTCGATGACACTGAATTCTCCTTCCTCCGTGAACCCCTGGAGGCCGAGTTTGCTAGTATGTCGCTCCTCTTTTCTCTTTTCTCCTTTCCCGCCGGCACTATGTCATATCATTTCCGGATGGCAATTCTTCCCCCCAACTGTCCCTCTACCACCTCATACCCACAACTCACACGCCTTATAGAATACACACAAATGAAAAGCGCCAAGCGGGTCGATTACCGCCAGCGCAAAAAGGCAGGGACGTCCTCCACCGCACCCGGCAATGCCGGCGACGACTCCCACATGGCCGATGTATCCGCTCTATCCGCCCCAAGCGGCGCCGACGACACCTTCACCACCGCGCCACCAGCCGCCGCCACGGCAGCAGCAGCAGCAGCAGCAAAGGCAGGAGGCGACCAGCCACCACGCGCCAAAAAAGCCAGGACCGTCCCTGTAACTGTAACTGTGGCTGCTGCTGCAGCGCTTGTTACAGCCGGTGCCGCGGCTGTCGCCATGGGTGGTGGGTCTGCCGATGACGCCGAGACGGAGCCTGAGGACGAGACTGCCGCGGTGGACGAGCAGGAAGAGGATGACGATGACGATGACGATGACGTTGACGATGACGATGAAGAGGGGGGTGAAGAGGGGGGTGAAGAGGAGGAGGATGAGGATGTGGATGAGGTCGACGACGAAGCTGCCGAGACGGAAGGGGACGAGACGCAGGATGCTCTTGAAGATGATGACCGGCATGACCAGGTGGGCGAGGACGAGGACGAGGACGAGGCCTTGGATGGCGATGAGAGCGACTGAAAAGGACTGGTTCCGCTGGGCTTCAGCAGTTTCCTTCTCTAGTCGCTTCCGCCAACCTCCTCGTGCGGTGCCAGGGGCATATATAAGTATTGTGCATGTCAAGGTAGCTCTTGAGAAGGGAGCGAGCACACAGGGGTCACAACTACCTCATAATTTAGTGATTCTGAACTCCGTCATGACAAATGGTATATCGCATTACGACAAGTGTCAAATTGAGATCTCCCCCCCCCTTCCCCCCCCGTCGCTCTATTATGCCTCGACAGAATAAATATCAACCCGTCAACCCTGGGTGTCACCTACTTGTGTGCCCTACTCGAAGCAACACCCCCGAGAGTAAACAGAATGGAGAAGACAAAGAAAAGGGAAACAAAGGGGCCGAGGGCCGAAAGGACATGTACGTTTGGTGTTAATATCAAGAGCATACGTAAAGGTGGAAGGGCCATGCAACTTGGTGGGTGATGTCCCAAGAACAGAGAACTAAACCAGGGCCAAGGGGAAGAAAAGAAGAAAACCACCCAGTGAACAAAGAAACCAAACCAAAATCCTCCAACAGAAAACATGAATGAATTTCCCTAATAAACTAAAAAGAAACAAAATAATAATAAGAAGAAGGAAAGATAGAAATAAAAGAGAGGAGTCAATAAAGGAAAAAGACAGGAGGGGGCGGAGAGAAATGAAAAAGAAAAACATATCCCGAGCCCACGTAGGAGGAATCCTTGCCAATTCCCAGCCGAGAAGAAGCCAAAACTCCCCCCAGCCCATCCATAATGTGCAGTACCTTGCACTCCCAAAGAATACCAATTCGAACCAGGAAAGGAAGAATGCACCAGTTGCAGATGACAATTGCCGCCTCCCCACTAAGAAAAGTAACACGAGTTCGCATCCAACAGTTGAAACAGGCGTCATAGAGGCTGTGCCGATCCAGTCCTAGAAGCCGCCTTCATTCTTATCGCTCGGTACTGTAAGTTCGACATGAAAGGCCCCATCCATTCATGAACAGGTCTTTCTGCTTATCGAAAGTTGACGAAGACTAGCAGTCAGGCCAGAAGACCTTGAGAGACCGCACACGAGGGACCCAGAAACGGGAGTCTCAATTCCCCAACCCCTTCATCTCGAGGAGAGAACCTTGCTGCGCTGCAAGCCACCCAAGCTCGACCTGGACGAAACTGGACGACCGCTGTTGTAGCTCGAAGAAGGAGGGCGGCCTTGGGTTGTCGTTATGTCTCTGAAGAAAAAAAAAAGAAAGAAAAAAAAGGAGGCCGGCCTGGGTTGGGTATCTTGGATTTCATGGAATGCGAGGAAAACCGGGGCGGCCGTACCAGTGTTGAGTCCAAACGAAGCAACTCGCCGCGCGAAGTGTCGAAAAGACACTTCTGTATTGTCAAATAAGACTGTTATCGAGTGGACGCCCGGCGAGCCGTGGAGAAGTCGGTCCGGTGGATCGTAGAGGCGAATGATATAGCATCTTGTCCTCACCATGATTGACAGGCCAAAACAATGAGAGGAGATACACCGTTGGGAAATTGTACGGACGTACGTAGACCCCCTGTCGCGCGCCCAACCCCGATTGAGGAGAACATGGGTTATCAGGACGTTTCGTGGTACCGATATAGGCCATATTAAAAAACCAGCGGTATGTATGCTGGCTCGCAAACTGGTGGTCCGAACTCATGGGAGATAGATCTCTGCTCAACTGAATGCTTGGGTTTGGGTATCCTGAAGAGAGAAGGAGGCAGAAGGTTCGCCCCAGAATAAAAACAGCCTGCCGAACCATTGCCGTACATATATATAGAAACAAACGAAGACGAAAAAAAAAGGGCTGGGAATACTGGGGAATCAAGCATAAGACGTCGCTGTCTCGTGAGGTCATGTGAGGTCATAACCACCATGTGAACTGCGCTTTAGCGATTACTGAGGTTGGTTAGCCCACCACTGCGCAGGGGGCGACTGCTGGTTGGACCAGGCTTGGGTGACGGCCGGCGCGCCAGTGTTAGGCTGAGGCATGTACTGGCGTGGTGTCTGGTCGGTCGAGTACATTCCCTGACTCGAACTGTAGCTTTGGTTCATGCCGGGCATGCCCGAAAACTGCATGCCGGGTTGCACTCCGCTGGTGGAATGGCGCAGCTGAGGGGCAGGCGACTGCTGCGGATGGGACTGCTGAGCTTGTGTCGTGTAGCCCGAGTAGCTCTGCTGTGGCGTCTGAGCCGTCTGCGACCACATCTGTCCGGAGCTTCCAGGATAGTGATAATTTTGACCACCTTGCTGCTGACTTCCCGAGCCTAACGACGACGTTGGTCTGTTGTTCATCGAGGGTGAATTTCGTGTCATACCTCTCATTGGAGCTTGACTGATTGGGCTCTGCGCATGTGTCGACTGGGAATAGGAGGAGGGATTCGACATCAAGAGCTGCTGAGGGCTTTGGTTGGGGACCAGTCCAGGCTGGGGCATTCCACCAGCCGCCGCGTGCGGCGACTGGGCGGCGGCACGACTCGTGGGGACGGGAGCTTCGGACGTGCCCATGATGTGGTTCAGGCTTGTCGTCTGAGGCTGCTCATGAGGACGCCTCCAAATGTCCTGGACGTAATTATGGCGCATATCCCGTTGTTGGTTAATGACCCGGTTGTACTCAGCAGCGTGGTGTGCCTGGGCGTTAACCTCGCCTTGCGGAGTGGGCCTGGTCTGGTCTTGGTACGGGGGGCCAGTCATCTCCTGTCGAGGACCGCCCTTGAGGTTGACGCTGCTATAGTCCCGGGCTCGGGTATCATTGAGGTCTGAACCTAGTGTTATCATGGGCATCCTCGGCGTGTTACCCGTCGTCGGCGCTCCAAGCATACCTGGTTGGACCATCTGGGGCTGCGGAGGAGCCCCAGGAAATTGCGCCGGCGCGTTGCTGTAAACTATCTCGCCCTGAGGGCCTCCCATCAGGGCTTGTTGTTGCGCTTCGGCGGCTTCTCTTGCCTTGGCCTGGCCTGGGCGTTTCTCCCCGGCGGGGTCGGCTTCCGTGAAACCTTGCTTGCGGGCTTTCGTCTCCCAATAGTCGTCACGAACTCTCCGGCCGTTCTCGATGACGCGACTACCAAACTGCCGGAACATGGACCGCGCCGTAACGATGGCAATCTGCCTAGACCTGTATGAAAACGGCAAGATTTCCTGGCTAACAAGATCATCTTTTTCGGGTTGACTCGCGATGATCTTAAACAGAGACCGATTCTTATTGAACAGCAGGTACGAGTCGCGATAGCCTAGAACGCGAGCGCACTCGGTGGCGAGCATGAACAGCTTGTCGCCGCGGTTTGGGACGTGGAAAGTCCTGCAGCGGTAGGTCCGCCCGCCGAGCAACTGCCCATTTGGCATTACCTTCTTCTCCCCAAACTCATCAATCTCACGCGGAAGATATTCATCACCCGCAGTGTTCAGCTGGTCGGTCGTGTGATCCCGAACGGTCGGCAGGGCCTTCAAGGTAGGCGTCTTCGTCGGCGTGGGCTTAGGTGGAGGAGGCGACGTTTGAGTAGGCGCGTATGCAACGGGCTGGCCTGGCAAGGGAGCGTTGGGATTGTGCGGGGTGTGCGGAGGGCCGACAGCCGGGTGCACGTTGGCGACCGGAGCCTGACCGGCAGACTCCGACAGGCTCCCAACAGGCCTGGACTTCATTGGTCTTCCTCGTTTTCTTGGATTGGAATCACTACCTATCATCGCGGCGACGGACGCCAAGTTAGCCTTGGTTGCACCAACACAGCGGTCGCAGGGCCACGACTTTGCCGGGCGAGGCAACGGCAAGACACACGCACAGGATACGACGACTGGCGAAAAGCGCGGGGAGGGAATGTATGAGAAAAGGTAAGACGTACCGGCATCCCCAGGAGTAGGCCCCTGGTAGTTCTCGGGCGACCGGCTCCGCTTGACGCCGCGGGACCTCGGGTTCAATGGGTCTGATGGAAGGGCGTCAGCATGGCCGATCATATGAAGCCAAATCTAATGAAGGAGCCATCGCGAATGAATACGCGGGAGGATCCATCGACGGCGCGCGTGAACATATATTGCTCGTCGCGAGTCCCGGTCATCCCTGGGTAGGGATCGCGAGAGCGTCGAGGGAAAGAGGGTAGATCCAGGGCAAATATACGGGAAAGGCGCGACGCACGCGTAGAGGGAATGGCTTTTTGGAGAACGAGGAGGGGACATACCAGGGGTGTTGAGGGCAGCGGGATTGATTGTGCCACTATCAGCTCCGTTTGGCTGTGTGGAGAACATGAGTGCGCCGACGTGCTCGTACGTACGTTCGCCAGTGCAGTCAGTTGGACGTAGGTCCACGACGACGTGTCTTGATATAGTTGGACTAGTCGTTCGAAAGGGTTGCGCGACGAGGGGATCCCGGAGTTCGGGGGAGCAGGGTGGTGCGGAGGGATGGATGCAGCGGGATTACTCGTGCATGCGGTTGGCGCAATCCCGAATGATTGTCCGTCCCTGAACTTGGCGCGAGACAGATGAATGAGCGACAAAATGCGATCCGTTGACTAAAGTCAAAATTGCGAAAGCGAAAAAATCCACCATAAAGGGGATATAGGAAGAGAACGCAAAGCCGCAACACTAGCAGGTGTCTTGTTCCCCCGTTCTGGAGTCGCGTATGGTACGTTGTATGCACGTAGGAAAAGCTCCGAGGTTGAGGGACGTGGTAGTAAATAGGTAGGTGGGGGGGGATTGTGTTGGACGAGGAAGCTGAACCGAGAACCAGAGCTGCGATAGGCCAGGTTAGGGTCTCTCGGGTTTGGTCTGGGCCTTGGTATCCGGTTTTAGAGCCAGTACGGAGTACTTCCGGCGCGAGTGGCGAAATGAGCGGGGGTGTCGGGGTAATTTCAACTCGTGGGCGGGATGAACCCAAATGAATCAAACCAGAGGCAGCAGAAAAGATGACGAGGAATAGATACTTTGGTACACAAAAAGTATTTCGCCGTTATGAAGAGATATTCCTCGGACGTTCTGATCGTTCTGATCCGAGTCTCTCCTGCTGTAACAGGGTGGTTAATAGCGATGGATGGAGGGCCTGCTTTTCTTTTCGTTTTGGAACTGTCCGGCTTTGTGATCTCGATAGACTGCTCGGAATCGACTTGAGGTAAAGGAGAATAAAGTTGTTTAAGGTACTGATTGGTCGGCTTGGCGGTTGTCGATGGCTGTTTGGAAGGGGATCGCTCAAATGTGCGCGTGGTGGAGATGGATGGTTGGTATCGGTATGGGTATGGGTAGTATGAGATGATATGGGGATGGGGATGGGGATGGGGATGGTATGGATGTACAGCGCAGCGGGAAAGAATGGACGGAAGAGGGGGTGTGTGCTTCTTGCGTGCTGGTCCGCGTGCGAAGAATGTATACGTAGGTATACAAGTAGATGTCGGTTATGTACCCAGGCAGGCAAGATGCAAAGACGCAAGACGCAAGGCAGAACCACAACTAAACAGGTCGGATAGTTGCGACTTGTCAACTGCAGCCGTGTGATGAAGGGCGATGGTAAAGTGGTTCGTCGTTTTGTGGCGCAGCCACTCTTTTTTCTCCTCGCCGCTAGCGCGCTAAGGCAGTTGAAGATGCGCTGGTAGATACTAGTAAGAAAACTGACCAAAGCGTCGGACAACTTCTTCAGATTACCTGGAAAGTGAAACTAAGTAGATGATGGGCAGACTCTGTAGGCTACCGTCAAAGTTGAGTTAAGGGTACGGCTGGAGAAAACGATGATGGCATCAGGTAATAAACAAAGGCCGAGCGACGAATATGCGATACGAGCAACAGCGACAAGGTTTGCTATCGCCCTCTCTATTATCGCAGTGACACGGAAAGACGTGCCGAAATTCTCAATAGAAGCGGGGGCGGACGGCGGTGCTGTCGTTTAACAGCAGCGACGGGATAAGAGCCAGAAGTTTTTGAGTGATCGCAAAAGCGCGGGCGCAAATCAGCCGTGGAGCCGACCGTTGCATCCATCAAACCCCAGCGAGCGCGGAGGCGTGCGACGCGGATTCGGCGGGATGAGGACGAGGACGAGGACGGGGACGGGGACGGGGACGCGTTAATTACTGAACAAAAAAGCTCTTTGCGTTGCGACGAAACCGTTGAATTTCACGAGGCTGATGATAGTGATGGAACGCGGCTGTGGCGGAGGGCTGAGGGTTGAAGAAGCGTCCCTTGGGCTGTCGTCAGTCCTGGGTGATGGATGGGTATGGTATGGAGATGGGCTAACGGGACGAGATGGATGGGGGTGTGGGAAGGAGGGAGGGGGAAGAAAGCTGGAGTCATCGGTCGGGTGTCAGCGGTCTCTGGGCAGAAAAGCAACGTTTAAGTGGGGACCGTGCGAGATCTATTCTCTGACGGGGAGCGACAGCCTTCCACAGCACCCACAAGGAACAGGGGGCAGGCAAGGTGGGAAGGGAGTACGGGGAGCAAGGGGTTGTGACTACGAAGCGAGACAGGGGTTTATTTCAGCGTGCGAAGTATAGTGTACAATACGGAAAACGATTGAAAGTGGACCTCGCTTGCCAAGGTTGCCCGAAGAACAAAGGTACCTTAAGGCTTGGATACGGGTACGTATGTACAGAGGGAGTACTTTTCTACCTTACCTTACCGAACAATGCCCGTGCATGCACTGTCCAGCAATGACGCGTCTACCCAATTATCCTGTCGTCGCAAGTCTTTAGTTACGAAGTAATAACCTACCTTGACTCAATCGCGTTCGGTGTCCGTATCCGTTTATACAGTTCCAAGGGTCATCGAGAAGATAAGCGATAGTTGCTCGAAAGCCACGACGGAGCATCTGAGACAGAAATCACTACGAGGTAGAGACCAAAACGACCAGGCGGTGCAGAGTAAGGTAGGTAATACGATAATCAGATCTCTGGAACGATAGACCCGACTACGAAGAACCTCGAGCAGAAGTCCTAGGCACCTACGTTAGGTACCTTTAGGTAGTCAGGGTTTCCTTCCCGAACTGTTGGCGGGCATAAGGTATTCTGCACGCTGGGCATCCATGTGCTTCGTGCTTCGAAGGTACAACAACGTACCTTACGATGTAGGGGTGGTCGTCTGTGTCCTCGTTTGGGTATTGCAATTAGTTACTCCGTACTCTCCGTCTACAAATGTACAACGTTCGATTCCGTATAATAAGGTACTCTCTAGCTCTTTTGCTACTTTTTTCACACCACACACCCCGGCTAGATTCCCAGCGCATATGTGTGCTGCCGAACCTCCCGCCTCCCTCCATTAACTATTAAACCTGCCAGCACGGCCCTTGTAGGCAAAGTGGTGTCGAGTTTCAGCCGAGAAGGGTAGGAGACGCATATATTAATATTAATTAGGTACAGACCAGTATGTTGTGCGTACGAAATGGCATCTTCCCTTGTGCTTCTGTACCCCGACCTAGGTGCGGCCCGGCTCCAACTCCGCAGCGCTGGAACGAAGCATCCCACACGACATCACCATCAAACCCCTATCACCCCTCACAGCCACACCTCATTAACACCACGGTGGTCGCACTCGGGGGTGGCCGCCGGACACCAAGTGTCACAGCTCATAGGGCTGCATTCGTGAACAAAGAAAGCGTGCGCGATCTAATATGAAAGCGAGATCACTTGCAATGCAGTCTGATATCAAGAAACATTTCAAACATTTAATTTGGAAGTTCAAAGTTCAGATGTCTGTGGGGTTTCTGAGGAGGAGCCTGGTGGAACGATGCCCCTTGTAGGTACTCTCGACATTGGAAATGCACCCACCCAAACGTTACCGACCTTACCGTCGCCGAAAGTTCCCCATTGTGCTGAAATACCTCCATCCCCCCTCCACTGTCGTAATGTCCTTCTCATTTCCCACGATATTCGATACCTCGTGCTCATACATATAATATCAGGTACATTACCTAATTCCTGTGAAGCAATGCGCCGCAGGCATCAATCTCTCCTCTGATGGTTTCTTTAACTGTGCCGCCGAGTCACTCCTGAGCAAGTGGACCTCGGGTCATCTTCCAGGAAGTCCTGTTCTCTTTCTTTCATTTCCTGTTACGTACCTCCCTCCTGCTCAGCCTACCTTAGGTACTCGGAAAACTCGATTGATCATTGGATATGAATGTATACTCACTAGACCCATCCAAGTAGGTGTCACTGGGCGGGCAATGACTGGACCAGGGCAGCGAGGCAACGAGGGCATAATACCTTAGGAGGTGCTATCACTTCATCTCCCATCCCCGATAACTCAACTCGCGCTCAACTTGGACTTGATCCAACACCATTCATAAGCGAGCCTCAGCGATGATAAAACTCGATTCCATAAAATAGAGCCCTTAAACGTCTGGCATGACCCTCCAGAGGTAATGCTTTCCTGTTATGTCCACAGTCTGACCGGCCGCGTCGCATTCATCCCGCTACCGCTTACAAATAAAACCCGACTGTTGTAATCCGCTTCGCCCCTCTTCGTCCCAGTGCCCTAGGTATGGATTGACTCACGAAAATTATCTCACCGGCTGGAGGATTCTCACTAGCGCTTAGCCCATACTGGTGCGCACTACGTACGCTCAAGAACAACCTCCAAAAGACATGTATGAAATCCCAGCATCCATTGTCATTCTGTCTTGTCATTTTGGGTGTACCCAGAGAAAGTATTCTTCATAGCCCCAGTAAGGGTTTTTTCGCACAATTCAGCGCAAGTTCCTAGCCACTTCCGACAGAATCACACGCCATTGCATCGACTGATAGATCCCAACAGCGTCCGGAAATTAGATTAGTAAAGCGCACCGAGCTAACGGGGATTCCATGCGCTCAAAGGGCCTCGAGGAAAGTAACACTGACCTATGGATCGTGATATTAAGCGACTCCCAACTGCCCACTGTGCTATTGCTTATCTGCTCCACTTCATTTCTCCAGCGTCGGCCCGGCAGAATCCTGTGCTACCATGGGCGTAATTAGTCGTGTTTGTCTCGTTGGTTCAGCGCATACATAGCCTTGCCAGAAACTTGGACCAAACTTCGAGAGATGCTGTATTACTACCTATTATTAACCACAAAAGCTTCACCACTCAGCCGAGTCTGTTGCTACCGGGGAGCAACACGCTGATTGGCCCCTCGAATAACGCCACAGCTGAAGCTTGGTGCCAACATATACGGGGAATAAACAAGTTGCTGACAAGAGGCCGAAAAAGACCATCTGACGTCCTGTATTGGAAGATAGACGCTTCATCCGAGACTGTTTATTATTCCTGATTTTATTCCGTTGGAGAAGAAAAAAAAGATATCCTTACAGCCCACTTCATAATTTTGGCCTCAAGATGGCTGCCACCTTCTACCTCCGGGGTCTTCCTGGCTTATGCCCGAGTCCGAGATGGCTCGACCACTCTATCCGTCTGGTGTCGTTGAAACGCGAGAAGTCGCGTCGCTGAACGCGCCGTTTACTAATTAGCTCGTCTTCCCAGACAAGCCACATCCGGATTCTTTGGCCCAAAGCCTAACGTCCATGTGACTTAACCGGCAAGACACACCTCGCGCACACACACACACACACACACACACACACACACACACACACACACCAACTGAGCAAGGCTGGTAGATCTCGGACTACCAGGCTTAGACCCGGAGGTATGACTGGTCAGGAGATAATGAGGAACAATCTTCCAAAAGATGGTGTGTGAAAGACTTGAACTTCTCCAGGGATGAGATTGGAGGAGGGAACAGAAAAAAGAGAGGAGAGGGATAAGTCTGATTCGCCCACTAACTCTAGTCCAGACGCTAATTACCAACTGCCTTGTGTGCACGGGGCATATGATGCACATCATGCGGTGCGGCGGGTCTCCACATAGCTCACCCGTTCTCCACCTCTTTCCGAGACGCTAACCGTCGCCGTTAGCTAACGGTGCCTTGCCCACCAATCGGTCATCAACTTCAATCCATCCATCCATCAACATCCCTCGAACATCATCTTTTCTCTCCCTTGCCTCGCTGACACTTTACCGCTCGTCGACCCCGTCCCATGTTTGGCTGCCCTTCAACACACCCTTCATCTCGTCTCTTCACATGCCGTATCATCGATCAAATAGAACGAGCCGTGTCGCGTGCGCGTTGCGAACATGGGCGCAGCCAAGAACTCGACGCGGCAGGCCCAGTGGCACAGCACAGATTGGCGACAGGAATCTCCCGCCACACCCGAGACCCAAGCCGTTGAACTAGATTCTAGATGAACCGGCTCGTGGAGAAAGGATGATAAAGTAGAAGGCACTAGTTCAAGTCCTCCGGCCTTGTCATCCCCCTTCTCTCGCCGTCAACTAAACATACCCTAGGAGAAATGCATGTAAGCAAGAAAAAAGATATTTTTATCCGAAGCACGCCGGCTACAGTGTTTCCGTACTATTCGGAGCGAAGCTGGCTTTGCCTCTAGGTGTGGTTGACGCGACAGGAGTGGTTGATTACAAATACATCAGCTACGTACGGCACAGTACTTCTTCGTACCGCAGTTACATTAGGACCACTTTACTAACCCCCCCCCCCCCTATCCTTCTTCAGAAGCATGCAAATGCACTTGCCTGACAGGACTATTTAGATGCATCCATATCACTCAGCCTGGTACTCCACTGTTCGTGCTGTGAGTCAGATGAAGAGGACGGTCCCTTACTAAGTTTCTTATGTAGGCACCAAGGTGAGAGACTTCCCAGCCCTTTTCCTCGGGCGGGGAGGTCAGATGGAGGATGGTGAGGACCCGAGCCGTGCCAGCACAACAGCATCGGATGGGCGTTCGGTGCTGGCTGGTCTACATATACGTATGTCACGCCGTTCGTCGATTGCTGCGACTTTCGCACTATTTGCCATGTGGGATATCGTCGAGTAGGCCGGAATGAAACGACAGTAGAGGCTTGATTGTCTTCGTCCGAGGGGCCCTCATCGTATCCACCATCTCCCGTCCGGGTGGACACACCACCACAGCGGAAACTAAGCTATCCCTTGTTACCCGCTCCTGCAGCGGTACTAAATGCGTATTCCCCTGGTCAAGTGTGGTGGGCACCAGATATCTCTCCGTCTTTCGAGATTCTTTCTTTATGAGGGGTATGGATGTCTCGTCAGATATGCGTGTTTCTCATGGGACCCACGTTAGCATGAACGCGATACTTGTGATGGAAAGGTGGGTAGGTCGAGCATCTAGTGTCTTGTTACTGGGTTGTACGTAAGTTTATCACGTCCTCAACGCCACGCGCCTTGGTTGAACGCGCTTGCGTACGTTTAATTCACTCTTTTTGCCCACGTGCTGTATCTGTTTATCTTCTACTGACGTCACTTCCTTGCGGACTTTTGTAGCGTGAGTGTCGTTCCTTAGTTGTGACTAGCTTGCGAGATCACTACAAGTGTAGGCATTGGTGGAAGATCCCGCGAGTGGGTGGTTTATGAAGGTGCCACCGTTCGCGACTCGACCTTGAAATCGGGACCCCGCCCTCGATGTCACCCGGTCGCAAAAATACAATGATAGTTACCACAGAAGATTCCGCTGTTTTCCGCGCGTTCCATCTCGCCAAGCCGCGGAATGGGCCGGGGACTTGCAACAGTGGAAAGTGGAAATTTAATGAGACCCGAGTGGAGATGGACGTGGTAGGTATTCCGTACATATACTCCACCGTAGGCTGAGGAAGGTATGTAGGCATATATAGTCGCCAAAGCTTCGACGGGCCTCATCTGAGCTGAACCCGGCCCACACGAGACGGGCATAACGTACAGATTGATAGATAGATGTCTTCTCTGTGGCCGGCGTGGGTTTGCGGTACATGCAGGCCCTGTTCAGCGTCTCACTCATGCTCATGCATACGGGAATAACGATAACAATAGGGAGGATTAGGATGCTGGAAACGCGCACCGGAATACCAGAAAGCACCGCGAAGGTACGGAGAACACGAAACAGAAAGAAAGAACACCATGAAGAAGTGAAAGCAGAAGCTAAAATAAAGGTGGAAAGCCGAGGCAGAGATGAATAAGGATGAGTTCGAACCCCGAGGGAAAGAAACGGAGGTGGCTCGGTGCTATTTTTGTCGGCCCCCGCATTACCCGGCTGCAGTCTGGTGTATTCCGAAAGTTGTCTTGCCCTGACCCTCTTTGTCCGCGTGGCCCCTGCAGACTCTGTGGTGTCCCGACATAGATACAAACTCAGGGTATTATATTACACTTCTTCTGTAAAATAATTTCGACATCGAGCGATATCTTATATGAGGCGAATGTCAGGAGGTGCCGTCCAAACGTGATAACGGCTTTGAGGTCAAGTACCCAGCTAGTAATTCCCTTGTGTAACGTCGGGAACAAGAAAAAGCACTTCTTGTAACCCGTTTCGAAAGGGACTGAATCAAATCTGAGTAATTAATTACTAATTACGTAGTCTGTGACCCATTGATGAAGAAATATTAGAGATTAGATAAGCCCCGTCTCGGTGTGGGGTTGTTCGGTGTTTGTCAGCGGCTAGAGGTTTATCCCCACCAATTTTCACGCCTTCACGTCTTGGCAATATCAAACATCCCTTCATTTCAGCAAGAAAGACAGAAGAAGGCAAACATGACCAGCCTCAAACGTACCCTTGAGGCCGACTCATTCGCCTCAAACCTATCTAGCAAGGTATACGTTCGTTCAACGAGGAGCGGGAAAGTGCAAAAAATCGTACGCGAAGTCTACCTACGTCAAGACATTCCGTGCTCTTCCAAGCTCTGCCGGCAATGCCCTCAAAATGCTCCTCGAGATGCCGCCGGCAATGGTCAGTCTCATAAGAACTGCTTCATCTCGTTATATGTGCCTCATAATGCTGACCTTTTGCAGCGGTACCATTCGTTCTTTCGGATAAGCCGGCGGGGACCAAGGCCTTCCCTCAGGGACATTATATCCTCCCTGATACCAATGCACTTCTGAATGCCATGGACCTTTTTGAGCAGAGCTCGGCTTTTTACGACGTGATCATTCTTCAGACTGTTTTGGAAGAGCTCCGAAACCGGTCATTGCCACTCTACAACCGGTTGGTTGGCCTTACGAAAAGTGAGGATAAGCGCTTCTACGTCTTCTTTAACGAGTTCCGCCTCGAAACTTATATCCATCGCGAACCAAACGAGACGGTCAACGACCGCAATGACCGCGCCGTTCGAAGGGCTGTCAAGTGGTACGGCCAGCACCTAGCGCAGTCCAGCAAGTCCAAAAATCTGCCGGCAATCGTCATGCTGAGCGATGATCGTGACTGTATCGCCAAAGCTAAGGCCGATGGCCTTCATGCCATGACGCTATCTGAGTATGTTGGAGGACTGGAGGACTCTGAACGGCTGCTTGACATGGTCCCAGAAGCGCGGGAGGGAGGAGAATTCGACAAGCGCACTAGTTTCCTTTACCCGGAGTACTACACTCTCTCCAGGATGATGACTGGTGTCAAGGCTGGCCTTCTGCATCAGGGCATCTTCAATGTCTCCCCTTACAACTACCTGGAAGGGTCCATTAAGGTGCCCGCCTTCGTTAAGCCGCTCGTCCTCTTGGGTCGCGAAAACATGAATCGCGCCATCAACGGCGATGTCGTTGTGGTGGAGGTTCTTCCGAAAGACCAATGGAAGGAGCCCTCCACGAAGATCATTGAAGAGGAGGCCATCACGCAAAATGAGAACGCCGACAATGAGGAGGGCTCAGACCTCGTTTCGGAGAAAGAGCGCAAGGCTCTGCAGGAGGAAGTTAAGAAAACCCACAGCAAGAGCACGGAGGGTCGTCCTCAGCCAACCGCCAAGGTCGTCGGCGTGATCAAGCGCAACTGGCGCCAGTACGTCGGTCACATCGACCCTTCATCTACCAGTCAGAGCAGCACTCAGGGTCGACGCCAGGAAAACGTGTTCCTGATTCCCATGGACAAGTGTATACCCAAGATCCGGATCCGGACAAGGCAGTCCGGAGAGCTCCTCGGCAAGCGCGTCTTGGTCACTATCGACGCTTGGGAGCGAGATTCCCGCCATCCTGTGGGTCATTTCGTGCGCTCTCTGGGCGAACTCGAAACCAAGGCTGCCGAGACGGAAGCCCTACTTCTTGAATATGATGTTCAGTACCGGCCATTCCCCCGAACAGTTCTCGATTGTCTCCCCAAGGAAGGCCATGACTGGAAAGTTCCGGCCAGCATGGATGATCCCGGCTGGAGAGGCCGGGAGGATCTTCGCAGTCTTCTCATCTGCAGCATAGACCCCGTCGGGTGTCAAGATATCGATGATGCTCTACATGCCAGGCCGCTACCAAATGGAAACTTCGAAGTGGGCGTTCATATTGCCGACGTGTCCAACTTTGTCAAGCCCGCCACGGCTATGGACACAGAGGCGAGCATTCGGGGAACCACGGTCTATCTGGTTGACAAGCGAATTGACATGTTGCCGATGCTCTTGGGCACTGACCTATGTTCTCTGAAGCCGTACGTGGAGCGGTACGCCTTCTCAGTCATTTGGGAGCTGACCCCAGAGGCGGACGTAGTGAACGCCCGCTTCACTAAGTCGGTCATCAAGTCGAGAGAGGCATTCAGCTACGAACAAGCGCAGTTGAGGATTGATGACGCTTCCCAGCAAGACGACCTAACCCAAGGCATGCGGACCCTTATGATGCTGTCGAAAAAGCTGAAGCAGAAGCGTCTGGACGCTGGCGCCCTCAGTCTGTCCTCGCCCGAGGTCAGGGTGCAAATGGAATCGGAGACGTCGGATCCCATCGACGTGAAGACGAAGCAGATGCTCGATACGAATTCACTAGTCGAGGAGTTTATGCTTTTCGCCAATGTCAGCGTAGCCAGGAAAATCTACGAAGCCTTTCCTCAGACCGCTATTCTCCGCCGCCACGCAGCGCCACCCAAGACGAACTTCGACGAGCTCACGAACCAGCTGAAGGTCAAGAAGGGCCTGGAGCTCCACGTCGACTCGAGCAAGGCCCTCGCGGACTCGCTCGACGCCTGCGTTGATCCTTCCGACACATTCTTCAACACCCTCGTCCGCATCATGGCGACACGCTGCATGATGTCGGCCGAGTACTTCTGCTCCGGCACCCAGTCGTATCCGGAGTTCCGCCACTACGGCCTCGCCTCGGAGATCTACACCCATTTCACCTCGCCCATCCGCCGCTACGCCGACCTGCAGGCCCACCGCCAACTGGCCGCCGCCATCGGCTACGAGCCCATGCACCCCGCCGTCCGCAGCCGGGGCCGCCTCGAGGCCATCTGCAAGAACATCAACGTCCGGCACCGCAACGCGCAGCTGGCCGGGCGTGCCAGCATTGCGTACTACGTCGGGCAGGCGCTCAGGGGCAAAGAAGCCGAAGAAGAGGCTTTCGTCATGAAGATCTTCAGCAACGGGTTCGTGGTCCTCGTGCCGCGGTTCGGCATCGAGGGGTTGATTCGTCTGCGGGACTTGGCGACCCCCGAGCCTGAGAGCACGTTCGACCCGGAGAACTATGTCCTTACGACGTCGGGAAGCCGGGCTGTGACAATAGAACTTTTCCAGAAGGTTCGAGTGCGGGTCCAGGATGACATGGATGAGAAGACGGGCAAGAGGGGCGTGAAGATGGAGCTGGTTAAGCCGTGATTAGGAAGCGCAGAGAAATCGATTGAAGAGCTGTGCTTGGGGAGGAGAACCAAAGAGGAAGAAGCGGGAGGGTTTGGCTAATTATGTGAACATCTGTGGCTACAGCGAACATTCAATGTGTTGAAAATGAAGACGAGTATACCGTCGTTCAAACCAAAAGTTCCCATATGTATTGGCCCCTTTTTGTACCTTATAACGCCTTACCACGCAGTCTGAGAGATCAAAAGAAAGGAAAGGTATCTATCAACCCGGAAAGTAAAGTAGAGCCCACAGTCTTTCAACCCCAAACCCTCTCATAGCATGTATCATTGCTCCATGGCGTCAGTCTCCGGCGCCTCACCCTCACCGTCGTCTCCCCACAAGCCGTCAATCTTGAACTCCTTGGCCCATTCCGTGACGATAACTTTCTGGTCCGGAGCGGGCGCATCAACTCCCGTCGGCGCCGTCGAGGAGACGTTGTCGGTGGTGGCCAGGACCGGCGGCTCGACCCAGCCCTGGATGCGACCGTCCCGCCAGTCGTTGATGACGGTCATGGCGGCCGAATGTAAGTTGGGAACGCCACCGCGGCCGAGGCGTCCGCGCTTCCGGGCGACCTGGACGAGGAAGTCGGTGGTCATGTCGGGGCCGCCGGAAGACGAGGCGCTGGGGAGGAGAGCCGGCAGGTCGTAGACGTCGAGAAGCTTCTGCATGAGGTCGGCGGATGCGGAGAGACGCTTCAGGAGTAGGGTGACGGCCGGGATGGGGTCGTCGATCTGCTTGGGCGGGACGGCGTTGAGGAGGACGAGGTGGGCGCGGGCTTCGGAGGCGTTCTTGAGGGAGACGAGGCCGCCTCCGGCCGAGGTGGAGGTCGACGACGAAGGGAAGACGATACCGGGGGAGTCGAGGAGGGTGAGCTTGCTGTCGATCTTGACGGCGCGGATGCTGGTGGTCACGCCTGCCTCGGCGCCCGCCGGGCAGGCCTTGGAGGGGTTGCCTCCCCTACCTCCGCTTAGCCTCCCCAGCAGGGCATTGATGACAGACGACTTGCCGACGTTGGGGTAGCCGATGACGCCGACGGAGATGGCCCTCTTGAGCTGCTTGCTGGCGGCGTAGGACTTGAGGGCCCGGAACAAGTCGGCGGAGGTCTTTTGCACGGTCAGGTCCTTGTGGTTGAAGGTCTGTGCGTTGGGGGCCGGGTTCGAGGCGCGGAGCGGTAGAGTGGGGAAATATCGGCGCAGGTGGGCAAGCCAGCCTTTCAGAGCCTTGGGGGGGATCAGGTCGATCTTGTTGATGACGAGGATGAGCCTCTTGCCTCCGGAGGCGGCGGCCATGACGCTGCGTTCGACGTCCTGTGATCTTGTGCCTTCGGGGTCGCGGGCGTCGAGCACATAGATGATGACGTCGGCTTGTTCGACGACCTGTTTGAAGACCTTGTCGTAGGCCTTGCGCGAGGTGGCGTTCTTGAATGCCGGGTCGACCAGCGGCTGGCCGTCCTCACTATCGCCATCGCCGTCGTCGTCCATGCCGTCGTCCTGCAACTCTCGGTCGTACTTCTCAGCGGCCGCCCTCGCGCTTGCCAGGAGCGCTGCCATGGGATTCGATTCGTCGACCTCCTCGTCGCCATCCTCGTCCACCATCATGTCGGAATCCGCACCGTCGAACTCGGCATCCTCGTCCGCGTCTTCCATCTGGTCCGCATCATCCTCTTCTTCTTGCGTTGCGGCACCCGTCTTTGCAGCTTTGGCCATCTCTCGACGCTTCTGGGCCTCCTCCTGTTTCCTGGCGCGCTTCTCTTCGATCTCTTGGAGCATCTTCTCCTTGTAGGGGAAAAGGTTCGGAATGCCGGGGTCCTTCTTCAACTTGGAGCGCCATTCCGGGTTCTTCTTGGCCAACTTCTTCTGTTTCCTTTGCTTGGCCGCTGATGCCTTCTCGATCTTATGGCGCAAGCGGGCGGGCTGCCGCTTGGATTTGGGCCCTGAATGGAGGAGTCTGAAGTCAGCTGGAAATTCATTGGCCTACGACGGGTATAATAGCCACCGTCGTGACAATGTAAGAGATACTGACTCTTTGGCTTGTTGATCGCGTTGGCCATGGTTTTTCGTTCGGGGTATTGTTGACGGTGTGATTACCTTTTTGCCGTCTTTGGTCCGTGGTCACCGCTGCGAGAAAAAAAAACCCCCCAGGCTGGTGGTTTGTAACATGGAACTTGCTCATAAAAATTTAGTGGGTGGAACATTTTTGCCCGCTTTCACCGCCCTCTTCACCCCACGTTCCTCCTCACCGCCCGCCGGCCCACCTTACAGTGTTGCTGACTAATTAGGAGCCGACGACAACGGCGGGCTTTTCCCTTATTAGGAAGTTCCGCTTTATCAAGACCACGGATACGAAGACGGAGGGACGGACGTCCAATAATCACATACGGACCAGAGCCCATGAATCGAATCTTCACAACCCAATTTTCACCTTGTCATATTCTACTTCACGTCTCTGAACCCCCAGAAACCGGTAGAAAGGCCATTATAAAATTTACACTCTCATCTTTCCTAAATCCGCGGAGAGAACGAGTCAACTGTTCCTAATATACTCGCCGTCTCACGTCAGCAACCGAAAAGACGCCTTTCCCTTTACTTAGGTCCTCTTTCTCGTCCATCTTAATCCCAGATCGTCTTCCAACGTATACTCGGCATATAGATATATATATTAGACGCTCTCAGGTAACATGGGCTCCGCCGAACAAAACCTTGACGAGACCTTCAAGGCGCCTCCTGAGTGCGTCCCATTTGATGGCTTCCTCTTCGACATGGACGGCACCATCATCGACTCGACACCTGCCGTCATCAAACACTGGACAAAGCAAGTATAAAGCCTCTTATCTCATGTCTTTTCGTTTCCACGACATTGCATGAACCTAAGTCTCATATCACTTCCTCATCCCTTGCATCTGCATCTGCATCTGCGGCTGTTCAGGTTGAGATATTCGACATCCACCCGGCCCTGACCCCTTGCAAAGGATCGGAGAACCCATGCGGTATGCGTGTATCAATGGCATGGCTAACATGTATTGCCTTACTCTCCCTTGACAGTATCGGCGAAGAAATTGGGGTTCCTGGAAATGTCATCCTTGAGACCTCACATGGCCGCCGCAGCATCGACATCCTGAAGATCCTGGCCCCAGAAAAAGCAAATTGGGAGTGTAAGTTACGTGCCCTCTGCATGGTCGGCCTTGTCTCTCTCTCCTCTTCTGTCCTCATTTCGTTTCCATCCCTTCGTCGTGGTGACGATTTGGATGTCGCATGAGAAGAGAGAAACACGTATCCCTTTCCCCGTCCTTCTCCCTTGTTTATCCCCGCCCCTTCTGTTTCTTCGTCTTCTTAAATCTCCCATTACCCTTTCCCTTTCCTGTTTTTCCCTTGCTTTCATAAACTTGAAGAATCTTTATTCCTATAATGCGGATGAGTTGACCCGAAGAACGTGGGCCGATAAGTCTGAGGATATGAGGCAGAAACAGCTAACTGGAAGTCCCCCCCCCCCCCTGACCGTCTAGACGTCTGCGAGATGGAAGGCCGCCTGCCTAAACTCTACGCCGACGGAGCCGTGGAAATCCCCGGCGCCAGATCCCTCCTGGAGTCCCTGATGAAGGAAAACACTCCCTGGGCGATCGTCACCTCGGGCACCGAGCCCCTCGTCGGGGGGTGGCTCGGCATCCTCGGCCTCCCTCGACCCCAGCACCTCGTCACTGCGGAGTCTGTCCTCAACGGCAAGCCGGACCCAACCTGTTACGTGATGGGTCGGGAAAAGTTGGGTCTGCAGGACCCGACGAAGCAGGTTCTCGTACTGGAGGATAGCCCGGCGGGCATCAAGTCCGGAAAGGACGCTGGCTGTAAAGTCATTGGTCTGGTCACGAGTCACACCCTGGAGCAGGTCGCCGCCGCGGAGCCGGATTGGATTGTCAAGGATCTCAGCTCGGTCAGAGTGGTGGGATACAAGGACGGAGTGACGACATTGCAGATCTCAGATGCGCATGTCCCTCCCGCGCGTCGCACATAGAAAGGATAGACTTGCATTCGCATCACATCTGTTGATAGAGTACGAGATGTAATCTTGACCCGTCCCGGCTGCTTAGCCACCTGCCCAGTTTCCCCGTCTACTTCTTCCCGGATTCGGGCATATTCGTACGATTCGTTATGATATCAACATAATGTCGAGTTGATCGGAAGACGGATCAAATTAGACCCTCAAGACTGCAGGGTCTGTAACACAAGCTGACTTCAGTCAGTTCTCGGGGACCTTCAGTTCGCTTTCTTGACTGACAAGGGAAGAACTACACGACGAGGCCGCAGCCCGTCGTACATAGATACCGAGCTCGAGGCTCCCGCCGAAAGTGATACCGCCAAGAAAACGGCACACTCGTACTGCGTACCTGCATGTCCCCTCCGGCGAGTGAGTGTCACGAGAGAAACTGTCAAAAGTCCTTGCTGCCGGAGCCTAGTGGGCAATCGTTAGCCAGAATACAATGCGCTTCGGGCAAGGAGGCCGAGCTGCGGAGGTCATCGGGTTGGTGCACTCATAGTTTCGCTTGACGGGGAAGCCCAGGTCCATGAGCCCCTCCGGCTCTCGCAAACTCCGGAAAGGATCACAAGATTAGCAGCTGCTCGTTTTTATGTGTGTTGCCGTCCGAGATTAAAAGCCGACCCCCATGTGCTCTTCTCGGGGGATACAAAGGTGATGGCAGATTTTCATGATCGTTTAAGGCGTGGTAACGATTATTGAACCTGGCAAAAGGAAGCGATGATACACAACCAGCTCTGATGATCAAATGAGAAGGGGATTTGGTAATCTGCAGGCCAGGATCGAACGGCTTGCGCAGGGAGGAGCCAACCCTCCATGAACAGCACCACAACTACAGCCATAGTCGTGGCATGCATACCGCCCTCTGAGGTGGAAAGAAGGTTGAGATGGGTGGGAAAATGCAGTCCCCGTCACGGACAGGTGCAGGAAATGGGTAGATGATCAGCAAGAAGAAGCAGTGATACACCATCACGTTGCTCAGGTCGGCGATATGAGTAACAATGGACGAGCCTTGTACAACCTCGACTCCGGTCCCCGGGGGTGGATGATTGGCTCGAGGCCGGACAGCCCTGAGACTCGAGATGAAAGACATCGGTTGATCACTGCGTACATACAAAACAAAACAATTCCAAAGTATGTAATCACCTATTCACCTACCTCAGACCCCACAGAGGCGCGCAAGCCTGCCCTCGGCAGCCTGTCAACAGGCGAGGGAGCCATCCCCGCTGGCATTCAGTTCGTATGTACAATCTAGCCTCTTCCCACGCCCCCCCCCTTTCCTCTTTTATTTCGAGCACGGTCACCTCGTACTGTAGGTCGACCATCGTGCCCAAGTCCTCGGATCACGCCAAGACGCGATTTACGCCAGCAGGACGCCGGTGCCAGTGCCCCGGGCGACAAAGCCTCATCCTCCTTTCGGATAATTCGCTGTGACTGTGAACGTATTCAAGCAGCGCGGGAGCGGAGCGGATATCATTACCATCTTCCAACGGAGAGCAACAAATCGGACGAAAGTACGAATATCTTAGCAACAGGCACCAGAAGATGGGGGACAGCTCCCCACTCCTCCTCCTAACCGGTGCCAATCTTATTTTTCTTTGTCTCGTTTCTTTTCCTTCTATTTTGATCGCCACTGGACCACAGTTAACCACCAGAAACCTGTATCGTGGTGTCGCATTGAGGAGGAAAAGAAAGAAAAAAGCATATTACGTGCATCATGAAATGAGGTTTCAATCAAACCACACGTCATTCATATGCCTATCCCGCAGCATGTGGATCCGTTTCCAGGTACAATTCGTACGTTACGAGGTCGTCCCTTGGTCAGTCAACCTTGGATGGTCCCGAGATAATAAGACAAAATTCATGCGTATCCCTGACGTTCAGAGGAGGTGTAAGTAATTTGAACCCCCATAGGGGGTGTAGTAGTAGCTTGGCACAATCAGGTAGTGGGTACACCCCCGAACGAAAAACGTGTCGGAGGTCCAAGCGCTGCCCAGCTCCCCACAAGCATCGCAAGGATACTCCTGTAAGGGGAAATATGTATGTACGTTGTACACAAATGTTCAAGTTGCCAGTGATGCCCCCGGCCCACGCACTAAAGTACATGGGTGAAAAGCGAAGTGACTCTGGAAAGACCCGAGAAGGACAGAAGATGTGAGGTGGGGGTGGTGCGGGCGATGGTAATCTTCTCGTCCAACTAGGTTCACCGAATGAGATGTACGAAGGTACTTCGTACTGAACCACAAGGCAAAGTCCGCTCGCACGTGGCAGCCCGCCCACATTCCTGATCGCTCCCGAACCTGATCGGGCTAAGGATGGTTAACGCCAACGAAAAAAAAAACCTACCGCCCCCTCGCTCCTCCCAGCAGTGTGGTCGAGCTAGACCTTTAGGATCTCACATCCACGTGTAGTCGAGTCGGAGACGTTGCAACTGACGGAAAAGTCATCATGGTTGTCGTCTGTCGTCCGTCCGTCGTCGTCGTTCGTCCAGCCCCCAAACCAAAACAACCTAAAGTGTTATCCATCACAATCTTATGAAACACTCTAAAACAGCAAGGAAAGCCAATACCTACTAATTACCCCACAGAATCAAGGAGAGACTATCCGAAACCCGGGAAATCCTCGCGCCGATTAGCTGTGACGGTTGACGGGGGATTCTCCGTGTTCGACATGACCAAACTCGCTGGAGCCGTCACCATGATATATGTACTACCTATGTATGCACAAATTGAAGAAACGGCCGAGTTCGAAAATAGATGCCAAGATAGTTCCATGGGATTCCGATTTCGGCCTCGGGCGCGCCTCGCTGAGCACGAGCATCCACCCGGGAGGATGGTAAGGTGGAGGGATAAGCTCAGTTAGCGGGCCCCTCAAACAAGGCGATTGAGAATGGTGCAGCGGAATGTTGCCGGGGGTTTCAGAGTTACAGAGAGAGAGAGAGAGAGCGCTGTCACATCACAGAGTCTGACCCTCCCATATACGAAGTGCTCTCTGTCCCCCCGTGGGTAATGAATGGCTCGCCAATCTCAAGTTGTTCGCTCCGCACAATAATGTGTGATGATGGACCACGACCGGGAAAATGCATATACCGTTCCTCCCCGGCTGCCGTTGAGATCATGAAAGCAGCTTCTAGAGCAGAGCATAATTGTCCTCATGACTCGACGATATGATTTTGACTGGGTACCAAAGGATGCGAGGCGCGCGGTGGTAACCGCGGCCAATCGGGAGTCAATCGCACGGAGCGACAGTGTGGCTGAGATAAGGCCTGGCATAAGGCGAGGTCCAAGGGCCTGCATATGTACAGCGGCTCCCTCTCCCCCATCGTGCTAGGAAAAAAAGGGGCAGACCTCATGATACGAGGGATGCTCGTCTCTTTTTACATTACGTGCAGTATGTACCGTTGTACCTTAGGTAGGTGGGGTGAAGAAGCGAAATAATAAGAGTGACCGCCAGATCCTTCAGGGGGTGCAATGTCATCCAATCAGCGCGCCAAGGGTCGCCAAGAGGTGGAACTCATACGAAGTGCGATGTACGTGTAGGTACGTATTGCTGGGCGCTGTGTGGTCTTTGGTAGAATCCCGTGAGTAAACCCTCCATGGTCGTACCACCCCCTACTGAGCAGTTACCCCATGTCTGCAGGGTCTAGTAGGCACTTCCCGTTGCCGAGGACTCCTGGCATGGTAGCACTGAGATGCTCCGTGGTGTTGATTCTCGTTTTGTGCCCGTGCCCGTGCCCGTAGGGTCGGCTCATCTGTCTTTTACCCCGGTCGTTCCTCGCTGGTGTTTTCGCTTGTTGAGTTATTATACGGAACATGGAAAAGGGCATATTCGTGCAGGAAAATACTGTAAGTATTCTATCCCTACATCACCTACCCATCGAAGCCATTGCCCCCCATTCATGAACTCGAGTCGAGCCGAGTGTGCTTCGTTGACTGGGGATGGTGAGGAAAGCAGGGGCTCTTTCATCCCCTCCGGGGGTTTTTTCTTTTGAAAGAGATTTTTTTTTTTTGGCGTCGGGCGTCCCGATTCGAAGATCTGGACGACCTGGGGGGAAAGGGCGTCAGTTTCGACAATGTTTTCTTGGTGGTGGTGTGGTCACATACCAAGCAGGCTACCTAGTTCCGAGAGCGGTACTTCCCTATACGTGAAGCGCGAAAGTACCTCGGAAGCTCCCACTGCGCAAAATGGTACTTGCCCTACCGAGGTAGAATGGTGGCCCAATGCAGCCAGAGGAGGCCCCCCTTCAGCTACCAACGGGAGAAAGACCTACCTAATCTGTGTACATTACGGTACGGGATGATGCGCGGCAAGGATGCTTTGTTCCGCGGTTCCAATTGCACCGTGGGACAGCAGGAGAACGGATTTGGAGCTGTACTTGGTACGATTTAGGTGTCACTCGACCGCTGGCTGCACAGGTCATACGGGTACGGCTATGGCACGGCCTTATCCGGACGAAGTTTGACATTGCTGGATACACCTCTTCGATGGCCAACAACGGCGGATGGATGGGCTTTGGAGTGAGAATCCTACAACAGGTGTAAGCCGTGACAATGCTGTCGAGAGACATCCAGACCGTCGGGCATCAAGGTCCGATACCCACACCGCATAACGTCGACCGGCTTGCACTGAGAACATTTCGCCTCAGGCACCAGGCGGCAGTCGCCTGACGTGTTCGGCTTGAGGAGCAGCAAGCGGTCAGTATGCCTAGCCCTTTGCTTCTTTTCTGAGGGGAAGAGCAACCGGGCAGAGCGAGCGGGAAAGCCGTGTGGATATTGCGACAGAATGTGAAGATCTCCGAATCCCCCCGCATTGAGACGCGAGACCGCCCAGTCAGCGTTTGAGCAGAATTGACGTTTTCTTTATTAACCTCACTAAGAACTCACTTACTAGATCACATAATAAAAAGATGGGAGGGAAAAACGCATTCGTGCAAAAGACAGAGGGCCTGACAGAGCGCCTAGGGTTCCGTCTCCATGCCGGATGGTAGTAGCGACAGGGGTTAGGTCGCCGTTCATCTCGTCGCTCTGCCGGGTCCCGCCAAATTTGAACGTTTTGGGGAACCATCCTGCGGAACGCCGCCGTCTCACACCCACTCTCCTCCAACAAAACAACCAATCGCGTTGCGAGCACTGGGGGGAAGGGGGGTGGGTGTTGTGTGTCTGGGGCTGGGACCGTCGCCTATGAACACGATGACCTGCATACCGGTACGTTGTAACTACAATGTACCTTACCCTGGGGGGAAGTACTTCGTACGAAGCACTTTATATCCATCGCGGTATGAAAAATGTGACCTATTTGATAGACCGGTGACAGAAATAACTTCAACTAACCTGCCATGCGGCTTTGCAGTGTAACCCTGTATGGAGTTTGGTGTTCAATTGGGCGCAAGTCAATTTCAGCGGAGGACCAGAAGGGTGTTAGGGTGCGCAACTGCCACCCTGGCGGTGGCGGTGAGCTGCCGGAGTTAGCTTCTGCCCATTTCTCTTCAGGAATCGACGCTACAGGGTACCTTACGGAGTAGGATGGCCACGTGTAACCCAAGCTGGTGCCGGTAGCTGGTACGTCAACTTGGGTTGTCGATGTGAAATGAAAGCTGTACGTGTATGTATGTGTGTGTGCCGATCTGGCGATGAGGGGGTTGACTTCCAGCTCTCAGGTGGTCGGGATCACCGGTTGCTCAGTTAGGGCGGGGGGTTCAATCGGCCCATTCTGTGCTGATCCTATTCGTACCTATTGTTGTACAACGTATAGTGTGATGTACAGATACGTTGTACGAAGAACGAAAACGAAGTAGCCGCCTTATGTAAGCAAGGGGAGATAACACACAACAACCTTCCGCGATGTGGTGTGATAAGGTAGCGACTGGGATTTTCCGTTTCCGATAACGATGGAGGCGTTCATTTTGAGGGGTCTCTCGGTGAACGTATGGGCAAGCGCCAGTATGGTCCGTGGCATTCGAAGGTAAAAAAAAAAAAAAAAAAAAACCCAATCCTTCAGTTAATCAAGTGGTCCCCGAGGGTGAAGATAGGTGAGCCGACCGACCCGTCTTATCTTTTAGTTATTAGTTACGTACAACGTACAGGATGTTTGTCGACCGCGGATTCGCGCTGGCGACGCGACGGGAGATCCACTTCAGGTCTGACGCACGCCTTACAACGTACGATCTCATGGGGGGGGTTCCAGGCTCCCACTACCCGAGACATGACGGGGATGTTATGATTGTGGTTGCATCCGTGGGCTGTGCCTCTTGAGAAAATCCGAAAATTCGAAAATCCGTCCTCAACTCGTCGGTGGGTAGGTAGACGGATGGATGGTAGACGGATGGATGATAGACGGACGTGAGCGAGAACTGCGGTCAGTGGAATGCATTAATGGGGAGGACCTCGATCGATGATAAGGTAGGCGCTGGGCATGGGTCGTGCCTTCTTGCCGGTAACATAGTTCAAATGGGTGCATCGCACCTCGGCGGAGGGAGTAACATATGTACCTTAGGTAACCTACCTAAACCTTCACCAATTGATCCAATTGCATACCGTGGTCCGTACCTTGCCAGGATGGTGCAGCATCTCATGCATGCTGTGCCTCGGGGCACAGAGTACCTGAGTCCATACCTGTAGAGGACCAAAAGCTCCACGGACTTGATTCTCTTTGGGTGGACGGTGCAACGTATGTGTATGTGTCGTCCCATCTCAATTTCGCTGGAGCGCACCATCGGACTCGACTTGCCGCCCGGGTTTATCTGATCTGCTCATAGATTGCTCTAGAGATAGATGCCTCGATTTGCCCTGCATAGGACGTTGCTTTCGTGCTGGGGTAGCGAAGGAATGAATTGCTCCCAATTGTTCCTGCCAGCGGCGTCGACGAGAGTCGAGAACCCCGCGACCACTGCCTTGCCCTCGCTTCTTTTCCCTATCGCGGTTGTCGGCTTTTAGAAGGATGTTTTCATGCTACCTATAGTGTCTCAGGCGAGTTGTCACATCACATCTACTCCCTTTCGTGTTTTCATCAACTTCCCACCTCATCTCACATCCCTCCTCCCTCTTCGGCGGAGCCAACTCGAGACTTATCCCTTGGTATCAAGTTCAATCTCAGCCGTGTCCACCCACTAATTACCACCGAACCACCGCTCACGCCAGATGCTCCATTTCAGCCAGAAAAAGATATAGATTTACCAAAGGGATGAAGACTTCGTTCTCCATGGCCCGCCCGATATTTAACGCGGCGCATCGCGCGACACGCTCCTACTTGACCTTGACCTAATTGGAAGGGAACCGTGTAAATGTTAAAAAAAAAAAAAATCCATTCCTCTCGGCCGTCTCTGATCACTCCCTCTTTCTCTGCATCCAGGACTCCTATTTTCGGGTGCAAAGGCAGCGTGGGGACCCGACGGATGCGATCCCTTGCTTATTTTGGCCCTATGCTTCCTCCACCCTTCATCGATCATCGAGCTATACGGGGTACGAAGTAAAAAGCGCTCCCCACCATCCGTCCCTCGCTCACATCCTCTCCCATCAGATCAGGCCTCACTTGACTTCCGTCCGTTCAGGTCCCCGGCGTGTGCGACCGCCAAGCCTGATGGGCTCTGGGTCTGGAGCATGCAGACGCGACAACAGCACTGATGGTGTACGTTGTACACGTACATGCAGGTAGGGGTTTGGATGGCTGAGGACCAGGGGTGGAGGAAGTACATACGAATAAGAGCACCGCCCACTTAGGTTCCTTCAAGGTACAGTGTTGAGCAGGCAGTTCCCAGGTCGACAGGGGTCGGGTCAGGTCAGGGCTGCAGTGGTGGACACCTTAGGGGCCGAGGGGGGTTTGCCCAGGTACAACGTACATACAACGTACCTTAGGCGACAACCCACAACCCCCCCCCCCTTTTTTTTTCTCCCGCCAAAAAAACCCGTCCGAGCTTCCCTTGCGCCCCTGGGGCTTTTTGACTTTCCCACTTTCCGAGTCTGTTCCTGGCGACACCTGCGCTTCACTCTCCCACGTTCTTGACTATGACTGGCCTTTGTCGACGCGGGAACCACACCCAATCCCGATCGACAACCCCAAATTGGGAACACCTCAGGTACCCCCTCACGATATGAGGAAGTAGGTATGTACCGTATGTAGTACGTTGTACATGGCTTCGTCTACGTTGTACGTTGTACCTTGCCTTAGGTACCTGGACGGCCAACGGTGAAAAAGAACCTTAAAAAACAAGGGGGAGTAAAAAGGGGGAAAGTAATCGCCCTCCCCCATGTCCTCTGCCTCTGATGAGTTCCGAGTTCCATCTCCATCCCACCCCATCCCCCTCGAGGCTTTCCTCCCCCCCCTCCACACCCCCCTTGCTCGCCTCCCCGCCCTGGACCCGTTGCCGCCACCGAATCACCGAACCACCCCCTAGCTCGACGGACCCATGTTCCCTCACGACAGAAAACGCGCCCAGTGGTAATTTCCGTACATCTTCCCTTAAGCCCCTTCAACCGAGCATGCTTTCCGTCTCTCGCTTCTTTTCATTGTTTGTTTTCCTCCCCTCAGTCCTCAGACCTGCGCAAATCCAGGGAAACGTGAGCTCTTCCTACCTCCCTCTTAATCGTCATATTATTCCCTCGGGAGACCACTCAACGAAAGCTTGTCTCACTAATTTCGTCTCCACTGCTTTTACTCTTCTCTTGGCTTCTCTTCCCGTTTCTCCCTCCTGCTTCCTTAAAAGTGAAGAGACGGCCCCCGTCGCTGGTTCTTCTGAGCCCTCATCATTGCTTCTTGCGACTCGGGTTGTCATATTTCACGGCTCTGACTTCTCTCTACCTCCCTACCTTCGGATTATAATCTTCTTTCACAAAACCTCGCCCTTCGCTTTATCTCCATCGACTGGAGTGGGAAGCAACACGAGCTACGAGGCATCGAACCGAGCCTCTTGGGGAATTTGGAATCGGTTCCGCCGAGAGGCAAGACGCAGCAGCGATGGAGTACTTTCCCAACAACTTTGCTGCCGTTTACCATTACGCCCCCTACAACCACGGCCAATATCCCATGAACCACGCCATACCATACCATCGTAACGCTGAACCATGGCAGCCGGAAGCCTTGATCCACCATGATCACCATGGTGGGAGGACTACCGAGTCCAAGCCAAGACTGGCCAAGGAGGAGGTCGACAAGCTCGAGCGCGAGTTTCAGCGAAACAACAAACCGAACAGCAATTTGAAGAAACAGCTCGCGGAGGAGATGAGAGTAGACGTTGCGAGAATTAACGTGCGCAGGCCCCTTCGCCTTTTCCATCTTATTCATAATCTTGCTTCTTGTTCTGAACATGCCCGACTGACCACCCCCTCGCAGAATTGGTTCCAGAATAGAAGAGCCAAGGCCAAACAGGAGCGCCGTACGCAGGAGAACGAGGTTAGGCGGAAATCCGAACAAGCGTCGGACAAATCGGACGACGACGCGGTCCAGGAGTACTACCCCGACGGTGACCACCACGATGATCTGCGCCCTTCTGCCGCACCCTTTCCCCCGCTAAGCGCGCCGAGCTCTTCGGGAAATTTGGACTCCTCGAACAGGCCGGCGAAGACGGATCAGAACCCCTCCGAGGACGCCGAACTGGAGCAGGAGTCGTGCAACTCGGACGCCTTCCAATCCCTCAACCCATCGTTCCAGGACTATTGCTCGACCGATAGCATGTCCTACACCCCCGACTCATGCGACTTTTCCTCCATGGCCTCATCCCGCTTCGACCAGCACCATCACGGGACCGTCGGGATTTCCTTACCGGAACGATTCCCCTCTGTCGCCCGGGCCCCCTCGAACACGGCCCTTTATGGGTCGTTTTCCGGCTTCGGAGGCGCCGCACAGCTGGGCGATGACTTCGCGTCGCTAACCGCACACTCCGCCTCGAGCATTACCTCGGCCGATGTGGACGGTGGTCTGGTGACTGACCAGGTCGGTGTGGAAGGCGGCATCGACCTGGACCAGCTCTCGCCAGACTCGGCCCATTCTCCCATGTCCACGGGGCCCGGCGCTCAGTTCAAGTCGCCTGCCATTGACATTGCAAGCCGCCGCAATACCAAGCGCCCCGCCCAGCTCGGTCTCGGATGTATGCGGAGCAGCTCGTACAACCTATCGGGCATAAAGACCAACGCCGACATGTCAAGGCGCATGGAAATCCCTAGCCCCATGCGCCGTGTGGCATCAGCCACGGGCGGCCTGCCCAGGGGGATTCAGAAGCCCGTCAGCGCAGCGCCGAGATCGCCCATGTTCTTTGATCGAAACCAAGAGACTATGCTGCTGCAGATGGCGTCGAGGACCCCGGCAGCGTCGACACCGCATAGCTCGGCCGCCCCGCCGACTCCCAACACGCCCATTCTCGGCACCCATCATGAGATGGTGGAGCCCGAGGCTTCCACGACGTCGCCGTCCTCGGGGCAGGATAAGTCTTGCCTCTTCCAGGCCGACATGATGGGCAACCCGTTTCAGCTGGATCCGACCATGAGAACGCCCCCTGACACCCCCGGGTTGGCGCACCATTTCCCCGGGGCGGTCTTCCCAAGCCAGCCGCCTCTGGCAGGCTACGGCTACAATGTTACGGATGAGCCTCTTGTCACCCCGGTTTTGGGGAGGTTCGATGCCGAGTACCCAACCCTGTCCACGGGGCTAGCGGCCTATGTGATGCAAAACTCCGGCAGCCAGCCTTCGACGCCATCCTTTGGCCCCTCTTCGGCGATGGGGCCGGCTTTTTACCTGCCGTATGCGGGAGGCAACACTGAGTATAACTGGTCCGATACTTCGGACCACTCACCCCCGGGACACTCAAGAACGAAGCAATTTCAGTTTACGAACATGACGCCACAGGACTTTCACGGGGAAAGGTGCTAGGCTACCACATCTTCCTCATACAAATATGCCTTGGGGGGGTTTATTTTAATAGATACCTTGGCATCTGCGCATTGTACAAGAGCTCTTTTGACGTGCTTTTTTTCTTTTTTCTTCTTTTCTCGTTCTTATTCCCTTACTTCCCTCCCCCCTTTCCCGTAGCCTGCAATGCTCATGATACCTTTTGCTGTACAGGATCATGCACCCCGGTTATCATACCCCTTTTTACTTCACATATACCAAGAAACCATTTGTTTCCTTTTCCTCCAGCGTCATAGGAAAGAAAAAAAGCGGACGGCACGTGTGCCTTGAATAATGTAATGAGATCAGTTAATGTCAGTAACGGTCGAGTCGGCGTTTCTGGGCGGAATGCGGCGGATAATTAGCGGATAGTTAGTATCGCTCAGCCTGGCAGCTATTGGGGGGTTTTTTCTTTTCTTCCTTTTTCGGGCCTTTCTTGGGAGAACTGCGTGGCCGTCGATCGAGTCCTGTAGTGCGAAAAGGGGGATGGACCCAAAATGAAGATCAAGGGAGAGGGGGAGAAAGCGCAGAAGTCGAAGAAATATATCAGTTATTGTAAAATGAGCTCCTCGCAGCTGTGGTCCACCCGTCTTCGTTCTATGATCTTCGCCTTCTTTTTCTCTGCGTTGTTTTGTTGTTTTAAAGGCACTGTGAACTGGCTGGACGTATCCGCGCCCACTCCTTACCGTTTACTGTCTTTGTCAGGGCTTCGTAGCAGTTGTCGAGGAGCCGTGTCGAGGAGCCGTGTGTAGGGCAAGGGAAGCTGACCTGACCGTGAGCACGTGAGTTTCTTTCTTGGTGTAATTACTCTGTACCATGTCAGTCCATGGACTTGGGTGCCCCGATCGACTGGTCGACGATCCGCACGGGCCGTTGGTTAATTCGACCGAAACCAAACTTTGGGTCCACGGATACGGAGTAATTAAGCGGCCCTATGTACGGAGGTACGGAGCACACTAAGAGTCAAGAGGGAATTACTGAGCAAGGTACCTTACATATTATGTACTGGGCAGACAGGTATAGGGTATATCGAACGAAGCCCCTGACTTAATACACCACGCCGCAGATCAACGGCCTGGGTCCATCCCCATCACGAGTACAACTCCACTTTGGAAAACAATGCTAGGTACCTTACGATTACACGTGTACTATGGTTACCGGCGGGTCGGTTGGGGGGGGGGGGGGGGGGGGGGGGGGGGGGGGGGGGGGGGGTTCAATAGGGGCGCCTCTTCCGCTTTGTGTGGTTGAGGCATAATGTCAATCGTACCATATATAACGAGCGAAGGAACTCCCCCCCCCACCCCCCCCAAATCAAGTACCCACGATGCATAGAAGGCGGTTGATATAGCCAAGGGGGGTTCTCGCAACGTAAAGAGCCTAAGCAACGCCCAATGTCGTTCCTCGAATATCACTGCCCCCAACTTCAGCCCCCTCTCGATGTAACGGCGCTCGCCACCAATATGTTAATTATAGCAATCGAGTGTTCAGGGACATTAAATTCAAAGACGCAATATGTTGTCTGCTAATGTCCCGCTTGAATGGATGGAGAACTTCTGTCTTTTAATTTACATCCTTGGGTTCTCACAGCTCGCCTAACGTGCGGAATCCAGCCCGTGGACGAGGAAGAGCTGTATTTGGTTGCCATAATTAGTCGTTGTTTCTTTTACAGGGAAGTAATCATACCCTTGCCTAAATCATGCGGCAAGGCATATTGAAACGAGGCAGAATGGATGCCCTGGACGGCGAGGGAACCAAAGGAAGCAAAGAGAAACGGAAAAGAAAGGAGGGGTGGGGATTAGAGGGGGTAAATGGTCAAAAGAAAAAGGGGGACAAGTGAAAACGAGAAAGAAACAGCGAGAAACCAAAACTCTCGAGATGTCCATTCATTAGATTGCTCTTCTTCACACATATTCAGTGAGGAGGTGATATCTCCCCCGAGACCACATCTCCCTTGAGCTCCCACCGGGAGTCTCCGAAACGTATGAAAGCCGCAACTCATCAACTTTGACCCTATCATCAACAGCTTGAGTTCTCTCTTGTTGCCTGTTCCTGTTCCTGTTCCTGTTCCTGTTCCTACCAGGATACTATGCCCTCTCCACATACCCCCCGAGTTTGGAACGTAAAATATCTCATCGTTGTCCCCCCGCCCCCCCTTCTTGTTACCCGGCTCCCCCATCCCCTCTGAGACTTGCCCTCCATATACGCACTGAAGAATAGCCATTGCCCTCCCATTTGTCCTGGTACAGTGACGTGATAGCATAGCTCCAGCCAACATACTTTCGAGAGATACAAAAAAAAAAAAAAAAGACAGAGAAGAGAGACACGTTCGTGAAAAGGGACAACTCCAAAACGCGACGCTGATGGTCAATTTTTTGTGTTTATATCGTTTTTGTTTGTTGCCGAGAACGAATGGAATGGATGATCATGTCTTTTGCACCTGTTGTGGGTTGAGGTGAGGGCACACACACACACAACCCCCGATGATTCGGCCGATAGAACGGGGCCCGTGGTCAGCAGGAATGCAATGCTGACGCGGGATATACCCGAGACCGCCGACCAACCGCCGCATCTTGTGCCGTCTCGCCCTCCGGCCTCGGAGGAAAGGTACCACCAGGACCGGGAGGACTCGACATCCCCGACTCCGACGACGACGTCGGCTGACGGGGCCGCCGCCCAGCGATGTAACCCCGTTCTACATCGGCCAAAAGGCCATGGACCCATCCAGGGCCGCCGGCCTGCCGCCGCAGCGGGGGGTCGACGTCACGTCTCCGGATTCCGCGCCTAACAGAACCCTTCGTTCGTGTTGGTCCGCGAGCCCATGTTGGACCCAGACACCGAGTGCCCCGACCCGCTCGCATCGCTCGGCGTCGGCGGCTCCACCACCTGGCTGCGGATGGTCATGATCCACTCGTGCTGGAGCAGCTCGACCGCCGACGCCCTCTTCCGGGGGTCGCGCGTGAAGCACCGCTGCAAGAAGTCGAGCCCCGTGGGGCTCAGCTGGTCCGCGCTCGGCAGCTGCGGCGGGTTGCCCTGCGCGATGTTGTACATGATGGCCCACTCGTTGTCGAGGTTGGCCCAGGGCCGCCGGCCCGTGACCATCTCGAGGATGACGCAGCCGAGCGACCAGATGTCGACGGCGCCCGCCCGCCCCGGGTTCTCGCCCGTGATCACCTCGGGCGACATGTACATCGGCGTGCCCGTCATCGACTTGTTCGGCTTGCTGGCGTTGAGGCCCTGCACGAGCGTCTTGCCCTGCCGCGCGATCACCTTGGCGGCGCCAAAGTCGACGTACTTTACGATGCCGTTGTGGTCGAGGAGGATGTCTGAAGTAGAGAGGGGGGAAACAAACTCGTTAGCATCATTGTCGAATCGAAAAATCGAATGGAACCACAGCACAGCACAGCACAGCACAGCACAGCACAGCACAGCACAGCACAGCACAGCACAGCACAGCACAGCACAGCACAGCACAGCACAGGTTGACGAGGGAGGGCTTGACTTACTCTCCGGCTTGATATCTCGATGGGCGATGCCGCTCTCGTGCAGATAGGCGAGACCCTCGAGGAGTTGCAGAGTATACACCATGACGACTTGCTCGTCCTCGATCCGGCCGTGTTCCAGCAGGTTGGCAAGAGAACCACCGTCGCAAAACTCCATGAAGATGTAGACGCGGTCCCTGTGCACCTCGATGCCGTAATACGAAACGATGTTGGGGTGGTCGAGGACCTCCAGCACACCCATCTCGTCCTTGATCTGCTCGGCGATGGTGGGGATAAGCATGGGGTCCTGGAGCCGGATCTCCTTGACGGCCATGACGTGGCCCGAGTCGAGGTTCATGGCAGCGTACACGTTGCCGAACGTGCCGCCGCCGACGAAATGGCCCTGCTGCCAGCGGATGGTGACGTTGGTCGCCGACGACGACAGGTAGGCCAGGGACCGGTCCACCTCGTTGTTCGCCTCCAGCACGCGGCCCAGCGCCTGCCTCTCGGCCTCCTTGATCCGCCTGCCCTCGTTGAGCTTCTCGAGCTCCTCGAGCCGCTGCTCCGTGATGTACTTGGAGGCTTCCTCGTCGCCGAGCATGCGGTTCTTGTCCAGGCGCCTGAACTGCCCGACGAGGGCCTCGATGCGCTCCTTCTCCGCCTGGGCGGCGAGGTTGGACCGGGCCCCCATGATGTCGAAGTGCGAAATCAGCAGGGACATGCAGCCGGCCACCTTGGCCCGCAGCTTGGCGTACTCGTCCACGCCCAGGGCGAGGATGTGGCGGCCCCGGGTCATGCCCATGGCGAATTCAAGCGCCAGGACGGCCCACCGGAAGGTCTTGCGGTCGGACGCCACGCAGTCGTCGCAAATGAAGCTCACCCAGTCCAGGGCCAGCTTGGTCAGTTTGAGGTTGTTCATCTGCTTCCGGTTGCTGTCCATGTAGAGGAGAGACCGCTGGCCGAACTCGGTGGCGAAGACGAAGCACGTCTGGATGAGCTCCTGGCAGTCCTTGCCCCTGGTCTGCTTGCGAATGGTCTCGACGCTGTCCATGAAGTTGTTCGACAGCTTGTACGAGACCCTCCGGATCTCCATCAGCCTCGTGTTGACCTTGTGCAGGTTGGACCTCTGCTCCACCACGAGGTCGACGTGCATGTCGACGGCGTCAAGGAACGCGCGCCTGACGTTGGCCAGCCGGTTCTGCGACCCGGCGGCCACGAGCCTTATGTGGCCCCTTTTCACGTCGATGTTCTGTTCGCCGACCGACAAGCTGACGACGTCGCCAAACCAGTGCGGCGGGTTCTCGGGGCGGAGGACGAGCAGGTACGGCTCGTCCTCGCCGTCGGCAAACTGCTCCGGGGCGGTTATGCCCAGGATGGACGGGATATCATCCTGGCGTTCGGCCAGGGACGACGAGGCCATGAGGTAGATGCCGTCGTGTTCGTACATGTTGGTGTAGACCTGGAAATGGCCCGAGGCGATGAGCCTGTCGTAGAACTCCTGGAGCTTCTCGGGCGAGAAGGCGATGCTGAAGTCGGAGGCGTTCTCGTACCTGTCGCTCAGCATCCTCGAGAAGCGCTGCAACATCCTCTGGCGGACCCGGACCGAGTCGAGGCACTGCTTGTACCTCTTACTCATGTCGGCGGCGCTCTCCTTGGGCTTGACCTGCAGCTCCTTCTCGAAGGTGATGCTGAGGCGGTTGATGGCCTTGAAGGTCAGGGAGCTGAACTGCTCGGCGACCTCGACGTCGCCGCCGCGGAGGTGGCGGCCAATCTCGTTGCCGAAATCCCACTCCTGGAACAGCAGCTCGGCCTCCTTGAAGGTGTTCTTGTTCCCGCTGAGCTTCCAGTTGAGCATCTTGAAGTAGTAGCGGAGGGCGTCGAGCACGACCTGGTCGAACGAGTCGTCGATCATGAGGGGCAGGTCCCAGCCGGGCTCGGGCTGGGCGATGGCGACGTACTCGAGCTTGATGCGGATGGCGAGCTTGAGGAGCGTCTGGAACTGCGAGATCATCTGGTCCTGCATCAGGGAGTTTTGCTGGGCCGACTCCTTCACGCGCTTGGCGTAGGCCAGGCGTATCCGGATGATCTCCTCGATGAGGCGCGAGGGGAAGCTGATGAGGGTGAGCAGCTCCTCGATGTAGGGCAGGTGGCGCTTCTGGAAGGCGGCGTAGTTCCGGATGACGGTGCTCTTGGCCTTGGTGACGACCATGGAGATGCCGAGCAGCATGCCCTTCTGGGTCTGGCCGCCGTTCTTCTTGTCGGCGGGGACCTCGTCGTACATGGACTTGAGGCCGTCCTCCTTCATGAGGCGGTCGAGGAACGAGGTCTCGTCGGGGATGGCCTCGCCGACGGGGGAGCGCTGGCGGGTGCGGGTGAAGTCGAGGTCGTCGTTGCCGACCCACTTTTGGAGGATGGCGAGCTCGGTGTTGATGAGCTCGTTGGTGTTGTGCCACGACACGATGGCCTCGTAGGCCTCCTCGAAGAGCGGGGACTTGGCCAGGCTGTGCTCGGCGGCCAGCGAGGTCCAGGAAGGGTAGAGGCTCTCGCACTTGTCGATCTTCTTGATCATGTCCTTGACCTGCTCGCTGGGGGGCTTGCCGACCTCGCTCTCGCCCTTGACGGAGAAGTTGATGATGTCGTCGAGGCCGCGGTCCAAGGAGGAGCGGGCCTCCTCGACCATGCGCCTCTGGACGGGCAGATGCCTGCCGCAGGCCTTGGAGCGGAGGCCCAGCCACAGCTCGTTTTTCTGGGCGGTCTTGCCGACGGCTTGCTCGGAGGAGCCGATCAGGCGCTTCTTTTCCTGGCGCACGACGTCGCCCGTCAGGACCGCCTCCAGCATACCGTACCACTCCAGGCGTTCCCGGTTGGCCGGGTCCTTGATGTCCTCCTCGGTGGGCTGCAGGTCGTCGTTGCCGTAGAACATGATGGTTTCTTGTTCGTAGCGTTCGTCGAAGGGGCCCTCGGAGGAAGGGGTCTCGCCCTCGGAGTCGGAGTCGCCCATGGTGGTCATGCCGCCGCTAGAGTAGCCGTCGAAGGGATATCCGTCGCCGTAATCCTGGCGCAACCGCTGCACGTAGGCCTTCTCTTGTTGACGAAACCGCTCGCTCGCCCGCGGGCGGGTGGCTCTCTGGCTCCGAACCGACTCGACGAAGGAAGGTTGTGGCTGGGGCCTTCTCTGGGGGGCGTAGGTGCTGGAAAGGGTCCTCGCGGGTGCGCTGGGCCTCTGGGGCTTGGCGGAGGCGCCGTTCACCGGTGCGTAGACAACTTCGGCGGCATCGGGGGCGGCGGCGGCGGCGGCGGCAGAGACGGTAGGGGCGGCAGAGGCGGCAGAGGCGCGCAGGCTCCTGTTCGTCCCGTTGGCAGGAGCGGACTGGGCCAGGGACGACATGGAGCCGGCGTGGGCGGAGGCCTCGTATCTCTGGAGCGAGCCCAAGTCGTCCGGTAGAGGTAGTTGGACATGGGGGTCGTCGGGGCGAAGGTCTGCCGGGGAGATGGGGTTGTCGGGATGATCGACGACGGCAACGGACGGGGCCCAGGGAGACCTCATCCTATCTGGGCGGGTTTCCTCTTCCCCGCCGGAGAAGCGGATGCCCCGGGGGGAAGGCTCGGTCGTCATGTAGTAGGGGAACGAATGCGATGGCGATGTGAGGGGAGGTGAGAAACCTGTGTCGAGATGTTCGAGTGGGCGACGAGAGGAGGGGGGAGAATGTCATTTCGGATTGGCGTCGGCCATGTGTAATCGATATTTTTCTCCACGTATACGGAGAATTTGGGGTATTTGGAGTTGTGGTGGTCAAAAGTCGGAAGATTGAAGATGTAGGAGAGGTGGTGGTGGTGGTGGTGGCAGACTCGTAGTAGAGAGGAGAAGAGAGGAAGCGACTCCGAGATTGATAATAATTCTGGATGGACGTGCTGCTTGAAGCTAAGGTACAGAGTACATAAAAAAGGGTCCACTATTCGTACCTACCTCCTACCTTAGGCACTGGGTACCTACGATAGCCAGCTAATTACGCGAGTTCGGATAGACAAAGCCATAGGTATCCGGAGCCGCAGAGTTTTTGCACGAAGTATGGGGTACTCTCGACGAAGTACGTTGTACACCGCACAGGTTATGGAGGACGGGGTTTTTAGTGGGGGGATGCTGCCTTTCAGAGGTACTGTACCTCATTGAAGTATACCGTTAGGTAAGGTACCTTAGTAGAGTAGCAGTAGCGTTACGGCAGGTAGCTTAGCTACCTACCTTATTATTTCTCTGTATGTGTACTCCAGAGAGCTCTCCAGAGACGGCGTTTCGGTGTGGAAGGGTGGGAATTATTCGTTAAGGTACGGAGTAATTCGCTTGAGATGTCACTTGTCGGTCGCGATCGGGCGCGATCGAACATACAAGAGGGTTTTTTCTTTCTTTTTTTCCAACTCCGTACATCGGTCGTGCTCGTCGAAATCAAAACGTTGATGATCGGCGCCAAAACCAAGAACCAAACACATTTCGAATCGTAACAGCTTTATACCTAGTTATATACTGTTCAAAAATTGCCCTTGGGTTTCCTACGCTTGCTCTCAGAATCACTAACACTCGCACCTTATCATTGGCCCCTAACACCCAGTTTCTTCCTCGTCCATGGTCCTCCTGAATTCCGACGCACGACGAGGAGAACGAATAAAGTACATATAATCATGCTGAAGCCGTCAACTCGTGTCATGTCTGGTCTCCGTATTTCATCAGTCGAAGAAAAAGAGAAAAAAAAAAAAAAAAAAAAAAGGTGGCACAACAACACACAAAGGACAGTACGTACCCCAGTACTTCACGGGTTTTGTCGAGCTTTCTAAGGTAGGTACCTACATTAGGTACCGGTCGACCCATTAAATTATCATGCGATTGTGTTCCGTACATCGTACAGTGGGTAAGGTACCTTATCCATATATTGCTTCCTGTGTATTCCGTATAAGCTTCCAATTCGCGAAAATTTCATCTTGCCCTCCCCCATTCCTCCCACGGCCTGATATCTTATATCTTATATCTTATACTCCCGACAAGTCCAATACTCCCTCCGTATAATCAATTGGCATCCCCATTGGGACACGGAAGTATCATGAAACGCAAGGCCGAGACCCTGGCCGACAGGCCCGGGGAATCATCTTCTTCCGCCTCTTCGAAGAAGCGCTCCAAGACCGGTGAGACTGACTATTGCGCCCTTTTCTCGCCTTGCCCTGCACCCATCGAACTGACAGAACGCCCCTTACGGTAGCCCTGACCGACGAGCAGGTCAAACCCCGATTCCGCAACGGCCTTTTCGATCCCCAAGTCCTCGATGCCTACACAAGCGAATACGCCCAGTCGGCTCCCTACAAGCATGCCGTCATCCACGACCTCGTCGACGACAACCTCCTCCGCCATGTTCGTGACGAAATCCGCGAGAACGTGTCCTTCACGCCCAAGGAAACCGATATCTACAAGATCCATCAGTCGGGCGACCTCGCCAACCTGGATGGCCTCGACGACGACGCCCTCGCCAAGCTGCCCTCTCTCCTCAGCCTACGCGATGCCCTCTACTCCGACGCCTTCCGCTCCTACGTCTCCCACATTACAGGCTGCGGACCCCTGAGCGGCCGCAAGACCGATATGGCCATCAACGTCTACACCCCGGGCTGCTACCTCCTCTGCCACGACGACGTCATCGGCAGCCGCAAGGTCAGCTACATCCTCTACCTCGCCGACCCGGATATCCCCTGGAAGCCCGAATGGGGCGGCGCCCTCCGCCTCTACCCCGTCCGCGAGATCACCGGCGGGGACGGCCAGGTGGCCAAGACCCCGTCTCCGGACGCCTCCAAGGTCATCCCCCCGGCCTGGAACCAGCTCTCCTTCTTCGCCGTCCAGCCGGGCGAGTCGTTCCACGACGTCGAGGAGGTCTACCACGCCGACTCGCCCGAGCAGCTCGACCGCGAAGGCGGCCGCATCCGACTGGCCATCAGCGGCTGGTTCCACATCCCGCAAGTCGGCGAGGACGGCTACGTCGAGGGCGCCGAAGAGAAGCTCGCCGAAAACTCGAGCCTCATGCAGCTGCAGGGGAACCCCGCCCAGTACGACGCTCCGCAGGCCCAGCCGCAACCCGCTCGCACCCGTGCTGCCGACGACGACGACGACAACAACAACACCAAGGCATCCGGTTCCATCGGCCTCGACGAGTTTGACGAGACCGACCTCGACTTCCTCGTCAAGTACCTCGCCCCGACCTACCTGACCCCGGACGCCCTGGAACAGATCGCCGAGCACTTCGACGAGAACTCGAGCATCACCCTGCCCAACTTCCTCTCCAACAAGTTCGCCGCCCGGCTCCGCCACTACGTCGAGGCCCAGGAGAGGGTCCCCCTGCCGGAAGGCGGCAGCCCCGCCATCGAGGCGAAGACCCCCTGGCGCGTCTCCAACCCGCCACACAAGCACCGCTTCCTGTACCAGCAGCCGAGCGGGCCCGACCAGCCGCGCGCATCGCAGGAAGCATCCTCCTCCTCCCCCATCACCGAACTGCTCGACGTCCTGCTCCCCAGCCGCCAGTTCCGCGTTTGGCTCGAGACCGCGACGGGCTGCATCATCGAGAACCACGACCTGCTCGCCCGCCGTTTCCGCCGCGGTCACGACTACACCCTCGCTACCGGCCACGATGGCAAGCCCCGCCTCGAGCTGAATCTCGGTATAACGCCGACGACTGGCTGGGGTGACGATGACGATGAAGGCGACGCCGAAGAAGAAGACGAAGACGAAGACGAAGCCGAGGCGAACGGCAACGGCAAGGGCAACGGCAAGGCAAAAGCCAAGTCCAAGCCCAAGAGTCAAGCCAAAACCAAGGACGATCGGAAAGATAAGGGCAAGGGCAAAGCGAAAGCCACCGAGGCAGAAAAAGACGAGGAAGAAGCGGAAGCACACGATTCGGAAGCAGAAGAAGTAGGCGGCGTTGAAGTCTACATGGCCGGCGACGACGACGACGACGACGACGACGAAGAAGAAGAAGAAGAAGACGACGACGATGACGAAGAGACCGAGCAGAACAAGCACAGCGGCACCGCCACAAACGGCGAGTCCGCCAGCACCAGCCACGCCAAGAAGAAGACCAGGAACAGCGCCAAGGACAAGAACGACGCCGCCATCTACCGCTCCAGCGGCGACGAGGACAACATCCTCTTCTTCCAGGCCGCCGCCTGGAACAAACTCACCCTCGTGCTGCGCGACAGCGGCGCCCTGCGCTTCGTCAAGTACGTCAGCCGCCGCGCCCCCGGCGACAGGTGGGACGTCTCCGCCACCTTTGACGTCGAGGAGCAGGACCTCCCGCCCGGGGAGGACGATGGGGAGGATGAGTTTGAGGGGTTCTCGGATAATGATGACAGCAGCGAGTCAGATTGAATTTTTTTTTTTTTTTTTTTTTGCGAGGAGAAAGTGGCGTCGACTGAGGAAGGAAGCTGGATTTGGAGGGTCCGTGTCGTATTATTAGAGCTCCAGGTCACATCTCGGACCGGGTATTAAAATGAGACCTCTTTGTCCCTTTTTTGCGTTACTCTCAGGGGAATGAATGGGGTTTATTTGTCTCGACGAGCCGCTCAAAATTTCATGAACCTCGAGACGTCGCAAATTGACCATTTATTTGTGCATGTAATCAATCCCAAGGTATCTCATTTTTTTTTCTTCTTTCTTCTCCTTCTGACATGTTCAATCGCCCAAACGCCTCGCCGTTATCATCATTCCCTCTGTTCCATGCTTTTGTCCCACTCAAAACTTGGCCACCAAAAAAGTTGGTCCAGTCGTGGATAAAACGACATTCGAGCCACTTCCAGCTATAAGATGGCTATATAAAAGGAAAGATAAAAAAAAACCCCCAAGGTCACAGCTTCTTGAGCTTCTTCTTGGGCACGGTATTGACAAATGCATGACGCAGGAAATGCAGCCACACTTTGTTGAAATTCTTCTTCTTCTTCTTTCTCCCCTTCTTCCCCAATGCTCCCTTTTTGGAGTCAGGCAGGACCTCGTCCCTTTCGGCCTCTTCTTCGTCGCCGGTTTGAACATTGGGCTCTTCGTCAGTGTCTTCCTCTCCCTCTTCCTCTTCCTCATCTTCATCACCATCCTGGTCCGCCTCAAAATCCTCAACGGATTCCTGCTTCGCGGATGCATGTCGACCAATCCGATACGCCAACTTCACGTAGCTGCGCACCGTCAAGTCGGATAGCTTGTATATTTTATCGGTCAAGGTGCTGTACTCGACCTCGAACTCGAACGGCTTTGGGTCCGGCTTCTTCGACCTCGGCTCCTCCCCCCCGTGGATGCCGTCACTCCATCGGGCAGAAGACGCTTCGTCTTCGTCGGCCTTGTGCAAATCTTGCGGGACGTCGTTGTTGATATAAGTCAGGTTGGCAAAATACTGAGTGTAGCCCACCAAAGTAAGGGGTTGGGGTGAGTAGGCGGGGCCCGGAGGGGACGATTTGGATGGTGGATCTGGAATGATCAACTTCGGGTCCCGAGGCTTCTCTTTCTGTTTCTTTCCCCGTTTCTGGCCCTTCGTCCCCGTCGTATCGGCATCGCGCCTCAGTTCCTCCCGCCAAGAGAACTCGTCTCGCGCATCCTGGTCCTCCGGAGAATCTTGAAATTCTTGGGAGTCCTGGGCCGCGTTGAAGGTATCGGCCCAGACTGGTGCGTCCTCGAGTCCCGTGATATTATACTCGTAGACTCGCAGGGTTGGGAAGTAGTTGGGGATGACGCTCGGACTGATGAAAGACAGGTGGAATCTCTCTGCGAACTTGCCTCCCAGTCCTTTCTTCTTCTTCTTCTTTTTGTTCTTCTTTTTGTTCTTCTTTTTGTTCTTCTTTTTGTTCTTCTTTCCCCGCCGCGCATTCGCCGAATTGTCGTCATCCTCGTGGTCTGTATGGTCCTCATCGTCCCAGTCGTCCCAGTCGTCATCATCCTCACCCACCGCGTCGAATTTCGGCTCGGGAATGCGAGACCAATTGTCCCGGAGCTCCTGTAAATAGTTCGACTTCTTGACTATCTGCCTGCCTCGCAGGCTGTCGGGGGCCGTGGTGGCGGGGTCGACGCCCTTGACCAAGTTCATATCAATGGCCTCAGTGTCGTGGACGAGGAAGTGGTCGATGTTCATGTGACCAAAGAACGAACCGACGACGACGTCGCGGTACTGGCGGAGCCACAAGTTGTACTTGTGCCAGCAGGTCTCGTCCCAGTTTTGCTTGCTGTTCGTTCGGGCGGGCGGTACGTGACCTATAAGGATGGCTTTCATGCCGCGGCCGCGCAGCAGCTGGAGTTGAGCGCGCAACCACTCCATCTGCCGATAGCCGGGCTCGGAGGCTAGGGCACATCCATCGACGGCGGCGTTGCGGTCGAACATGTACAGGGTGTTCAGGCTGAAAACGGAGAGCGAGTTGGGTATGACCTCGACGTTGAACCAGCCGCCAAACTGGAAGGTGTGACGCTGGTCATAGGGGATGAAGTGGCGCCAAACGTCTGAGTACCAGTCCAACCAGTTATTAGGTCCGGGGTGAAAGATGTTGTGAGGGAGCATGTCGTTGTTGCCGAGATTCGGAACGACGGGAATGACCATACGGTTCTTGGACTTGGGGTGCTGGAAAGTGTCGAAGAAGAGGTCGGAAATGCGGCGATTAGAGCCGAGGACTTGGTCCCGGTTGCGGGGAATCTTCTCGTCGCTGTCATGACGGGCGGAGTCGCCTGTCCAAATGACGAAATCGACGTCGTCGGCGAGGTTGGCTTTGATCCAGTCTAATGTAGCGTTTACGAGAGTCCAGGGCGAGTCGCAGTCGGATGTTTCGGCGCCGTAGTAGCCCGCGAAGCCGTTTCGGCGGTGACAGGCGGCGCCCTGAGCCGTGGACGAGTGGGCTTTGTAGAAAGCATCGGGATGGAAGTCTGAATGGGGGATGGGGGGTCACGTCACTTGTCAGCCGGATGCGCCGAGAGGAAATGCGTGGGGAATTTCTGGAGGTAAAGGTAAAAGAGTAAGGTGATTCTGCGAAAAGTACGACGCACCTGTGATGTGCAGGAATTTGCCATGCAGCTTGCGTTCTTGCACCTGCGTCTGGGTTTGTTCCTCCTGCGTCGCGATATTCCCGTGTCTCGATGGGGGTTGAGGTTCCGGAAATGATGGCCCGAGAATCTGCTGCTGGCCCTCGGTGAGGTTGATGATAGGCAGTGGGTTTGCATGCACATAGACACCTCCAGACGACTGGGAGGGCTGCAAGGTGACGACATGTAGCAGCAGTGCGACTGCCAGGCACCGGAATACTGGAACCGGCATCGTGTCCTCCCGTCCGCCGACTTGCAGATGAACTTGGGAAGAGATCGAATGCGAGGTACAGGTTCCCTAGACGTTTCCAGGTCGCAAGGAAGAGAAATGGAAAGGGTGAAAGGGTGAAAGGGCGACAGCTGAGTGTAGGTTCTGTTGTTGTCGAAAACGCGTTCTCTTCACATTCTATCCATCCCCTTTCTTCACCTAACGGGCGATAACTGCATGCTCCGTACGGAGTAGTCGTCGAGAGGCTCTCATCCGTTGGAGAATCGGGTTCGGTTGCTGTCAGTAAAGGTAGTCAGCTTTGGCCAGCAACCAGTTGGCGTCTCGGTGAAGTCGGTCGTCGGATTCGTAGGTACGTATAAAGCCTAAGCAGCGAGTCGTCGAGTGGCGTTGTTGAGGTTCAGAAGGTTTCGCATCTGGAAGGAAAGTACGATGCGCACGATTCGTGTTGATGATCTAATCAGTCGCCTAGTATCACCTCGTCTCGTGAAGGATAAAAGAAGGGAGAAGGAGGGACCATGACCAACGTCATAACCAGACTCAGAAGACTGGCCCCTTAACATTCTCCAGTCGGGAAATTAGTACACAAGTCAAGTCACGCGATGAAAAGACGGGAGTCTTGGCCGTCGCTACCGTGTACGAAGTTTGATTGCCTTGGTTTGTTCCTATAAGTAATAAGGTGCGAAACACACACACACGTTCTCTCCAAGAACGCTTCGTAATGACTTGGTACATACCTTATCTAGGTACCTACCTCGGGGTGCGTTTTCCCCACATCCAACGGGGTACAATAGCTACAATACCTTATTAGCTACATTAAGGTACGGTATAATAGCTGTGAACCCTGTTTTCACTGTTCTCCTCGTTGTCACTCCCCACTCACTTGTAGGTGGGCCACTACTTCCGTATTTTAGCCCATCAAGGTGCGTTGCATGTCTATCGTGTACTCCATACCTTCCTTACCTTATGAGCACGAGAGGGGCTGGGGCTGATAGCGTCTCAAAGTTGGGAAAGTCGTGAAAGTCATGGGCCCATCTCCTTCAGCTTTAACCCCACGTGTCAGCATCACGAAATAAACGTGGCTCGCTCTTCGTCTCTCATTCGCTCTTGTCCTACTATCCAACCAGACATATACTGTCACTTGAACCCGTCAGTTTCCTGCTTCTACGCACTACGATGTACATGATAGCTTTCCGTAAAGCACACGACGAACCCGACACGATGCCCCGTCCTAGTCCGGCTGGTTCATTATTAGGGCAGGCGGCAATTCCGTTCGTGAAATGGAGTCTTCGGGAAAGAAGCGATGAAGGAGACCCAATCAAGAAACTCGCCATCTTGCCGTTGTGCTCACCGTGACCAGGCCGCGACACAAGAAACAAGACACAAGAGCCGAGAGACCAAGACAAAATACGAAAGACTGAGAGACTTGGTTATTTCGTCGTACTCTGTAGAACTTCTTTTATTAGGTAATCGAGGAAGCAATGCCAATTCTCGCCAACCCCCTCCATTCATATCAAAATGTCCGACACCGTATAAGGTACTTACTTACACGGATTAACACCTGCTCATTACATAATCACAGTACCATACATTTTAACTGCCAATCTTCTGGCGACTCCGTCCTCCCGGAAATTTTCTCTTCTCTCTACATTCGCAACCCAACCCTCATTTACCAGTCGAAGTAAATTTGATTTTTCCCGCTTGCTTCGTTCGAGGGTTATATTGCAAGATTATCTAGAAAGGCCGCTCGTTTGAGGGTCGTCATCGAATTTATTCCACGGTGGCTTCCCATGGTAATCGTGGCTACATCCTTTCCCTTCTTCGTATTCTGTTTTGTTTTGTTTTGTTTTGTTTTGTTTTCTTCTTTTTTCCCAACGTCTATGTGGAAAATCAGAAAGATACCCGTACAGCTAGAAACAACAGAAGAAATCAAATCCATCGTGTCTCACACGCGTCGCGAGACTCCGGGTATATCGATCTTGTTGAAAGCTCAGCTCCCCGTCCAGCCTGCCACTTGCCCTCATGCGCCGTAACCGATAACCTGTTCTTTCCCTTTTTCTTCTTTTTTTCTTCTGCTTGTACGAAGAACCATCATGCAGACGTCGCGGGCTTGTAATATTTGCTCGGCACGAACGGCATCTTGGTCACCGTAGCCGCCCGCTTCTTGCCCCGGACGACGACATCCAACTCCGTGCCGGCCTTGTGCATCCCGTCCCGCACGTAAGCCATGGCGATGTTCTTCCCCAGCGTCGGACTCGGCGCCCCGCTCGTGACAACCCCGACCTTCTCCCCCTCCTTGGTCAACAGCTCGGCCCCTTCCCGCGCCGGCACCTTCACCACCAGCCCGACCCTCCGCCGTTCCACCCCGGCCCCGCCCTTGCTCTTGGCCACCAGCTGCGAAGCGATCACCTCGGCCCCGTGGAACCCGGCGCCCGCCGTCCGCCGCTCCTTGGGCACGAGCCACGACAGCCCCGCCTCCACCGGCGTCGTGCTGTCGTCGAGCTCGTGTCCGTACAGGCACATCCCCGCCTCCAGCCGCAGGCTGTCCCGCGCCCCGAGACCCGCCAGCCGCAGCTTCTCCGGCCCGGCCGTCTCGAGCATCGTCGTCGCCAGCAGCGTCGCCTCCTCGCCGGGCGACTCGAAGCTGACCTCGAACCCGTCCTCGCCCGTGTACCCGCCGCGGCTGATCATCGCCCGCCCCGGCAGCGTGACCCATTCCCCGCCGCGCCGCGCCCGCAGCCGCGCGAACACTGTCTGCCCGAAGTAGACCTTGCTCAGATCCAGCCCCTCGGCCGGGTCGATCACCCGCTGCAGGATCCCCTCGCTCTCGGGCCCTTGCACGGCCAGGAGGCCCAGCCCCTGGAGGACCTCCCACCAGAACGCGTCGCCGCCGTCCTCCGGGTTCTGCAGCTCCTTGGTCTGCTCGACGAGGTACGCGAGGACCTTCTCCCGCGTGCCCGCGTTGCTGACGAGCCGGTACTCCTGCTCGCCCGTGCGCGTGATCATGGTGTCGTCCGCGATGCCGCCCGTCCCGGGCCACAGGAGCGCGCTCAGCTTGCTGCTGTTGATGGGCATGTCGCTGACCGTCGACGGCGTGATGCGTTCGAGGAACGCCGCCGCCTCGGGGCCCGTGAACCGGTGCTGCACCATGTGGCTGACGTCGAACAGCGAGGCGTGCTCGCGCGTGAAATGGTGCGACTGCGCCAATGAGAAGCCCGCGTATTCCACCGGCATGTGGTATCCGCCGAAGAGGACCATTTTCCCGCCGTGGGCCAGGTGGAAGTCGTACAGAGGCGTCTTGTCCTGCTTGGCGAAGTCCGCGAGCTGCTCACGCCATTGTTTGCGGGCTTCGAGGGTCGGTTTTTCCGGACCGGTGACGGTGACCGAGGAGTACAATCGGAGCCCGGAAAGAGCATACGATGCAGCAGCCCGTGTGCTCGTTGTCGGGCTGCTCTGGGCTACTGCCCTAGTGTAGGCAGTAAGGAGGATTGCTTGCCGGCATGGCCCCGACGGCGAGGTACGTGAAAGTGGCCGTAGGCCTTTGGCCGCCGCCGCCGCCAAACGTGATCGAGTCATTCTGCTTTTTGCAATTGAGAACGTGTTTGTATATCCCGGGCAGACGAGTGATTGTTTGCCTGGTAGAAGAAGAGTGGAAATCAGGTCTTCTGAAAGTGGGAGGTCGAATTGGAGGCTCCCTCGTGCGGCCTACGGATACGGAGTACTTCGTAACTTCGTAGCTACCTTTAGGTACCTTAATTATGACGGTATCTTATCTTTTCACCTATCTTCGGGTCCCTACGGTAAGCCGCGGTCCAGTGCCGACCCTGGTCGCAAAATCCGGTCCCGTCTCCTTTTCTACTTTGTACACACGTATATCCATACAGGTAGATACCTTACCTTATGTAGGTAGGTAATTATTAAGGTACTTAGCCGGTAAAGGCCGGCTTCGGAGGTGCAGATGGGAATTACCTACCTACATTACACCGACTCGGCAATTCGATGGACAAAACACCACGACTACAACCAAATCAGAGCAATGGCGCGTTACTTCGTACAAAGGCTTTCATGCTACGAAGTACTCGTAGGTACTCCGCCTCACAGGATAACGGTTTATCGGACTCTCCGTCCATGGCTTGTGCAGTGTCCAAATGGTCAATTTCACACATCGTGACATTACCTTACACCACAGGTGCACAATGACGAACAGTGTTCGAATATCTCTCCCTGAAGATCCCCTTCCCTAACACGCATGACTGCCGAAACATCCCTAGTCCCGTTGCCCATCGGCACAGCCAAGGGGAATGCTACCGTCGCCGAGGAAACGAAAATAAAAAGCATAAAGAATGTTACAAAAAGTGCATAATATACGGGAGTAATTGCTCTCTCCAGAGCACTCCACGTTCTACCACGGCCACCCAAACATCGTGATCATCAACGTTCAAAGCTGTACTTCAACCAACCACCCAACGCTCGCAGACTCTCCCATCGAACGTTCTCGTCCGCCTCGCCCATGAGCTCCATGATCCTCGTCTTCAACCCGAGCTTCTCCAGCTGGCTTCTCTTTTCGGGCACCTCCCGGACCAGGGCACCGACATCGTTGCACGCGATGGCCAGAACCTGCTTGTCGCTGTCCCACGGCTTCTTCATAATCTCCGCGAGTTTGCGAGGGATGGTTCCGTTTTCGTGCTCGATGATCTTGCGTGCGTTCTCGGCCCAGAACACTTGGCTGCGGTGCGGCGGGGACCATCGGAGGTGGCCCGAGTTGACCTCGGCGACGTATTCATCGAAGGTGGTCTTGGTCCGGGAATATTCCTCCAGCATGTCCCTGAGGTTCTGGAGGTCGTCCGTCAGATCCGGGTCGGTCACATGGCGGCCCGTCATGTTTTGCAGGTGCACAGGTAGTCGTGCAAGAACAGCCGTCGGTAAAAGCGTCGTCCGGTTGGCCTCGAGAAGGTTGTACAGGGTGGAAACAATGAGGCGGGTCGTCTTCTCCTTCTGGGAGAGTCGAAGAAGTTGCGTATACAAAATGATAATGTCGTACTCACTACCGATTTCGTCAGCGTTGCTGTCCGGCCGGGGTGTCATCTGTAGGGCAGGGGGGTTGGAAAAGGAAATAGAAAAGAAGAAAAAAAGGAAGAAAAAAAAAAGAAAAAGAATGAGAACGAGAACGAGAACAAGAAAACGGAGGGAAAGGAAAAACGCACTCGTTGAGGTCGTCACCAATGTCCCGAGCCTCAAAGCTCATCTGCCACAGGACAAGGAGAACGTGATAAAGGAGTTGGAGCCCGACGCCACCCCCAAGAGAGCCTTCGAAGCCGTTATTCCGCCCCGACCCGTTACCGTTCCACAAACTGGCCGAGGACGTGCCGTTGCTTCCGACGCCGACCGCCGTCTTGAGAATGTCAACCAAGGGCGCAATCGTTTCGCTCCTTTGGTTCCAGAACTGCTGCCTCGAGGCACGGCCGTAGAGCAGGGAGGAGTATTCTTGTACCGCAATGTCCTGAAGACCGGCGTCCGAGCTCTTGGACAGGCCGGAGTAGTAGGTGAAGAGCATGGGTAGGGCGTGATGTGTCGCTGGGGATTCGTCTCGGGAGGCTGCCATGAGCTTGGTGAGGGCGGTGGCTGTGAGGAGAGGGATGGGGTCCTCCGAGCTGTTGGACTGCGCTAGGAGCGGAAGGAAGTTCTTATAGGGTTCGCCAGTCTTTAACAGGGCTTTGGAGAGGGCCGGGACGGCTGCGGCGCGAGAACGGTGAGTACTGGCACGGTGTGATATGGAGAGAAGAAATATGTAATGCAAGACAGGAGGCAATCAAAGACTTAATTGAGCATCGTAGTAGAGGCCGGAAACGTCGCATGTGAGGTAGAGACGGGGTAAATGCACACGAGGTGTACGAAAGATGCAGGGAGGGACGTACTTTGCAGAAGATCACTCAGCAAGACGAGGAGATAGTGAATGACGTTCGCGTTCTTGCCCTGCAAGGCGCCCGGCTTGCCATTGTCGCCGAGGAAGAGCGAGCAGTATCCATCGAGGTCGGCTTCCACGATTTGCTTTCTGACGTCGGGGTTCTTGGCCTTGTCGACGGCGCGTATGCGGGCCAGCTGGTCTTCTGTGATGGTGCCTGCTCTCACGGCGCCATCCCAGGGGATCGGTCTCTGGCGGATGTTGCTCTGGAGGGAAGCGAGGTAGGTGGGAGGGTCGACCAACATGGCGGCTGTGGGAAGGGGCCACGACCCTGGCGAAAGGCACTAAAGGAGTTGAGGGCGGTGGGGGTGATAGAGAAGATGGTACGGGGGGATACGCTTTCTTGTGGCTCCTGGTCTGTTCCGCCTGTAGGGGGTACGGCTGTTGCGCGTGGGAACGAGGTTTCAACACGAGGTTTCAACACAAGTTTCGATGTGGACAAGAAGTTGACGTAGTCCTCTTGTAGGCTTTCGCGGACTGCTGCAGGAGAGAGCTCGGCGGGCGGGAATGACTGAAGTGGCTCAACGGCAGCTAAAGGTACTCCCATTTCATGTTCAGCCACAATTAGCGGGCCGTGGTTTTCCCGGTGTTCGTGTAGTACCCGAGTATCACCCAGTTACCAGAGCTCCGTCCGGCATGATTTTAGGTTCGTCCAACATGACAAGTCAATTGTTGCATGGCTTGACGTAATCACACATACGAGATTTCTGCACAATTCAGGATTGTCACTACAAGTGCCTATTTGGAATCCAACTGTACTCTAACTCTGTCTCCACTTCCATTGTATAAGGTAGCCTAAAATAAGGTCACGATACGTGAAGAGTCACGTGGCCATCCGCAGGGTAGGTACCTACCTACTTAGGTAAGCTAAGGTAGGTTGCAACGGTTACAGATAACAGATACGGACCAATGTACTCCGTACCTTACCCATCAATCGTCGATCCCGATAATTGCCCCGTGAACGACCAAGCGCCCCCCACCCCCCTCTTGTTGTCGAATGCCAAAGCTTGTCCTTCGTATAATGGGATCGGGACCCCTGGGAAGTGCCAGCTGTCTTGCATCAAAAATGTAAGCTACGGAAGCAAGAAGCAGACAAGCACACATCAACAGCACGAAGTCAGACCACTAGGGTTTTCGAGTACCGAATCCCCGCAATCACTTGACAAGCAGAGAGAGAAAAGAAGCGATCACCAGGAACAGTTGTCGGAAAGGAAGCCAGAAACGCAGCGAGACGCAGCGAGACGCAGAGAGACGCACAAAGGGATTTGATCCGAAAAAGAAGACGAACCGATTATTCGCTCTTCTTGCCTCTTCTTTTTTTCGCATTTGAAATCAATTCCCACCACACTTACCTTGCATTTCCCATCCCTCCGTTAAGTGTTTCCCTTCACTTTTCCCTTTCCCCCCTTTGCAGGAAATTCAGGAACGGAAAAAAGTTCGTTGTTTGAACCGCTGATTGGGGAGCCGGACGTTATAGCTATAGGCCGAGATCAACAAAATCGACAAAATCGACAAAATCGAGGAGGTTGGCTGCCATCATCACCACCTCCATCCCCCCACCACCACCCAGAAACGAACCACGGCCCGACATCTTAAAGCTAGGAGGTTGGGAATGGAACACGCCCACACTTCCTAAACGGTTCCAACTCAAAAAAACTTCTCACCGCCCTCTTAAATCTCCCGTAAGTCCTGATACTCCCATTACCTAAGTCGCATTCTTTTTTTCCTCTTCCTATTTTCGCCTGTTTGTTAGACCGTCGCATCGTCTAAGCCTGTCTTCACGGTCGCCTCACCTTTTACACCCAACTTCCTCCTTCTCACCTCACCTCTCAATCTTCCTCATCATCTCATCGCATCGTCGCATTCACTCCATTACTCCGACACCACCTTTCAATCGCATATTTTCGTGATCCTCTTACAGAAAAGACAATCTTGGCTCTTTCCGCAGAGATGAGAACAAGGGACTGTCGGCCCTGACGCAACCCAATCAGACCCGATCAAACCCAGAGTACGGAATTCCAGCTCTCACACCCGCATTCCAAGCGACCCGAGAAACCACGACGGGGGAAGCAAGAGACAGTAAAAGATAGAGAACACAGGCGGCCCAAGACGACGACTTCATATGCTTCCGCTAGTCTCACCTTACCATCTTCGCTAGCAAACCTTCTCGCCCTGTCCCCCCCAGTAAGAAAATCTCCCCGCCCTCTCTCCGCCCTCTCCCCGCATTCTCGGGCGCTATTTTCGAGGAACAAAAGAGGGGTGCGAAGTGGGCGGCCCGAACCATGCGCCGCTTACACTCTATACCGGCCTCACCGCCGCTTACCTTCCTCGCCCTACTTTTCCTCGCCTCGCCCCTCCCGGTCCCTGCCGCCGCCCTTCCCTACCCGCTACAACTGGCAGATCAAGGCTACTCCAACGTCGGCTTTCGCTTTCTCCGACCTCGAAGCTGCGAATCCGAGTGCCACGGCGTGTGTGTCTATGTCGACGGTGTGGCCACCTGCGCCCCAGGCGCTGCCGACGGAGGAGGAGCCGGGGATGGCGGCTGGCTCGTCTCCACAACCACATGGACCGAGACCAACACCTTCACCAGTACCATCACCAAGCCTGGTAGCCACCCGACAGGTGCCGCCGGCGAAGACTGCGTGCCGCAGGAGCCGGGATGGATTCCCTGTGGTCCGGTTTGCTGCCTGTCGACCCAGCATTGTGCTTCGTGGGGTCAGTGTCTAGACAATGAAGGGGGTGGAGGAGGAGGAGGAGGAGGCGGCGGCGGCGCCATTTCCACAACAATCACCACCGACGGGCATACCATTACCACCCAGTACTCCGCTCCTTACCGCGTCACCAGCACCAGCGCCGCGTCCACCGGCCATGGCGCCGCACCCACCACAGAAAGCCCGACCGGCACACCCACCGCCGTCCCCAGCCACCCCGACGAAGACGACGGCGGCACGGCCGGCGGAGGACTCAGCCCCGGCGCCATCGCCGGTATCGTCATCGGCAGCTTAGCCGGCATCGGCCTCCTCATGCTCCTCTGCTTCTGCTGCATCGTCCGCGGTCTCTGGGGCCTGCTCTGCGGCGGCGCCAAGAAACGCGACGACCGCCGCCGGGAGCGCGTCGACGTCGTCGAGGAACGCTACCGCGCCGGCAGCCGCCCCGGGTCGACCTACACCCGCCGCGACCGCCACTCCGGGTGGTTCGGCAGCGGGCCCTCGTCCGCCGGCAACCGCCGCGACGAGGAGAAGAGGAAATCCAGCGGCGCGAAGTGGTGGGGGCTCGGCGCCGTCGCTGCGACCCTGCTGGCGCTGCTCCACCTGCGCAGCAAAGACAAGAACAAGGCCGGGGATCGGGACCGGGATCGGGACCGGCCGCGAGACCGGCGCTCCCGCTCCCGTTACACGGACTCGTACTACACGTACACCGATAGTGAGTCTTCCTGGGATGCGCGGTCGCGGCGCACGTACCTGACCTCCTACTTAGGTAGCGCCAGCTCCGGAGGCAGAACACGGCAGGATGGCCGGGCCTCGTCCCGGTACTCACGGAGATAGCGGGCCCAGATAAGAAGAGCAGCAACAACAACGACACCACCACCACCACCACCACCACCACCACCACCACCACCACCACCACCACCAACAACAACTACAAAGAGAATATCATCCAGCATGAACGGCAACGACTAATGAAGTGTACATGTCGCCTCCTCTTTCGGACAACACCCCAGCTTCCGAGACCGAGGCCCGCCACTTCCGTCGGGCGAAGTACATATCAACAACAACCACCATCAAGACGGCGTTCGGGAAACGGTACCATGTCCAAGAGGGAACGAAAAGGGGTCGACGAAGAAGCGACGAAGGGGTGCAGGACACAAGGTATAATGGGAGGCTCTTTTTCTTTTTCTTCATTTTCGCTTGGCCTTGTAGGCCCTTTATATAACACGAGAATCGACTACGACCTGAAGAAGATGAAACGGCAACGACGATCGATACCAGTGCCTGAGCATGGAAACGCAGGGAAAGAGAGGGATGACATCGTCCAACGGGTTTGGAGGATGATGGGCGTCTTGGTGCGCCAATTCTACGAGTGCTGTCGACAACCGCATCATAGCGTGGCATCTGATGCACTGAAATTTCGACGATAGAGATTGAGCCTTATTATTATTATTTCTTTTTCGGAGCGTCATTTCAAGAGCTTCTTATAAATACACCACATCCCGACATGCCACTCGCATTATCCAATGGACCCTTTAATTGTTGTTTGCTCCCACCAAGTCATGACAAGTCAGGGGTGAGGTATTGGTGTGATTCACATGGTTAAAGAGAAGCTTGAAATCAGGTAAACCACCCATTAAGATAACATCATCAAAAAAGGAACATCGTTGAAGTCATGCAGTAGCCTGCATCAGTCAGAAATGTTTCCAGCCATTGACATCATGGTTAAACGAATATGCGTTGGTTGTGTTCAGGTATGCGTTCAGACGTCGGAATTGTCATGGGCTTGGCTCCATCTCACGTAGCACACCGGGGACGGATCGACGGGGTCTGGGTCTGGGCCTGGGGAATGCGCAATTGGGTTGTCCGAAGAAATGGTCATGTCCTTGCTTTTGGTGGTATATTCCTGTAGCCCTGTTGCCACAAAACGTGCCATGCCGCCAAGATAAGCCCTGCCACTCCTCTTTGAAGAGACCCAAAAATGCAAGCAAAGAAAACTCCGTTTGTTGATTTTACCCCGCCAAGCCGTTGATTTACTCCTCCACAACGTTGCCCTTCTCGGAAACATAGATACCGTCCAAGAACTACGAGATAAAGAGTCAGCATCTCCTTCGGAAGACATACCCACAGAACCAAAGCGAGAACCCAAGAAGCGTACCTTTCGGATATCCTTGTTCCGGACCTTGCAGACCTGCTGGATATCGGCGGCGCTCTGCGACACGTTCTCCAGGCTGTTACCGGTCAGGATGAGCTCATCCTTCTGCGTTTTGGAGATCTCGACGTCGACGCCAGGGTGCATGGTGACGTTGTAGACGATCTTCTGGCCAAGGAAGTTGCGGATCTCGACGTTGTAGAGGTCGGTCTCGGTGTTCTTCTCAACATTCACGTTGATGGGAAAATGGGCGTAGACGTAGCGCATCTTGTACTTGAAGCCTTTGGTGACGCCGATGATCAGGTTGTTGATGAGGGTGCGGACGGTACGGAGGGTGGCGACGCCCTTCCGGGAGCCGTGGTGCAGCTCAATGGAGATGACATTGGGCTCGGGCCGGCCGAAGTTGACCGCGAGATGGCTCAGGTCCTTCTGAAGCTTGCCTATGTGGCAGAAGAACGTCAGAACATAATTTCGAGCAAGAGAAGAAAGAATCATGTGTCTCCCAAGCCTAATTGTCCAATTGCGATGGCCAGGGCAAGCCTGCGGACAGGAGGGGAATACAATGGAGCAGCAGGGCCGGGCAGGGGGAAAAAAAAGAAAAGAAAAGAAAAGAAAAAAAAAAAAGGACGGGAACCATCAAGACATACCTCGGGGACCCTCGACGGTGACATGGCGCGACTTGATGTGAACCTTGACTGTTGGAGAATCCAAGTCAGCACGCATTCAAATGCCTGCCACTTCTGCTCCGTGCGAGCTCATCCACAGTCTAAACTTCTGAACTTCTTCCCATATCGACGCCCAAACTCGAACATTGTTATGTGTTCCCAGTGCTTTTCAATCGATATGAACTTCGGTCCGTCCGCGATGCGGTGCGTCGCCGGCAGGCGGGGCATCACGAAGGGAGATGTAAGCGTCGCAACATACCTCCCTCAGGGATCTCGAGGGTCTCCGAAGAGTGAATGTACCTCATTTTGGCGGTTTGGCGGCGGGGTGCTGTGAAGTCGGCGGAGGGCGAGGTTGAGGCTTGTCGTGAGATCGGAACGCTGGTCGCTCGTCCAAAAAGCGACTTGTGGATTTCACTTTTGCTTGGTGGGTAGTAAAAAAAATCCTAGGGTTTGCGGCACGTGATTACCTAGCTACCTAAGGAAGCTACCATCAGATTTCGGCTTGGTCCGTGCATGCTGAGTTCGGAGCTTTGAGACGAAGCCATCAGCCACATGCCTCTACAATGTAAGCCACGTCTGCCTCAGAATGTCACGTGGAAAGGTACCCACCGACCCCAATGGGTAATGTAATTACGCAAGGACCAGGAACAGCTATGCGGACCTCCCCCTCTCCCATGCAACTGGTGGTTGTGTATCCGTACCGGAAACAGAGCATTGAAGAGGAAGCTTGGCTTGCGACGAAAAGTAATCAATCTCTCACGTCGCTAACATCTGCACCACCGAACGCCCTCGCATCTCTTCCAAAAGGGTTCTATATTCTTCTTCGTCTCCGCCAAGTTGCTCATCGAAATGGCCTACTTCTTCGCAACCCCGGTCGATATCGACATCGTCCTTGAAGATGCCGACGATCGCGCCATGGTCGACGTCAAGCTCGACAAGAACCGTCGAGAGAAGGCGCCTCTCTTCATGGACGGCGAATCGGTCAAGGGGGCCGTGACCGTCAGACCCAAGGATGGCAAGCGACTAGAACATACCGGCATCAAGGTCCAATTCATTGGCACCATAGGTAAGGCAGCCAGTCCTTGCTGCACCCATTAGACTGCGTAACACCTCGTCTCACACATCCTTTTTTTTTTTTTCTTTTTCTTCTGCAGAGATGTTCTTCGACCGCGGCAACCACTACGAATTTCTCTCCCTCGTACAGGAACTGGCGGCCCCGGGCGAACTCCAACACCCGCAGACCTTCGACTTCAACTTCAAGAACGTCGAGAAGCAGTACGAGTCGTACAATGGCATCAACGTCAAGTTGCGATACTTTGTCCGCGTCACCGTCTCGCGGCGCATGGCTGATGTGGTCCGGGAGAAGGACATCTGGGTCTACAGCTATCGCATCCCGCCCGAGATAAACTCGTCCATTAAGATGGATGTCGGTATCGAGGACTGCCTGCACATCGAGTTTGAGTATTCCAAGAGCAAGTATCATCTTAAAGACGTCATTGTTGGCAGGATATACTTCCTGCTTGTCAGATTAAAGATTAAACACATGGAGCTATCCATAATTCGGAGGGAGACCACTGGCGCCGCGCCGAATCAATATAACGAGAGTGAAACGCTCGTGCGCTTTGAGGTTAGTTATGAAGAACCCCCTCCCCTTTCTTCCCCGCGGGCCCGGAAACAACAAGGGGTGCTGTTTTGCTTGGAAGAACATGCTCGGATGCTAATTCTGCCTTGGGAAGATCATGGACGGCTCCCCGTCAAGAGGAGAGACCATCCCCATCCGACTTTTTTTGGGCGGCTTCGACCTCACCCCAACCTTCCGAGACGTCAACAAGAAGTTCTCCACAAGATACTACCTCAGCTTGGTCCTCATTGACGAAGGTAAACCAAGTCTCTTTCCCTCCCTGCAGCTAAATGCGCCCAAATTCTCGACTAACCACGATAACAGATGCACGGAGATACTTCAAACAGTCCGAAATCATCCTCTACCGCCAAGCACCCGACGCTGTGACTACCAACCAGCTAACACCCTCTGCCCCTGATAACAGTCGGAATAGGATTGAATCAGTACCGGCGGCGTAGTGAATGATGGTGCAGGAGACACTCGTTGTTTTGGTGTCCAAGGATGCTGTGTACAATGTTTTGCGTTTCTTTCATTCATTATATCCTTGGCATGGGCACGGCGTTGGCTTTGATAAATGGATTTGCCCCTTGGGCATCGTCTCTCAGAAGAATAACAGGCCAGACCTACAAACAAAACTTATTACCCCAAATCCCATTTTCGTCCACGTTCGTCGGGTATCTAGGCTCTCCGGCGGGTACCTGTTGTTTTGTTCGTTTGGTTTACCGAATGCAATCATTATGCACCGAGATGAAAGATTTACAGAATATCCACGACTTCGTCCCCTGCCTCAAACCCAAACTGATTATTCTGGATCGCCGTGATCCTGTCCAGCTCATCCTGATACTGCTTGCGCAGGTCAGCCAACGTGACGACCTTGCGCTCGGCCTGGAAGTCGGTTCCCCGGGAGTTGGGAGGCGGAAGCTCCTCCAAGAAGATCCACGCTTGCTTCGGCTCAACACAGCTGAGCGCATTGATGAGCAGCAGGTACTGCTTCGTCACCGGAGTGTCAAGGGTGTCCTCCCCAACGAACTTGTCGCCCTCGCCCGCGTGCTCCAACTTCTGCAGGCGATCCATCAGTACCGAGGCCGCGCCCCTATAATCGTTGTGGGCGATTCTCCACGAATAGAGGATCTGATGATATGGCACCCCGTTGACGACATCCATGGTACCCTTGCATTTCTGAGCCAAAATGCTGTCGATTTCGTCCTGTAGACCAGGGAACGGGAGTGACACCAGATCGTTGGTGTAATGCGACTCGCACATCCTATCCAACAACTTCCGTAGGGATGAGTTCCGCAGCGCCTTGTCCTTCATAGATAGGAGGCTAGAATGGGCCACGTCGAACCGGGAGGTGGCCGTGGCAGCATTGAACTGGCGGCTTAGCATTTCGGACCTCACCAGCGCAGCCTCCTCGCTAGCGTGAGAGAATTGCAATGCGAGTCCTGCGAATTCGATCACGTAGGAATAGGCCCTGGCCCTCTCAAAAAGGGACACGATGTGACAGAAGTACCTAGATGGGCCCTTGTGAAGAAGGTTCCATTCGGTATCGTCCAAGAGACCGCTGCTATGTCGATCCAGAGATCGATCGTTGATACCTGGACAGAAATTAGCATCGCAACGGACAGCAAGTAACATGATGGTAAGATGGTAAACTGGTGAGCTGGTGCTATGGGATGGACGTACTCATTCCGACAGCCGCTTTCCGGAAACTGACGGCTGCCGAGGCGTAGTCTTTGAGCGCGAGGAAAACTCGGCCTTGCACGTATACGGCAAAGGGGGTCTGGTCGCAATAGGGAGCAAGTTCCAATGCTAGGTCGGCCCGGTTACTCCGGATCAGAGAGCATTGGATAAGGGTTGGAGGCACTTCAATGTCGCTGTCGGCAGCGCAAAGACTGACGACGGCCTCGGTAAGGCCGGTAGAAAGGGACTCGCCGTTCGCATCGGGGAAGCCCAGGAGGTGGCCAATGTTATCCTCAAGAGCTGTTATCGCCTGGCCCTCGTCGTCCTTCTTCTTTGTCACTTTTGGAGAGCCGTTGGAGATGGATCCTGATCGTTCTCCCCTGGAATGTAGAGGGACTGTGAGTTCCGTCCCCGCAAGCCAGCGCAGGAGATCCAACCTTCGAAGGCAGTCCAGGTACTGTCGGAACACTGCTCCGACATCCAGTCGTTTATGAAGCATGTCTTCCTCGTCCTCCCAATCGAACTCCATGTGGATCAGTAACAGCAACTGACTCAAGCAAATCCTCCACAGCATGTCAACCATCTCCTCAACTGCCTTGACAAGGACCCTCTTTCCGAAACCGGTCAAAGGGTGGCGGACATTTCGATTCCTCGAGTCCATGTCGGGGGAGAGAAGGTAAAAGATCTCGCCATATAGATCCATCGTGACGAGCCCGAACTTGGGGCCAAAACTATCCGTGACCTGGGCACAGTCCTCGTCGCTAACGCTTCGCCAGAAGGACGTAGTATCCCAGATGTGTTGGAGACGTTCGTAGTCCGTCCGCGCCGTCTCCTCGAAAATCTCCGAGCGTAACGCCGCAGTGCAGAGTTGTACCATGGCATCCGGAAACGCGTCCAAGAACCCTAGACCGGTGGAGAGCAGTGTGACAGCCTGTTTGTCGCCCTCCCCTGGGCGGGCCAGATTGTGGTACAAGCGCTCGAGACCGCTGCAGTCACGGATGACAGAGAGAGAGTCAGCGCACACCACCCACGGCAAGCCGTTGTGAGGGTCAAAATCTAGAGAGATCGCCTCGCCCCGCTGCTTGTCTAACTCGAGGAGCAGCCTGTGGAAACGTCGCCACTGAATCTCCCCGCTGGCTCTAAACTGTTCGTAGCCCATGTCGCTCGACGAGTTCCGATCAAGCGTTGCGCCGAACGCAACGACGGAGCAAATCGACTCCGCCAGTCCTTTGTGGCTCCTTGGCGTCTCGTCCTTGGCTGCACCGAGACCCTTCTCGTAGATCAACAAAGCCGTTTCCAGTGTCGTCTTAGTGAATCGGCCAGGCGCGAGAATGAGACGTAGCCATTTGTCAGTCACGTTGACTGGATCGCTGGGGCCAGAGGTTTGGGGCGGTTCGGTCGAAGTACCAGTAACGACCGACGCCCAGCCGTTGTCCCAGCTTTCTGCCATATTCTCTCGATCCAAATCCACCTCTTGGACCCGGTATGTCATGTTGTTTTTCCACAAGGCCCAAAGCTGAATGTCGCCGGCAGTAGGGGTGGATAGCGCAAAGTCGGCCAGAGTCCATACGTCAGAAAGCGAGGGTGAGGATGGGACAAAATGGACGTCGGGGTAGTTGTCTTCGACATAGATGGTGTCCGCGTCGTGCGCCTTGATGTTCCAGAACTTGAACTCTCCAGTGCCAATCGGAGAATACACAGCGCACGTCCTCGCGCCTATGGTGTTTCCAACGACCCGAAGAAGATTTGTGTGTGACGGATCAATGGTCCATTTGCCCACCTCTTGCACGTTTCGTTCAGCATTCAGAATGTCGCCCGTGAAGAGGATTTGGCCCGTGTGGAGGTTCCATATTCTCATGCGGTGGTCGAGGCAAACGGTAAAGAGGAAAGATGCGCCATCCAGGCCGAGATCTGTGGCCTGCATCGATGTGGCGGCGTTCAACTCCATATTGACCTTGCCGTGCCAGACGGGCGACTTGCCCTGAAAGGGGATTAAGCTGCGTAAACCCTGGGTCCAACTCTGCGCATTGTAAATCGTCTCCTTCCATGGGCTCGCCATGGCTAAAGAACATTAGCTAATGACATCGACGAGACGCTGGGTACGTTATCAGGTGAACCGACTCACAGTCAGCGGATCTGTTCCTGTCCAACCTCACGAGGCCTCCATCGTGAAGGGCAATGACAACTCGATCGGAGGTTGCGGCGACCATTCGATGGGGATGTTTGAAGGTGAATACTGATGGCAAGTAGACCTTGCATGCTTCTCCCGGGTTGGCCTCGATGGCAGTCCGCTTTCTAAAGTAGTCAGGCCGCAAGGTGAAAGAATAGAGGTAGTTGGACTGGTCGAGGACAAAAATACTCAAGGCATCGTGTTCCCGAGGATCCGCAAAGGCGACGCAGGACGGCTGGATAGGGCTGGCAAAGCGAAAGTTGAGAACCAGCGGCGCATCGTGGTCCTTCTCTTGCCTACAGACATCGATGGCCCGAATGCTGAGGACGGAATCGTCCTCCAACACCCGCCAGAGAAAACTGCGGGGCGCATCGTGCCATTTGCGATGGAACACCGAAGAAGCTCTTGCCAAGTTCTTCAGCCTGAATGTGCCTTCTTCCTCGTTCGCTGTCTTTTCGGATGTCTGTACTTTTCGGGACGTTGTTCTTCCGTCGGTGGGGGAAGGAACTCGGATGTTGACGACTAAGGCCGAGGAGGCGGTCTCGAGATTGATACGAGTCTCCTTGAAGAGATACTGCGTGTTCCGGGAGTCCATCCTGGCCCCATTCGTCGCCATCCAGTGGCAGGGGTTGACTGGTGGTTGGAGTGTATTGGCGCGATGTTGAAGTTGAGTCCTGGGTCAACGAAGATAGATTCCTTGATAATGAAGGAACAGCCCTGTCGCGTTGAAGATGCAAAGCTCAAAGAGATATGCAAATGAGAGGGCGCTAGTCCCGAAATGGTAGTAAGCTTCCAGGTTGTTTACGAAGGGCACAATATACCTACACGTACAGTGAGACAAACCTCTATACACTGTCCACCGGTAGACACCAACTAATTAAGCTGCGAAATACAGGTAAAAACTCCTGGCAATATGATCTCAAAGTCGAATTACAAAGGTGTGACAGATGACAATGATGAAGGAATTATGCACTTTTCTTATATATGGTCACTGGCTGGTTTTGCCTTGAAACACCTGGCCATCAGAGTCAAGGAAGGCGGAGCATGTGAAGAAATAAAGAATATCGCTTTTGGAAGACAAGGGAGACGGACATAATACCGTTTTATAATATAATTGAAACTATAAGAGCATACGCTAGCCCCAGAATAACGCCAGCAAACCACATCATTCCAGCTATCCCGACGCCGTACCGTGTATGATGCACATATCCGTCTGCCATGGTTCTCTTCTAAACCCACTAAATTCAGTCCTTCTCCAGATCCTTCGGGCTGGGATCGCCAATTCCGTCCTCATTGATGGCAAAGAGGCAATCACTCTCCGGTAGACAGGGGCTGTCGTAGATCTTGGCAATTCGCGTCTCCCCTCGGCCCTTCTTCAAGCTGATACGTGTTGTACTGGCATGGGCGATGATGTTACCTCCAATGGGCTTCTTGGGGTCGGGGTTGAACATTGCGGACGGTCCACCATCAACCTGAGCGACAACCTGGTTGGTAATCACAACAGCAATCCCAAACTCGTCCGCGAGGCGTTGGAGGGTCCGCATAAACTTGGCCAGATGCGTCTGCCGGGAAGACAGCTCTCCACGGCCGAGGAAATCCGTCCTGTAGAGCGACGTGGCGCTGTCCACAATGAGTAGGGAAAATCGCGTTTCACACATCATGGCCGATGCTTGCTGGAGCAGCTGGAGCTGATGATCCGAGTTGTAGGCACGTGCGTATGCCACGTTGTCCAAGACCTCCTCTCCAGAAAGACCGAACCGGTTGGCCACGGCTAGCAGCCGGACGGGACGGAAGGTACCTTCTGTATCGATGTAGAGACATTTGCCCTCGCCTCCTCCCATGTCGAAGGGCAGTTGGCATGTGACGGCCAGGGTGTGGCAGATCTGACTCTTGCCCGTCCGGAATTCGCCGAACAGCTCTGTCACTGACCCGGTCTCGACACCACCGGCGAGCAGAGTGTCGAGCTGTTTCGAACCCGTTGTGATGGAGATTAGTTCGCTGCGTCGCTGATGCATCTCAGTCGCTGTCGTGAATCCCATGGGAACAAGCTTCGACGCTGTATGGCCGTGGTATTAGCAAATTAATCGCATTGCCGCACGAAAACCATGAGAGAAGAAAAAAGAAAGAAAACCCCCCATACCTTCGGCGAGAATTTTGGCAGCCTTCTGCTCTGAAATGCCCTTGATCTGTTCCAATGTCCGTCGTGGAGTATACGCGACCGATTCGACTGTATTAAATCCACCATCGACCACAAGCTGGATGTCTCGTTTCGTCAAGCCGGCGACACCCTGTAAACCGAATAAGTATCCGCAATTGTTTGGAATTTCTGGGCGTGTCCTACCTCGAGAGCAGAAAGGGGTGTCGGTGCACCAGGGCCGGTCATGCCACCATCACCCGCATTGTGGTTCTCATCGTATTCCTCGACTTGGGTCATCTTCACACCTGGTAGTTGTGACTCTCGAAAATTTCACAAGATTCTAAATAGCGGAAAGAAATCCAATGGCCAGTCTTGCGTGGCGAGATTGAAGGAAGACGAACAACACAGGTGCAGCAGATGTGGTTTAGGCAGGAGTCAAACGCGGGGAGTTGTTGACTCCACCACTCCAGAAATTGGCTACGCGTCAGCCCAAGACGCCAGATCACGTGATTATCGCGTCGGTTTCAAGGCGAAAACCAAACAGCGGACACGTTTACGTTATCCTTGTTATTAAGAGATTAAGAAGGGGAGGGCGGGGGGGGGGGAAAGGCGGGGAATCGATTCCAGGGAAACACCATGAACCGAAGGCAAAAAAGACATGCACGAGAAACAAAAATTCTCCGAACCCAGAATCGAACTAGGGACCTTCGCATAATGGTTACTGTCCTGAACATGTTTGCTCAGGGCACAATTACAGTGCGACGTGATAAACCAACTACACCATTCGGAGCGAGCGATACTGTGTAGCTGCAAGAGTTTTGGATATAGGGGACGAGCAATCTAGTGCCGTCTGGCCCTCGGATGCGGTGCCTTCGAGGTAGTACGACTTGCTCCACCTTGCGGCATTTCTTCTTCGGACACTCCTCCGTAACGACTCCATAGACGAGGGTTCGAAAAGCAGAACGATGATAAACGACGAGGATAACTAATCTACATGGACGACGGGAGAGGAAGGAATAGCCCAGGGAGTATGTTGAACGTCTCTCTCAGCAGCACTATTGCACATACCATGTCAATGCTAGCTCTTTGGAGAGAAAGATGTTTGCATTCCATTAACCCTATTATACAGCGCACCCTTTTTGCTAAAAACACCCTAGGTCCTTCTTATGACTTCACTGTGTTTGAGAAAGGAATGTAATCGACAGGAGAAACCCCTCACTTAAAATGAAAGCAAACTAGAACAAACTAACACCAGCGCCAAGCAACGGTAGCTTTGTGTGAGTCGTATCGTCATGTCGGATTAAAACAGTACAGCGATGTAGGGTGTTTTCTTTTTGCGTCGAGTCCCAGCTCCCTCCGCCCGTTTACTCGATGGCAATGCGGCGGCGAGCCTCGTGCTTGGGAGTCTTCGGGACGCGGACATTGAGGATGCCATCCTTGAGACTAGCAGATACGCCATCCTGTTGGATCTGTCCAGGGAAGTTGAAGGTGCGAGAGAATTCGCCAACGGTGCGCTCGGAGACCCAATACTTGGCCCGGTCCTGCTGCTTCTTGGTTCCCTCCGACTTGGCAACGGTTGATGGAGTCGCCTGCTCGCTGGACTCCTCTTCAACGGATGCCTGGCGAAGCTTTGGCTTCTCGCCTCCCTCGGTGATGGCGCCGCTCATCTGGGTGTCCTCGACCAGGCCAGCGGGAGGTGTGCCGGCGGTGTAGGAGCGCTCAATGCGGCCGCGGATGAGCATGGTGTGCGGGTCGGAGAATTCAATCGAGACATTCTCCTTGGAGATGCCTGGCAATTCGCCGTGCAGCTCGTAGGCATCCTCGAGTTCGCGAACATCGAACTTGGGCTGGAAGGCGATGTTGCCCTTGCCCCGGGTGGTGTCTCCTTGAGAACGCGTGTAGGTGTCGAAGTCATCGAGGAGACGGAACAGCGGGGTGAAGCTGGTATCGGAGCCGTAGAAGTTACGAGGGAAGTACGCCATTTTGTCGTTGTTTAGAGTTGTGAAGGGTCTTGTGTGGAGTGTGGTGATTGTGGTGGACGGCTTGAAGGTGCGGCGTGGAAGTCTCTTTGGAGTGACTTTTCTCGCGATGTGCATGAAACTGAGTATGAAGCTTGTGGGACGCTTTTTGTTTGCTCGCTCCTTCTGAGTGCAACGAGAAGACCTGGGGATGGTTCTGGGGGGCCTGCTTTATACTCGTTTGCTGGCTCATCGTACCTTCACGCACCTTCTTGAAACCCCGCCGTCGAAGTCAAATCGAGGAAGCTTCGGATGCGACCAGCACTTTCCAGTCACCCCAACGGGGACCTCGAAGCTGCATTACGCTTCTAGAAGGCACGATATCATACAAGAAGCTACTATGAAGTCATGACGGTTGGATGAACACCTCATCATTCATCATGCAACGTGGAACTAGACAGAAGACTCCAGAAGGTACCACTAGGACCTTCCTTCCGTTCGCACACTGGGTACGTCTTGCTGCGACTTCGTGTAAGAAACAAAGTCAAATTGAATGAAAACACGCCCAATTGATGATATGAAGCTTCTAGAGTTTGCCGCATGTCTTACGACTATCCAGGGTATCATGGGCCATGCTGTCGATGCTGTGAACTGTTGTAACGGAGTAGGTAGATTGCCTACCTACCTAAGGTACCTTAGCTAAGAGGTGGTTCGTCTTGAAATGATGAGGTATGATTGGCTTCTACTGTTCGTTGATGGTTAAGCCATCGGCTTGAGATACCGAGGTACCATGAAACTCATATTAAATAGGTAGCTATTCAAGTAACTACATAACAAAAGATACCTTATGACTCCGTACCGACGAGCCAAAACTATGACGTCAGCGTGTTCTCCCACCGTTCTGCCCACGGCATGCAATCGGATGGTGACAACGATAATTACAGGATGAGTTCACACAAACATGGTCAGACAACTTCGTAGCACAATACGACGATGGTATGCTCCTCGTCAAATTGATGGCTTGACTCTGATCCAACCGTTGTCGAACGTAACAACTGCGGGGCCATCTAAACTAATAGCCGATTCGTTATTCGGCGGCGGGCCCTTGGGGAAAGTCTAGTGTCATGAGGGCTTTCGGAAGTTCTGCATAAGAAATGTGTCACGACCGTCCACGTCATGGAACTAGTTGACTACACACGTAGAGAGGTGGCTAGGTTCCATCTCACACCCAACACCCGTAGCTCGCACGGTAGCACAGGGACCATCCCATCCCTTCAGTGTCGCAACCGTGGCCTCAACCGTGGTCTCAAGTAGTAAGTAGGGCGAGATACGACGAGGGGAAGGAAGCAGGCCGAGCCATGGGATGTGATTAGCAACATTGAATTGACCGCATAATGACCTGCAGTGCGCCCGCATATCCAACCACCCAGCCCTGTCAGTAGGGTGGTCGCATAGGCGGATATCCTGCCACCATGGTCATGCCAGGCTGCGCCTTGGGAGGAACCAGCCCTGGACTGTGTACACGATTAAAAAGTCCAATCAGTCTCCGGCCAGCCGACGGCTCCAACTCGGTGCCGTCCCTTGCAATCTTCACTTCCCGGTTCGAGTTCCAAGGGTTCCGCAGGCCCCGAGTCCGGTAGAAAGGCAGCCTGGTCGTTGACAGCCACTCCAGTCTGAACGGCTTTCCCCACGTCTTCGCGTTCCCGTCCTCCTGGTCCCCAGCCTTACTGCTGCCGACATCACTCCCTGCTTCGTCGTCTGCGCTGTCCGAATCCTCGTGTTCCGCTTCCCAAAAGATCGTCCCCCTTGCCGAGTCGTCTATGACCCTCCCCTTCGGCGCGAACTCTGTCGCTTCGGTGGGAATCGCTTTCGGCAGGTCAACGTCGTCCGTAGCCTGCGATTTCGGGGCAAACTCGATGGCGGCAGATGGATCGTCGTTGATAGGGGAGGTCATTCGCGCGTATCCAAAATATTCGCCGGACTTGTTCGCAGAAAAGACAAGGTAGACGTTATCGGCAGACTACAAAGTAGGTCAGGAGGTCTGAAAATTCGCATCGTCTCGAATACATATGACCACTCACAGAGTAGGCACTGTTGAGGGCTTCCTCGTTGTGCGACTGTGTTGCCCAAATGCCAGTCTTGACGCTCAATTCCAAATCCTCGACAGTTAGGCTCTTGAGGATGAAAAACTTCTCTTTGTCTTTCTGTGCCGAACCATCGGGTTCCTCGGTCTGCTTTTGGTTGCTTTCCGTCGACGGTGTGGTAATTCCCTTCGTAGTATTTGTTGTTGCAACAGATTCCGCCGGTGCCTCGCGCGGGGTTTGACTCCCAGAGGACGCTGCGGGACCTGTTGGGGCTGTCATGCCTGTGGCTCCTTCGACCGTGCTTTTGCGAAGACGGCTGACAAGTCTAACCGATTGAAACCTGGAATCATGGATTTTCTTCTGTGCCTCCGCACATGTTTTCTCGTCTTTGAAATTGGCAAAAGCGCAGTTGCTTTTGGATATAAGAAAAAGGGATTCGAGACCCGGTCCCTCCTTAGCAACGTGATGGACGAGGCTCATCAAGTCCGTCTGGGGAGGCAGATTCCCTATCCATATAGCGTGGCCTATCTATATCATCAGCGAGGCCTTCGGAGAGACCTGCAGTTAAAGGAACGTGAATCTCGTACCGCTTTGTCGTGGTTTTCGGGGCGGGCCGCGTACAGCCCCTGGTCTACCCTCTGTTGCTTCTTCGCGTCCCATTAGCTTCAGCCCCGCGAGCGGGAGACTGCGACGTATCTTACCACTAGGTTTGGGTCCAGAGAGATGATTCGATTCATCCAGCTGGCGGTTCTCCCCGTGCTGAAATTGCATCATCGCCCCCGTTCCGAAGCTCTGATGCTGCACGACAGGACTGGGTATGGAATGAGGTGGTGGGAAAGCGGCAGCAGGGACGGGATAATAATAACCACCCCCTATGTGGCTTGGATGGTGCTGGTTGACCACCATATGGGTTGGGTAATAGCTTACATTCAACCGAGGATGCGGCTGGTGTGTGGGGAGAGCGCCTCCGTAAAACGGATGCGCGTGTGAGTGTGGCGGTTGGTAGTAAGGGTGGACTGCCATGGGTACCGTCGAGTGATGTGCGTATTGACCAGGCATATGCTGTAATACGGGAGTAGATGAGGTTTGAGGACCAGGTCGTTGCTGTTGAATCCCTGGAGGGTAACCCGGTCGATAACTGCTAGCTCGGGGAAGAGCGTTGGCCATCCCAGTCATGTTCAGAGCCCCTGAGGGGCCGTGGTCGGGAGGCTGAGCCATGGCGGCTTAAAGACGAGAGTAAATACAGTTTGGTGATGGCGTACTGCTGTTGCTGTTAATACCTTTTCCACTGGCGGAGCTGCGACCATATCACCCTTGAGCGTTCCAGTCTGCTAGGGGGGAAGTCTGTCTTACACGTACATGACTACAAGTCGCGCTGAAGACTTTGTCTGCGGTTATCGGAGAGATGGACGGGGGGAGCGCATCTCCCATTCGTGCCGCGAAGATACCTACCAGACGACAAAATAGTCTTCACAAAAGTTCATGTCGTATCTAGTCGGCTGGTTGTCCTCCAACAGCCAACCCAGGCAACGGAAAGGCAGGCAGACTGGTGTCACGGCCGAATTCCCAAGCACGTCGTCGGCTCGACTCTGCGCAAGCAAAGCCTAGTGCGAAGATGACGGAAGTCCAAGTAGAAACGTAGATTGTCTTCGTTGGAACGTCGCAGTCGAGTGGTACCCTCGCTCCAGGCTTGTTCGCGTTGGCTGGTCGCGAGGATAGCAATGAGGACAGTGTCGAGATTTATCACCTGGTGAGGGCAAGTCTAGGCGTTGGATCTCGAGGAAAGGTAACAAGAGGTCGGTGATGAAATGACAAAAATGGCGGTGCCGGCCACCAGGATTTGAAGAGCGAGTCCCTTTGTGGGCGGGTGGATGCTCTGTACTCGCTCGATACCTTTGGAAACCCTGCTGCCCACAACTTCGAGAAGACTTGCAGGGCAGTTGATCTTGAGGGCTGACCACTAATGGGCCGGTGGGCGATGGGACCCCCAAGGCCACGACTACATTAGACGGGGGGGGGGGGTCGAGTGATGGGACCCCGTCTACCGGAGATAGTAAAGAGTGGGATGCCGACGCAGAATAAGGGGTAAGAGACAGAAGGGACCAAAAAAGAAAACAAAAGAGAAAAAGAAAAAGAAAAGAAAAGAAAAGAAAAGAAAAGAAAAGAGCCTCCCCTACGAAAGGTCGCCACGCCGCAACTGGATTCGCCGCCCTATCACCTGCTATCAACTCTGCTGTGCTCGGATCAGTGTAATCCCCCGGAACGAGTTTGTTTTCGACCAGTCGGATTCAGGGCACAAAAGAACTGGACAGGGGACCGACCGAGACTTCAACTTAGCGAGCCGTATGCGAGCCGAACCAAGAGCCTAGAATGGGGAACTGCAAGGGTGGTATGTAGGTATGTAGTGTACATGTGAGTCTTGTAAGGGCTAGGCCATCGTCACCACACCTATGGGGAATCCCGGATGTAGGTGGAACAGCCAATAACGAAAGTGAGGTCGCTGAACAGGAGCCTAAAACGTGTTGACGGTTGCTAGCTTAACGAGGACTTGGAGACTTCCTGGACAAGTGGGAATGAATGCTGGGTTATCAAGAGTAGGTTCGTTGCTCTTGGGTAACAGAAGGGCGACCATGTTCTCGGGTGGCAACAGAAGACCGAGGATCATTTCTTCGTACTGATAGGCAAGCACGAGAAGCAAGTTGGGCTGGTATAACCAGCAGTGTAAGTGTGGCTTGGTGGGCCGCTGACCAACTCCTAGGAGGGGGGCACAAAGTCCGGGTGACAAACTCGGGGGGAGAGATAATTTAGTTGACGGGGAAAGGGGAGGGAAAGGGGAGGGAAAGGGGAGAGAAAGAGAAACGGGCATGGTCTCGCAGCCAGACAAAACCTGCAGGGCCCTGGCTCGGGGCAATGCCAGCAAGGGCCAGACCAAGTAGGGCCGGACCCATCCATGGACGAGGCGGCGAAAGAATAGTAGGCGTGTAGACGAACATTATGCTTCAGGACAGCGTTGGACGCCAAAGGCTAGGTAGACGGACGGCGCCAGGGGTTGTTGGAGGGACGCCGAGAGGACGATCCACGAGAGACGGGGCGACAGAAAGGGGGGACCGCCGGCGGCGGAGGAGACTCCAGGTCAATGGTGGATACCTGAGCTTTTGTATCTCTGAAGTATATATACTTTGTCAAGACACGCGTCACATTTAGCTCAGATGCGGCAAGCCACACCAGTAATAGCCGCATCCTTGCTGCGGGCGATACCGTCGGGGCGAGGTACGGAGTACCTACCTAACCTTAGCCACACTTGGTGTACGTACGAAAGTACGGAGGAGTGATATGTAGATCAACAGCAGAGGTAATTAGATAGGTAGGTAGGCAGTTACCTACATGTGTAGATTGAGATTTCAAGGGACCGTTGCAGAGTCGGGTGTAATAATTGGTGTGCGCAAGAACCGGTCGGAAGAAGGGACTTAAGGAGAACCAGCAAATAATTGTCTTGACTACCTTAAATTTGAAGTTCAACGGTGGTGATGTCTCTACCAAAAAGTCACAGGAGATTTTGTTCGTCTGTTGGTGTTTTTATCGGGATTCGTACCCGAGAGTTAAAAAGAAAAAGAAAGAAAAAAGTGCCGGGGTCTAGGCCGACAACCCCGGGAAGATGACCGCCTGCTCCGTTCGGGTCTCTAATAGGTACCTACTTATCGTACCGTAGATACCATGGTGCAGGCACGAGGTCTGGACCTAGCCCGCGGACTAGGTACATAGGTACCTGTATAATGTACACCACTGTACCTTACCTTACCTACCTATGTACCTTAAGGAAGAGCACGCCCTGGACCATTGCCTAAGGTACCGTACACTAGGTAGACAACCTCTGCGTGTCGCATCTGAAACCTCTCTACCATTGCTTATAACATCGACTTCGTACATATCGTATACGTGTATTCGTAGATTTCATATGTAGGCTGCGACCATGTTCGTGAATACCTACCTTAGTGACACATCCGCCCCGTCCCTGGTATACACGTACTACCTTATCGAAGTTTCCAAACCTGGAAGATACCGTGGTAGACGTATGATGAAATAAGGTACGTAGCTTTCCAAGTACGAAGTGCTTCGTACAAGTGTGCCCTACAAATGGAAAACATGTCCATCTTCAAAAGATACCTTATATTTTGCCACCTGAAGCCGATTTGCTTCTGTTCCAAGGCAGGAGGTTCCACCGGGAGACTTGAGATGACGCTTGCACTTGTGGAGCATAGTACGTACTGCCTCTACGTATGAGCACGAAGTACCTTGAATTATGTACCGTAGGTACATACGAAGAGCGAGGGAAGACATATTTTCCATACTTCGCAAGTATCGCGAGAGTACAGGGTACACTCATCCACCGGGATGGGATTGTTGAAATCTCGATTCCCAATCCTGGGTTTCCCATATTAATCACCCGGACCCCACTCCTTACACGTACAACTCCTCCTTACAGAACCCCCTGGTAATAACCCCTACTAGTACAGTGAGTGAGCAAAAGTTTCGGGAAACCCTAAAGTAGAATGCTTCGAAGCTTTTGGGGAACACTTTTCTATCAGGGCAAAACCATGTTATCTTGCAAAAGAAACGAATCGCTTGATATTTGATATATGCCGAAATTATTGCTTACCCACTGTACGTGTACTTTGTACGAAGAGGTTGCCTCCATTTCCCACACCAAATATAGCGAGCCTGCTCCGCGGTGGAAGATTTTATTACGGCAATCTCCAGGTCAATTCCTCTACCTATATATTTATTTGGCTGGACCCCAAGGCAGGCAGGCCAGGCCCTGGATAAGACCAGACCAGGTCAGACCGGCAATTTCCATTTCCAGGGGCCCAAGGGAGGCCGGACGGTTTCCTCCGGAACCTTAATAAATGTCACAAAAAAAAAAAATTTAAAACCCCCTACCTGCTGATATCGTAAGGTAAGTAGCTGCGTGGTGATTAGATTTGCCTCGCGTGTACACTAATTAATACGTGCTATTCTGCGATGTACTTTGGCCGAGTCCTGGACGCTATGTCCATGGAGCCCGATGTTAAAAGGGTAGACGCGCCGGGCCGAGAAGGGCTAACATCTGCGAAGCATTTGCAAGGGGGAGGTAGTTAACATATTAGTGCCTACCAACGATCCTGAGTACATAGAACTACACTATGGGGACCTGTTGTCTCGAGTTGGAAGTGCTGGACTTGCCACTGAGAGGGGTTCTGCCGATCTTTCCTCTACCAGTCCCGACTATGGTTTGTGGCGTTACTCGATATTTCCCAACTTGCTTGCTCAAGAGTTCTCTCTGAACGGTGCATGAAGTCAGTCGAGTGGGACTAATAACGGGGGTTGGACATGCGGTCGTCAAACGGTTTTCGTACGGGTATCATTCTGCGCCTCTTGGCGCGGTGTCCCCTAGCCTGATCCAATAGCTGTACACTGTGAGTTCGGACAATTCCTTGGTTCGGAACGGACCCCGCGGATGTTCAGACAAGCGCACGTAAGGACGACTACACGTGTACTACGGATCGAAAGTAGTACTGCGTACATCGTACCTATTGCCTGCCCAGGTGCTGGTACTGAGTAATATTACCCCGAATCTTCATCTTCCCAAGTTCGAAACGAGAAAGACTAAACCCCCAAAATGCTGTCAAAATGCGATGCCATTGGCACCGTTTCTCCGGTAAAAAATATGTTGGGTATGCGCCCGGATCTCATGTGTCAGTCCATGGGAGTTCAAGTCATCAGTTAGGTCCAGGACTTTGAGCCGAGCTTGGTCATCCATCGACATGTCGGTTGAGGTGAGGCTTTCCTCTATCTGCCTGTACCCCATCTGTTACATGTTTTGGCTCAGTTTCCAGGTCGGCTTGTCCAGCGATCTACTCTGTGAGCCTGGACAAGGCTGGTAGGGTTCTTCCCGTGTCTGGTGTTATTCGTCGCTGTCCAGAGACTGATAAAAACCTTCCAATCCGATAGCGACCGATTCAGAACCCAGCCAGGCCGACCACAGTGGTAACCATCTCCTAGCTCGAAACTTAACGCAATGCCTGCAGGCACCTTGATGCATGGGGCAAAAATTGCCCGGTCTTTAGATCCCATCTTTAGGCAGGTCAACTGTTAAATCCATCAGTTATGGGCCGCTCTGCGGCCTGTCTTGGCGGCCTTACTGGTCCTGGAAACTCTCTCGTTGGGATTGCATTGTTACATCGGCGTCAGCCGATGTTGAGAGCTTCGACCTTTGCAGGGACCTATGAGGACGCAATGTATCACGTTGCAGCCACACCGTGCCACGACACAACTATTCGTAATAATGCTGCAGCTGTACACGTGGACTTGGCCGTCTCCTGAATTGCCATTGGATGGCGATCGATGAGGCTCATGTATGGCATCCCTTTCTCCTTGCGAGACATGTCGTACGTAGCTTATACACTCCAGACGGCACGAAGCGGAAGTTACTTCCAGTCCCTTGGACGAGCTCATCCCGCTCGGAACCAGTGATAGTAGAGCAAAGGGGCAGCGAATCAATTCCAAGTTTCAGGTAAGAGTCCTTACAAGCTTTCCGATTGTCCATGTCCGATATTTGCGAAATGTTTGGAAACTTAGATCCCGAGGCAAGGGTTCGCTGTGTTCTGTTCTGCTGTCGAAGACCTCTATTACCCGAATAGTTCCGTGACGGAAGTTCAATTTGATCGTTCCTCAGCCGCCATGACCCACAGCAACAGGACCCTAACACAGCGTTCAACGGTTCGATGAAATTACTACCATGCCTCACATATGTTATACAGCGAAAACGGGTTCCTGCCCTCCCAACGTCCCTGCATCTGCACTTGGGCAGAACGCTCTAATCCCTCTTCAGCGGCAGAAGCACCTCCTCGATACCGTCTTTGGTAATTGTCATCATCTGCAGCCCATCACCAACCTCAATATGGCGCTCCACTGCGCCATCAAACGCGTCCTTGACTAGAATCTCAGCATCCCGGCGTACCAACGGGACGACTTCGCGCTCCTTGAGATCATGACCGGTGCCGCTGCCGGGAACGTATTGGTTCTTGAAGTTGACTTGGTTATCGAGGAAAGGAGTGATAAGACTGGCTGCGGCACCGCCAGCGCGGCATTGCTCTCGCTCGTAGCTGCCAACGGGGTCGTACGAGAAGACGGCGCCCTTGCCTTCTTCGTCCAGACCGCCCAGGATCGCATGGACGTAGTACGGAAAGAAGCGCTTCTGGTATAGGATAGTCGATAGACGCTTCGCGCAGGCGGTTACGCTCATGGGCTTGCCATGGCGATACCGGTAAATCTTGCAGATGGCGTCGAGGCGATCCCTCAGAGCCTCGCCGTCGGCGGCGAACCCTACCACGGAGAGAAGAATGGTAGCATCGTCCTGGGAAGAAGTTGTTCCGCCGATCTTGAACACCTTGGGAGTGTATCTTGAGTTGATGCTGTAGCCGGAGGTACTACGGGTATCGCCGGCGACGATGGTGAAGTCGGCGCCCGCGATCGCCAGGGTCGAACCGCCGTTGTCGGAGTAGCTGAGGAAGTGTGTGTTAGGTAATTTGCCATCGTAAACAGAGTACGCTCAAGCTTACGGGTTGAAACGGTGTTCTCTGAATTCGCCGTTGGCAGTCCTGGGCGCATCGGAGAATGAGTAGTTTGGCCCGTTCATCACGGGGTTCTGGCTGAACATGGCGGCCATCTTTGCGGCGTACTCTTCGGAATCCTCTGTGCAACTCTCGTGTCTGTACAATTAATCAAAAGGTGGTGGCCGTAATGGGGGATGGTATCGTTGGGGAGTCGGAGTCTGGTTGATGATGAGGTTGGTGAGGCTGCAACGCAAACGCGTCGTCAAGCTGGGAGCCTTGCAATGTACGGAGTACTCCATAAGGTAAGGTAATGGGCTGACTGGGAAAGACCGGGGGTAGCCCATATGACTAATCTTAAAAAGTGGATACCTACCGAGCAACCCGGAAACGGGTTTGGACGCCTTGATCACCCGTAGCTTCTGAGGACAGCCCGTGGTAGAGTCGATCCGTAGGACGCGTCGTCTTCTTTTGATTCTCTCGCGTCCTCGTGGTCTTACCTTGTTCTCCTTTCTCTTTATGTATTCGCCTTAAGATTGACTTCGCCATGTCACGCGACATTCGGCAGCGAGCGCTGCAGAAGATCGCCGCGTTGTCTGCTGCCAGCTCTACCACATCTTTCGACCGATCCGACCTTGACCGTTTGGCCCGCGCATGCCATACAACAAGCAGGCTTTCGCCTGTAACCAATGGACACTGTTCAAAGCAATCGTCTTCACTTGGCAGGGTGCCAATGGTGAATAGTATCATTATTCCGATATTTACCCAACTTAGACTGATGAACCCCCCATAGACTATTCGCGAATTCGAAGTCCTCCTGGCTCTCTGCAAGGCTGCCCCCGCCGTCAGGACCGGTCAAAGTGCCCAAAGACTGGCCCACCAGTTAGCACCGTATATCCGCGAAGCGCACGTTCAGGTCTTTGTACCGTCGCCGTTCTTTAAGAAAGTCGAGCCGTCTCCGACCGAAGCCTTCGCCTTCCATGTCACTGCTGCCTTGTTGTCCCTCGGCTCCAACTTCCATGACTTGGAGGAGTCGGTCTCGGATAGTATTTGGGCTTTTATTAATGCATGGGGCCATCTAGCTGGTGCCGTATTGCCGGCCAATTCCGACGACAGCGAAGACCCTAGCCTGGAAGATGCGATACAAACGGCGACTCTTGCCGTCTCCCTCATTGGCTTTCTCGACGCTGCCTCAGCACAGGCTGACTTTTGGAAAGCGGGTGGCAGGCTGGCTTTGATCCAGAGAATCAGTGGACTGCTGTCAGAGCCGTTTCTAATAGCCGTCGAGACGGCATTTTCAACCATACGGCATGCGCATAGCACGGATCGCCAGACTAAGGAGTGGAAGAGATATGTCCGCCATTACTCCGCCAGTGGACGGCCTCTTGGAGCTATGCTCCTCCAGAGGAGCGTCATGTGGCTCCTTGTCGCCGGCACCTCGCTCCTGGTCACAGAGCCAACCTTGCTCAAGAAGACGCACATCCTCGACCTCCTCTTGACAGGGAAAAAGGACCTTCGACCCTCTTCACCCCGTAACCGTGACGTGGACTTGCGCTCGCTGGATTTCTATGCTACTATGGCCATGGACCAGATGAACTACCTTGAGGCTAGCGCTGATTTCATTAAACTCGGGTCGCCCTTGGACCAGAAACTCGCCTTTACCGTCAAGTCAGCTGCCTTGATCAGCTACCTCAACTGCCTATTGCTAAACGAAGATGCAGCCGATGCGGACCTGCTCATGACATGGCTAGAAGAGGCATTGGGAGATCCACTCCAGATGGCCGATGGGGTCCTAGCTTCTGTTATTCTGAAGACGTTGGCTCTGATTTGTGTCATCTCGCCGACTTATGCTACATCTGTCAGCCGTCTTTTACCCAGGTTTATCGTCCAAGCCGGCCCCGACTCGGAGACAGTTGCCATTGCGTCCAAATGTCTCGCTCACGTTCTGCAGAGGCTTTCTCACGATGCGGTCATCACTACGCTGTATACACTCGGCAACGTTTTGAGCCCCGGCTCAGACAGGACTCTGACAAGCGGCGCCAACGGGGGCGATATGACCGCAGACGGCCTGGGTGCGGTGTATCTCGGGAGGCATTCGGCTGGTAGCAGCATCTCCCTCCAGGTCCATGGCAAAGAAGAGACCTCTGTCGTCTGGAAAAACGTCATCCAAGCCGTATGTGGCATCGCCGCTGCATGTGACGACGAGATGATCACGGCCCTGGCGCAGTCCATGCTGCTGCAGAAGCTTGACAAGATTGACCCTGCTATCGATGCCCGCATTATCACTGGCGCGGCTGCGCTTGCTTTAAAGGGCGGGCAACTTGAGTTCCGCTCCCTCTTGAAACTGTACTCCAAGATGTCTCACACTGGTGTTGTTGAAAACAGGACATTTCTTCTCGATGCCGTAAGCGCGACTCTTTACTGTTCATTCTAATCCCAGATGGATGGGAGCTGACTTGTGAGCTAGGTGATGAAAGCCCGGGTTCGTCTGTCCACGAATCTTCGGAGAGGATCGCCTCTCTACGATATCTACTGGGAACATCTCCTAGAGAGCATCCTCTCGATCGGCGACGTTCATCGGTCTCATCAGATTAAAGAATCCGACCTCCAACTTGCTGCCCAGGAGATTGCTCAGCTGCTTCGGCCGCTGGCTGTCCTTATGTCAACAAACGACCTCGCCTTCAACTCATCTTCGGATGACGAGTCTCATGCGATGCTCAGGGACGTCTGGTTCAACATCGTTGTTCACGGTCTCGCCGCGCAGACCGACCTTGGGAGGCAATATCTCGACGAACTTCGTCTGATGGCTATCCACTCGCCGCCCCTGGTTACGGAGCAGCGTGGTGAGCAGATTGAAAGCGATATTGAGCTCAACACTGTTCTCCGTCGCGGGATGAGTTCCGAGAGAGAGGCCTTGCAGAAGAAGCAACTCATCAATTTGGTTCCTACCAAAGCTGGAGACATAAAAGGGCTAAGCTACCGCAAGGTCATCTTCTTGCAATCGGCCTACCTTGTCGAAAGCCTACGCGCGGATTCGGGAGACTGTACAAAAGTGATGTCGTACTTCTTGGAGCCGAGCATGCACCGGAATGATGTCCACAACACCATGGAAGAAGTAGCGGCCGCTGTGGTTGATAGGTATCTCCGCAAGACGCTTGCAGGGAACGACTCGAGCTTTTCGGCACAGTACGCTGCAGCTCAACTGGCCACCATTTTCTGCAATTGTTGCCATCGGATTGAGCGAGTGCAGCAAGCGGCGTTCGTCTGTGCAGACCGCATTATCAAGGAAGTGCCATCCGCTCTGTGCCATCGATCTTCCCTCTTTGCACTTCTGGAGCTGCTGTCTCTTATGTGGTCTAGTTGCGTAGAGGCTGAGACGGATATGTATTCTCCGCGCTCCAACTTTACGTCCACCTTGGGCGATGTGTGGGTCGCTCTCTCCGACGATTACGACTTCCGCCGTCATACGCTCGATGCCCTGTACCGCAAGGCCAAACAATGGGTATCGGGTGTTATCGCCACCGCCCCCCTTGATGTCAAGGGACTCCTTCAGACGTACCTGTCTGAGTTCAACGACGGGGGGGCTTACGGGCATATCTCCCTTGGGAGATCCTTTGCGCTCGAGCTGGCGTCACTCATTCCATTTACGGACCACAAGATGCAGTCCTTGGATCCCGTCGGGAGTTGCAACATCAACGATGCTTCAGATTTCGTCGCTCAGTATACGACACGCCAAGAATATCGATATGGCGAGACGCTGCCTGACCGTGGCACCGAGCTGGTGAGCTTCATGCACTTGAATCGCAGCGCATCGTTCACCCAGTCATCCGTATCATCGGCTTCAGAGAGTACCAACGCAGCCACAGCGCTTGCTCACGTTGAAGCACGCCTGAAAAGCAAGAAAGCTGCGGGCCTCGGCGAGGTCCGCGACATACTGCGGCGTGCCGCTGCTCTCCTATGTCGCACTAACCGTGATGAGTCTGATGTGGCTCACTACCTCGTGAGCATTCCGTTTACCATGTTCACCAGGGAGTCTGTCAAACTGGGAGTCTCGCTGTGGCTCGGTGTCATCAATGAAAATCCGCGGCTGGAGCCAAGACTCCTGTCTGAAATTGCACAACAGTGGGAATTCACGATACAACGAGGGCTTGGACTATTTAGTCGAGAGTTAGCGTAGGTTTCCCGGCCGTTTGCTTCATGAGACACTCGAACTAACTTGGGCAGACATCCCGATCCGTTTTACCTCCGCAAGGAATTAGCTCCTAGCGATCTCGAGGGGATTGCGAGGCACAAGCAGCACGTCCACGACGTCTTATCCCCCCATATGCGCCTAATCCAGTTCTTCGGTAGCCATTTCAATGCCACGCGTCTGGGGAGTCCCGACATCCAGCGGATCTTCCTCCGACTGCTCGATTTTACCCTCCAAGCAATTCGGACGTCAACGTCGCATCCCATGGCTAGAGAGTTGAGGTATCAGATCGTTCTCTTCGGACTGAAGGTCCTCCGTTTCTGTACTACGATTGGATTGGTTGCTCAGTTGCGGCTGAAGGATCAGCTTCTCTCCGCCGGCCTCAGCTGGTTCAAAGCCGCGCCGAGATGGTCATATGGCAGCAACAATCTTCAACTGAAAACTGAACTTCGACTTCTTTCGGACGTTGCGGCCGCACTGAAACAGGTCTCGCATATTGCGACGGACAGCACCGGCAATACTCGTTCTCTCCAGGCCAGGGAACAGCTTTTGCAACTGCTCATTGAGAACGAGTACAATCGTCTCTCCGTTTGGGTTCACCCCCTGGAACCTCACAAAGCCCACACGCTCGGTCACAACCCTCATAAGACCTCAGTAGAGGTAAGGCTAGCTAGCTCCTATTGTCTTTTCGAGAAGTTTGCTGCTGACTCGACGTAGAATGCTATCGCTCCTCTCGTCAGGACTGCTTGGGCAGAAGATCCAGCGATCGCTATTGAACTGGCAACGATATTCCAGATGCCACGCATCCATAAGGAAGTTCGCTGGCTGCTTTTGAATTTTCCCGCGATAGCAGTGTCCGACCCAGAAGCCCTGCCCATTCTCTTAGACGGCGCGCTGCCTGAAGATGTCAGCTTTCAGTTGAAGGTAAGCCATCCACCAACTACACACACACACACACACACACACACACCAAGACCAGGCTGACAAGGACAGTACTTGCTATTCTGGGCTCCTGTAAACCCAGCCACGGCGGCAACGTACTTTCTGCCGGCCTACCGGAATAATCCGTACATGATACAATACGCGATGAGGGCGTTAGAGAGCCATTCCACCGACGTGGCCTTCTTTTACGTCCCTCAAATTGTGCAGACGCTTCGCTATGATGCACTGGGATATGTCGAACGATACATTCTGGAGACGGCCCAGTTTTCGCAGTTGTTTGCGCACCAGATCATTTGGAATATGAAGGCGAACGCCTACAGGGACGACGATGGGACAATCGTGAGACTAGACCCCCAAACCGCGTTGCCATCTTTAGGCCTACATGATACTGACAGTAAGACAGCCGGATGACATAAAACCGACCCTGGATACCGTCATGGAAAAGATGGTGTCGAGCTTTAGTGATGTTGACCGAGACTTCTACGAACGAGAGTTTGCCTTCTTTGATGAAGTGACAAGTATTTCAGGAAAGCTGAAGCCCTTCATCAAGCGACCGAAGCCCGAGAAGAAACAGAAAATCGAGGAGGAGCTGCGCAAGATCAAGGTAGAGGTTGGAGTCTACCTGCCTATCAGCTCGGATGGCGTTGTCATCGGTATCGACCGCAAATCCGGCAAACCACTACAGAGCCACGCCAAGGCGCCGTACATGGCGACCTTCCGGGTCAAGAAGAATAAAGCAGGTTCGGCACAGGGTGAGAACATGCTGGAAGAGGCAGGGAAGAGCGGCAATCAGCCCAAGGACGACCAGACGATCGAGGTTTGGCAGTCGGCCATCTTCAAGGTCGGCGACGATTGTCGGCAGGACGTTCTCGTCTTGCAGATGATCAGCGCATTCCGGGGCATTTTCCATAACGTCGGGCTGGAGGTGTTTGTGTACCCGTACCGGGTCACGGCCACTGCTCCGGGGTGCGGTGTCATCGAGGTGCTGCCCAACTCCATCTCCCGCGACATGCTCGGCAGGGAAGCCGTAAACGGTCTATACGACTACTTCATCTCCAAGTATGGCAACGAGGACTCCCTCCGATTCCAAAAGGCCCGCAACAACTTCGTCAAAAGCATGGCCGCCTACTCGATCATCTCCTTCTTGCTGCAGTTCAAGGACCGTCACAACGGCAACATCATGATCGACGACGCCGGTCACATCGTCCACATTGACTTTGGGTTCTGCTTCGACATTGCGCCCGGCGGCATCAAGTTCGAGCGGGCTCCCTTCAAGCTCACCGCCGAGATGATGGCCGTCATGGGCGGCTCCACAGATCACCAGACCTTCCAGTGGTTCGAGGAGCTCTGCGTGAAGGCGTTCCTTGCGAGCCGCCAGTACTGCGAGAAGCTGAGTCAGATCGTCCTGCTCATGATGGGCAGTGGGCTGCCGTGCTTCAAGCCGGAGAGCGTCAAGCACTTCAAGGAGCGCTTCGTCTTGGAGCGCAGCGAGCGTGAAGCCGCTGGGTTCATCAGGGACCTCATCCGGAAGAGTGCCGACAACTACTGGACTGGTATTTACGACCAGTTCCAACTTCTCACCAACGGGATTCCCTATTAAGCATGTCGCGTCAACCCTGATCCATTCTAAAATGCGACAGGTGAAGACCAGCTTAGGATTACCAACACCTTCTCCCATTCCTTCTGTCTGTTTCTATTTTCTTCTCCCTCTCTTACATTTGAGTAACCCGTTCAAAAACATATCCCTTTCAGACCTCATAGACGCAAACTGCCCCTTACTCCAGGAAATAATGCACCAAACAACACCCAACTAGCCATGTCACTTTAATTTCAGACCTACGTACGGACACCGTGCAAATACCCCTCATTCTAATCTACAAATTAGCAAGCGCCTGCGCCATGTGGCCTCTGGATACCTTCTTTGAAATGTCTTTTGCAAAGTAACTCGCCTCTAGGGCTTTCTGTCCAGGGGAGGGGGAAAAAAAAGAAAAAAAGGGCAATGATAGTAAGTGTCGAAGTCAAAGTCCATTGGTCGGATTCAAACTCCAGGGCACTGCGGGTCCTCCTGTTACGTGTTGATGTGAGTTTGAAAGTTATAAGTGGCATAATCGACGTGCACAAAGGCTCGATCGACGATTGGTACGGATTCGAGGAAGTAGGTGATAACCTCGCTGAGATCGTGACTATCTTTGAGAGGCATGTTGGCCGACAAGACGATATCGACCTCGACGAACAGCTTGTCGCCGGCGTGATAAGCGCGCAGATTCTGGATTTGCTTGATGGCAGTCGAGAAGCGCATGGTGAGATACAACACTAGAGGGTACGTTCATGTCAGAAAAAGAAAAAGAAGAAAGAAGAAGAAAAAAAAAACCCCAAATAAAGCCTGGAGTACGTTTCGGCGCCGCTGAAATATAGAGGAGGGTTACCCAATTCACTTACGTAGGTTGCGCTCGTCGGGAGTAGCAGAGAAGCCCGTCAAATTGCGGACGTGGTGCATTGAAGTCTGACTCCAGTTGATGATGACGATCAGAGAGAGGAGGAGACCGCCAAGGGCGTCAAACCACCAGATGCGGGCGTAGAAGCCGACGATGGGGAAGAAGATGGAGCCGGTGTTGAAGATCACGTCGGTCATGGCGTCGTCGCCCAAGGCGCGGACGCTCGAGTTCTTCACGAGGCGGCACCAGAGCCAGCAGGCAGCCTTGATAACGACAGTGCCAATCATGATACCTATAGCAGGGACGCCACTATTTGATTCCAGGGATTAGCATGTCATTATGGATGCCCCCCACCCGGAATAAGAATCGCGCGGAAACAAGTGAGCAACCACTAACAGTTGAATTATGGAGTGATCGGACGATGCGAGCCGTTGAATAGCCTCCAAGGCAACCTGGCAAAAGGAAGTGACCATGACTATAGAGAAGACAAGGACACCTATGGGTTCGAGGCGACCCCGGCCGACGGGATATCGAAATTGGTCATTCTGGCTCGCGGCTATAAGGCGTGTGGTTATCCAGACGATGGCAGTGCTCAGAAAATCGAGAGCGGCGTCGACGAGACTAGCAAGGACGGAGACGGAGGGGACGGAAACCACAACGAAGATTTTAGCCACCAAAAGGACGGCATTGGCAATCATATTGACCCAGATCGCCAAGGTCACGATGGGATCGCTGCTGTTCAGGCCGGCACCTTCGAGCCACGGAATTTCGGGCTTAGGATAATCGCCATTGGCTCGACCTTCCTCTTCGTCCCAGACTGCCTGGTCGCGATCCGTAGCGACAAGCAGGGGGGTTGTCTCAGTAGAGCGGAAGATGTCTTTCGGATTCCTTTTGAGTTTGTTGTTGGACGAGCCGCTCGGCGAGACAACACCCGTGGCACTGGACCCATCACCTCCGTCTGAAGCTCTAGTTGCGTTGTCCGCCAGACGGGATTCTTCGGAGATGGTGTGAGGAACGTCTACATGGCGGAACGCTGACGCGTCCAGGGATTGGGAGTACTCGTTCAAGAGCTCGTGAGGTACGGAGGAGTCCAGCAACTGGTCGATATACAGGTACATGCGGATGAGGTCGTTGTTGCGCTCGTAGTACTTCCGCAGGGGATTCGACATGGCCTTGAGCTGGTCCTGGGTTTTCCAGTATCTCTCCCACTGATACCGGGGGTTGCTGTTTCCGATAAGGCGCATGCTCCTCATCTGCGGGCTGAAAATAAGCTGGCTCAGGCGGCGCTCCTCGGAAGTCGGACGGTGGGGATGGACATCGTCCATGTCATGATCTCTGCTCCTGAACCAAAGAAAGGGCGTGGTGTCGTCGGTGTCGTCCCCATTTTGGTCCCTGTTGACGTCGTGCCCACGAAGGGCATCGGGTGCATGTAAGTGAAGGGCTCTGCCGGCCGTCTGGGCATCTCGTATACTCTTTATACTCGCGTTTGATCGGTTACGGATGAGCGTCGTAAGGGTGCCACTTCCGTGAGTAGCCAGGGGGTAGGGGTAAGGATCGGGGTCGGGATGGAGTACAGAAGAGAGCCTACGCTGCGACGAGGCTCTGGGGGAGCTCATCCTGCCTTCTCGAGGCGGACGAACACCGCTTCGCACCAGCCGATTTCAAGGAATTTGGAGGACTTCAGAGGCCAGAGGATGTCAATTGAGCCTTCCCCTGAAAAGAACCGTGGGTGACATGCAATTGGGAGCAATGACGGCGTGGTGCAGGTGAATTGAGACGACAGGGGCATGTTTTTGCTTGGCGGTAAGTTTTAGCGAGTCATTCTAGCCCCACTCCGATATGATTAATGCTTATCTGAACAATGGGGTACCTTACTTTGTAAGGTAAGGTACATAAGGTACGCGTACCTAGTGTACACGCACTGTTCAAAAGGTCTGTGCGAGACGTGGGGGCTGGTGGGGGCCGGGAAGCAACGGCCTAAGGGTGGGGTAGCCGGTGTACATAAGCTAAGTTGATTCCCATCCTTACGTACATCGCACGCACCTAACTGCGAACCCAGGAAGGTAAGGTACCTAGGCAATGTGATCTCACCGCGTTGAGTCACCAGTCCCCTGCATAAGGTAAGCATTACTCGGTACGGAGTAGGGAGCTAATATTTTCCCAACCCTATATGTACTCCAAGTAGGTAGCTTTATCGTTGGGGTTGACGCATTTGGCTCTCGTCAGCCCAAAGCCCCAAAGTCGGACCCAATCCCTTATACCAACTGCCAACGTTCCAGAGTACAACGTACTCCTTTGTTGCTATACACCGACATTTCACGTGTTTACTGAGGAATCTTGAAATTTGGTACAGAGGAGGTTCATCATGGTTGGTAGGTCCAAGCCCTCCCCCTTTTTCTCTTCGTCTCGGAGAAAGTTGTGTGTAACGTTTAATTGGTATTGGTACGTCTTCTCTCCTACTTCCGCATATCCTCTCTAAGGTATTGGACAGCCACATCAAAAACGGTGCTGACAAGTCTCGTTGTACAGACGAAAAACGAAGATCCACATTCTACTTCTACGTCTCCCAAGCAGGGGGCTCTATTTCCGGATCCCGACCCGGAGTCAGACGACGAGGACAACATGAACGTTCGAGGTGACACAGAGTCGGAAGGGACAGATGGACAGGCGGACGATTTAATTCTGGTAGTTGAGACCTCTCGCGACCTACCGCACGAGGGCGAGTTGCAAGAAGGCATGCTACCGCGCGATATGCCGAAACGCACCGCCTTTTACGACCCGGTGGACGAACGCCGGATGAACCAAGAGGATGCCAAGTTGTACTACCAGCGAAATCATATCGGACAGAGGCCGGGCGCTAGCAGCACTTGGCCTCTAACAACGCCGAGCGGAAGTCCCGTCTTGAACACCTCGATGTCAGCATCTCGCGACGGTGCGCCTTCTCTGCGGAGCATCGAACATGATGCCGAGGTCTCTACATGGACGTCGTTGCCTGGTCCTTCCACGGGCTCGACACAGCCTCAGCCGGGCGGCGTTTCGCCTTCAGTGTACCCTACGAGCATGGAAGGGCAGGGCTTAGCAACGTCATCAAGTACCCAAGATCTTCTAGCGCAGGCTGACAGAGCTGGAGGCTCTCGCAACATCGTCGTGCCAGTCGGCGACACCTTTTCCGCCTCGGACCCTCTCACCGAAGGCCTCTACGATGCGAATACCGATCCCGACGTAACGGCCGAACTCGCATCTATTTCGAAGAATGTGCAGGACATTTTGGATCTGCGGCGGAGATATATCGCGTCTTCGTTTCAAGGCCCGGACGACAACCCCAAAGACGACCCATCGTGGGATATCTACCCACCTCCGCCGGAACCGGCCTGGGCTCATCAGCATGCTATGTACAAGGACGGGACGACTCCAGGCAACAGCGCCCTGAACAGCCTACAAAACAGTGCCATCCTCGCAGCACCCTCTGCTATGTCCCCCCAGTCTTCGACCGAACCTGACACGGGATCCTCGAAACGCAAACACAAGAAACGGAAGCCCGGGCACGATGTCGGGGAGGACTTCGTACTGGAGGACGTCCTTCCCGTCCCTAGACCCACGGCCATGACCTTCAAGCTCGATGAGTGCGGTGTGTATCAAGTCTACGAAGACGCAGATGCAGAGAGCGAGGATCTCCCCGCTTTCCAGGTCCCCACGATTAGGGAATACTACATGGATCTTGACCGGCTCCTCCTCATATCCTCGGACGGTCCCAGCAAAAGCTTCGCTTTCCGCCGACTACAATACCTCGAGGCCAGGTTTAACCTCTACTCGCTTCTCAATGTGCAACTCGAGGCGGCGGATAGCAAAAAGGTCCCGCACCGCGACTTCTACAACGTTCGCAAAGTCGATACCCACGTGCACCACTCGGCTTGCATGAATCAGAAGCATCTCTTGCGGTTCATCAAAAGTAAGATGAAGAAGTCCCCGGATGAGGTCGTGCTGTTCCGGGACGGCCGTCACCTTACCCTTGCGGAGGTATTTCAGAGTATCAACCTGACTGCCTACGACCTGAGTATCGACACGCTGGACATGCATGTAAGTCTGAAAATAATGAACTTCTTCACCATGGGTGCGTCTCGATTGGAGACTGGGCGCTAATAAGCAGCGGCAGGCCCATACGGACTCGTTTCATCGCTTCGACAAGTTCAACCTCAAGTACAACCCCATAGGTGAATCACGGCTTCGAACCATCTTCCTCAAGACGGACAACTACATAAATGGGCGTTACCTAGCCGAGATCACAAAAGAAGTCATCTCCGACCTGGAGTCCAGCAAATACCAGATGGTGGAGTGGCGGATATCGATTTACGGCAAGTCGCTTGATGAGTGGGATAAGCTTGCGGAATGGGTTATTGACAACAAACTCTATTCACACAATGTGCGATGGCTGATCCAGATTCCCCGGCTGTACGACGTGTACAAGGCAACCGGTCTCATGGACAACTTCGAGTCGGTTGTCAAGAACGTGTTCCTGCCTCTGTTTGAAGTCTCCCAGGACCCGTCGAGCCATCCCAAGCTTCACATTTTCCTCCAGAGGGTCATCGGGTTCGACAGTGTGGATGACGAGAGCAAGGTCGAGCGGCGTCTGTTCAAGAAGTTCCCGGTGCCCAAGGCGTGGGATTTTAAACAGAACCCCCCTTACAGCTACTGGATCTACTACCTCTTCGCCAACATGGGCTCGCTCAACGCACTGCGAAGGCACAGGGGACTCAACACGTTTGTTCTGCGGCCGCATTGCGGCGAGGCCGGCGATAGCGAGCACCTCGCCGTTGCCGCGCTCTGCTGCCACAGCATCAGCCATGGGCTGTTGCTTCGCAAGGTCCCGCTGCTGCAATACGTGTACTACCTCGAGCAGATCGGCATCGCCATGTCGCCCCTGAGCAACAACGCGCTCTTCCTGGCGTATGAGCGGAATCCGTTCTACCAGTACTTCAGGAGGGGCCTCAACGTCTCGCTCTCTACCGACGACCCCCTGCAGTTTGCCTTCACGAAGGAACCCCTTATGGAGGAATATGCCGTTGCCGCCCAGATTTACAAACTGAGCTCGGTCGACATGTGCGAGTTGGCCAAGAATTCGGTCAAGCAGAGCGGCTATGAGAGGTCGATCAAGGAACAGTGGCTAGGGCCCGACTTTCACCTCCCGGGCAAGGCGGGGAACAGGATGGTAAAGACCAACGTCCCCGATCGTAGAGAAGAGTTCCGGTACCGGACGCTTCAGGACGAACGCTCCCTGTAGGTGGAATCTCTCGGCTGCTGGGTACGTGTTTATTTATGTCGTGCTTACTCTCGGAAACAGGATCGAGCGATACGCCAACCATAACCTCGCGGGCACCAGCGAGCCTCGAAGTCCGCCGCCTGTGCAACTCAGCACGGGTCAAAGTGCCCCTGAACAGAGTGGCCGTTGAGGGACATGAGACTGGTCTGATTAGAATCTCTGTCATCTGGCGTGTAGTTTTGCGTCCTTGTCGGAACCATTTTATGGCATGCGGGTGTGAGTATGAGTATCGATGTAGAGTTGTGCCTGGTTTTCTGCGCGCAGCTAGAGGGTAATGGATATCGGTTTCACGATAAGTGAAGTTGGCGTACCAGCCCTGAACAGTCGTATTTTATGACCAGACACGTAGTAGGGATGAAGCAGACAAACGTGGCACTGGCAGTAGATGTGTTTCTATCCATCTCGATTCGCTGGGCTTGAGCAGACAAGAAAACAGTCCGGGAGATTTGAACAGTGAGGCGCAATGGAGAGCCAGTAACGAAGCTCTGCCAGAGTCTGGATGAGAATGGAGGAACCAGCCCTCATATGCACGTTTCACGTCTTTAGTTCCACGTCTTTAGTCCAGTTTTGTGAACTCTCATTTCAAGCTGCTTTTCCATGGTCTCTCTACCCATACCCCCTAGTTACCTAGATAGCCACTGATCACCATCGAGCTGCTCATGTGTCTCTAGTCATCCAAGCATACCGATGCTGGTTGCCTTGGATACTAAGTGGCCATAATGGCAAAAGGCCATCAGCCCAGTGGTTAAAGAAAGCACAATAGCATGACGACGGACAAGAATGATGCCAGAAGCATGCCATCGCACATCCCATACTTTCTCGGTCTTCCTTTCTCTTCCAGGTAGAAACAAATCTTCCTTGCAAAGCGAATATTCGCTTGGCATGGTAGAGAATTCACAAGGGCACAAGCTAGATCCCCCGGGGGGGGGGGGGGGGGGGGGGGTAAAAAGCATCGAAGGAGGAGCAGCAAAGCAGCTGAGCGCCATAAAAAGTTCAACATGGTCTTCAAAGGTGTCTGTCTTGTTTTCAGACTATCAACTCGAGGACTTCTTGCTCAGGACATCGCCCACCACCTTCGCAGTGGCCCGCACAAGCAAACCATGCTCGGCGGCATGGATGCGGTTCTCGAGATCGTCCAGACTGTCGCCCTGGCGGCACTCGACCGTCTGGGTCATGATGGGCTCGCCTCTGTCCACCTCGATGGTGACGTAGTGGATCATGATGCCCGTGTGGTTGTTCTCGAGCTTACCGGACTGGAAGTCCTGGTATGCTCTTTCGATTCTAAAGGGGCCAGTCAGCATTAACGTCCGGAAAAGGGGGAAGAGAGAGACCTACGCATTTGCGCCGTCATATTTGCCTAAGAAACAGAAGAGCGGCAGGATTAGCATCTAATTGACAAGAGCCCAAGGAGGCTGCCTTCTCAGGGGCCAGTCATACCAGGAAGAGCCGGATGGAGGTTGATAACCGGGACCCCGGCAGCACCGACCGGCGTCAAGAAAGGCTCGCCAAAGACATGCATCCAGCCAGCCAGCACGATCAGGTCCGGCTTGTCCTGGAGGACCTTCTGGGCAAGGGCAGCATCATAACGAGCTCGGGATTCTCTCAGCTTGGCCTCGTCCTTTTCGCCTTTCTGCTGGAACCCGCCGGAGACCAGGTTGAAGTACTCGGACGGGATGCCGGCCTGGTGGGCCCTGGTCGCGGCGTAGGCGGTCTTGCGGTTTATGAAGACCTTCGTGATGCGGCTCCTGGGGATCTCGCCGGACGCCACGGCGTCGATCAGGGCTTGCAGGTTGGTTCCGTTTCCGCTGCAGAGGACGGTCAGGCGGCATTCGGCGTCGGCGTCGGCGCCGGTGCCGGCGCTGCTGACGTCAGGGTTGGACATGTGGTGAGTGCCCGAGAGCTCCGAATATTGGTGGTCTTTTTTCAAAAGTAAACACAGTTTTTTTTTTCCTTCTTCTTTTCTCCCCTGGCCCAAGTCCCAAGTAGCGCCCTGTGTGTCCTATGTCGATGGTTAGATGCTTAGAGCAAGGCGGGGTGGTGAGGGAAAGTTGGGACTTTCAAGGCGGGGCATGAAAAAGCTTTTTTTAAGAGCGCAGTAGCTGCTACATGACTGAATCTAAAACGACCCTACGAAGTATCCGTACATCTCTTGAGCTCACTTCACTTGGTGCGTCTAAGTTTGTTTTTGTGTTTTGCTTTTTGCGAACAATAAGCATAAACTACAGGCAGGGATAGAACTCATTAGGTACCTTATCCCAGGCCCTTTTTTCTACACGATGCATGGTCTCACGTAGTGGGGTTGAAAATGATCCTGAACAACCTCCAGGTATGAGGAAGATTGTCCGACTTTCGGTTCATTCTTCCCCCCCCAACAACGTCGCCGAATTCTGACCGGGGGAAGGGATCATGAATAATGTACGAGTATGCGTGTTTTATGTTGATGTTTCATCGTCTCACTTTGAATGGATAAGAAAGAAAATAAGGTATGTCATTCAATCTCACTCATTCTGGCCTCAGAGTGAGAGAGATCGAGTTGGTTGCTTGGATAGATTTGTTGATTAGTAAGTGCTTATTCCATCTCTCCCCGCACGCTTGATTAACCACTGCGATGGGGTAATCCACCAGGTTACGGCCGGTGACGACACATCGTCCCGATGTCAGTATACGTAGGACAAGGCGGGTGGTGTATTTGAGTGTCACTATCTGACTCTCTACACGTGTAGACTGGGCTTGACTTGTGATCTACCAACAGATGCATAGGCGTTCTTTAGCCCTTTCTCATTCGCACCTTTCATCGGCGAGTTCCCTAGCGCACTACAAGTCCATCTCGTGTCTCACCAGCCTTTAGGCGCCGGCCTCGCATAACAAACAGTATTGAAAGATCGAAAGAAAAACTCACCATTGACCATGAGTTCCCGAGAAGAGCTCCCCTCGTTGCTCCTTCTCCCTCCACCCCCAGCGCCGGCTTCGCGGGCTTCACTCAGTGCAGCGTACCAACCTTCATTACAAGCCGCTCTGGCGAAAACCAGAGATGAGGCCCGCCCAGCTACGTTATTCATTGCGGTGGTAAGCCCGGTATTGAGCGGGGCCGGTCCGCGGAACAAGAATCTTTCTTGGTTCCATGCTCAGAGCCTCTTAGCTGGGCTTTATAGTCTCATTGCGGCTCTATGCGCAGACGCTGGCATCCCCTGCGAAATGGGAGGCGGACCCGGGTCCGTGGACGCGCGCATCATCCTCGTCGATGACCATGAGCCGGAGGCAGGACACGGGGAGGCCGAGAACAAGACACAGGGACTCGTTGCTGTGGGCAACAACACCGCCGTGGTCGATTTGGCGACATTCGCCTGCGCCTACCAACCATGGAACTTGATATTCTACCCCGAAGGAGAGGCGGCCTACCGAGTCCGGGCTTCGTTTCTCAAGTGCGCCGAGGGGCGGCAGACCATGCTACGGAGCCAACTCGTCGCGGTTGCGAGCGGCCTGACCATGAACGACAAGGCGACGGGCACACCGGCAGCCACGAATACCGACAATGCGTCGGCTCAGGGAAATCAGGGAACGCCGCAGAGCTACGAGACGGTGTGTCTCGGGGGCACGTTCGACTACCTGCACCCGGGTCACAAGCTGCTGCTCACTGCGGGGACGCTCCTCCTGCGGATCCCGGAGCATGGGGCGACGAGGAGGAGCAGCCGCTTCATTGTGGGGATCACGGGGGACGCGCTGCTCAAGAACAAGAAATTCGCCGAGTACGTCCAGGCATGGGACGAGCGGGCATCGGCGGTGGTGGACTTCGTCTCCTCGCTCCTCGAGCTCCGGGACGAAGGGTGGGGTGAGACCTGGGGCCGGACGGGACCGGTCAGGTCGGTAACGCGGAGGGAACCGGGTCGTATGGAGGCCGAGTTCAGGGAAGGGAGGGTCAAGTTGGAGTGCGTGGAGATCCAGGACGCGTTCGGGCCCACGATTACGGACGAGCGCGTCGAGTCGCTGGTGGTCTCGGGGGAGACGAGGGCCGGAGGACAGGCGGTCAATGACAGGAGGAAAGGTCTCGGCTGGAAGGAGCTGGAAGTGTACGAGGTTGACGTGCTGGATGCGCAGGAGGCTTTTGACGAGGTCGAACCCCGGAATCGGCAGGACTATTCGTCCAAGATTAGCAGCACGGCGCTGCGACAACGAAGGGCCGATACCGCCGCGGCCAAGGGATAACTAGGCTGACTGTTGGCGGGATGGTGACAGTTTCAGCCAGCGAATTTCAACGGGTATAATATCTTGAATTCACTGACAAGTCCATATTCTAGGCGAGGTATCGTATCCATGAGTCTGGGCATCATCCCTTGAGCCAGTCATTTGGTGGTCACTGAACTGCCGTCTTCGGCAACGATTCAAAGCAACTTGGCAGACTGTGTTATATTATAATTAGTTATTATACGCCGTTCTCCGTGCCCGTTATTATACCGGCATTGATATTGTCAGATGCCACCACACACTTATCGGGGTGTGACTTACGCCATTTATGTACTCGGATAGAGTACTTCCGACCGATGTATCCATATCGATTTCCCCTCCTTTTACCTTATAGTTAGATATTTCCGCAGAGTATCTTTTACTCTTCTTTAATGCATATATATATCTTTTATGTACCTTATTTATATGCTAACAGTTATAAGCCCGGCGTTCTAATAAACGAAGCTATTCCAATAGATCCTGTAGCTTTAAGGCAGTCAAAATAACCTTAAGTCTATAGCGGTTAGTTTAGTATTATTAGCTATGTCCGCCTACTTTATTATAACCGTTATTTCGTTATTTAAAAATCGCTTAATCCCCTCTTATTTAAATTGCTTAACTCGCTTAAGTCCTATATCGTTCTATCGCTCCTTATTTAATCGGTCTATTATAGTCGGTTTCGATAGTTTATTTCCCTATAGTCCTAGTTAGTTAGACGATAGCCTTAACTACGGCGTTACCTATAATAGGCTATACGATTCTCACCTTACTAAAAGAATAGCGTTATTAGATTAAGGCTATTATACAGATGGCCTACGCTAACTAGGTCTCTAACCTTATTAATCTAGACCTTAAGAAATCTAAACGTCCTTAATAGCTTGAATCCTCGGAACCTCTAGAGCTAGAAGAAAGTGACGAAGATAATGCCTAGGATCGTAAGTTTAAGCTGTGGAACGTAAAAAAGAATAAATATTAGTAATAGTAATAAGGTTTAGCTACTCTTCACGACTATATCGCGAAGATAGTTAATCCTAACCTTAAAGATTAGTATACGGGGAAGAAGGAGGTTAAAGATATTCTAATCGCCCTAAAGGACTATCTTAAACCTACTAACGCTGCCTAGAAGTCCTTAGTTAAGAAGAGATAGGAAGAATATATATAAAATATACGGAGAATACCCTATAAGCGCTAGCTTTAGGACTTTATATCGCTATACCGAGATTCGAAGACCTATAGCGTTAGATCTTTCAATACTATAGAGGATTAATGTTAGGTGCCTGCAGTAGTGGTCATAATAGGTCCCCAGTATAAACCTATAGGGGTCCAGGCGTGCCTAGTCTAAGACCCCTCGAGGCATAAATAAAGCAGTTATTATACTAGTAAACAGAATAGTCCCTTGAAGTAAATAAGGCAGCCCTCGAGGAAGTAAATAAAGCAGTCCTCGAGGAGTAACGGAGTATAGTCTTAAGGAGCGGAGGAGCCTCCCCTTAGAAGAGGGAGGCCAGCGATTAATCTAACTCTTTAGCTACACCCACGTTCTAACCCTATTATAATCCTATTGTGATTATACCTGGTTCCTTACTTAACCCTACCTTTTCACTCTCTACGACTACCTATTTAATATTTTAATCGCTCTACCCTCTAAGGGCGCGAAGACCGTTAAGGAGAGTTACTAAGATATCTAACTATCACGAAATAAACGATCCTACCTTCGATTTCGATAAGGCTACTAGCTAGTTTAAGCGATAGCTACGCGATAGCGAAACCGCCTTTATAGAGGACGCCGACGAGGAACACGACGGGAACACGCCGGGAACCAATACTACTCCTATTACTCCTACCTTTACCACCGTACCGGCACCTATTCCTGCCCCTACACCTACTCCTATCGCTAGCACTACCTCTACTACTACCTTTACTCCTATCACCGTCCCCGTTCCTCCTATAACTACGACGGGACCTATATAGGATCCTAACCTGCCCCCGCACGTAGACGTTAACCCAGCTATACTAACGGATAAATAACTAGACGAACGCGTTAAATAGATAAAGGCATAGAACCACTGTAAACGTAAGCTTACTTATCTTACTAAGCTAGAAACGGATACTACTACTATCGCTACTACCGCTACCGCCTCTATTAATCCCGCTATCGATTCCTACTAGGCCGATATTATCCACTATCGTATAGCTAAACCTTAATATCGTATTATCATAACCCTAATAGGATCCTAGTATACCTATAATATATCCACAACGTCTTCTATACACGGGTCCGCTATATAGGCTAAGTTTAATTTCCCCTTACCTAAATAAGATAGCGTATCCTAGGCTAAGTATCGTACGTTTATCTAAGAAACGAATTAACGGTTTAACCTAGACTCTTAGTCCTTCCCCACGGACACTATAAAGAACTACTTTATTACATCGTGCTTCCCCCACCACCTTAAGGAACGCTAGTAGGCTAAACTACGATATAAGTACGATAGCGACTCTAATAGGGTTAGCTAGGCCGTACTATAGGCTTAGTTATTCTGTTAGATTAACGATAATAATACCCGCTTATAGGAGGTAGCGGTATAGATCCAGAGCGAGTCTATCTTATCTTAAAGAGAGGGCGAGTCCTATGCTAAGTTTATATAGCAGTAGGAAGCCCTAGAGTTAGAACTACTGGGCGAGCTCCCGGACTAATAGAGGATTTAGATAGTACTAATAAGGGTCTTCCTACCTATCCAGGACTATATAGTATCTATAGGGGTTCCTAAGGACTACTAAGACCTGGCCCCGGCCTACCGTAGGGCTAAGGCTTTAACTGTTAACGCCGGGCTGGCCGTTACTCGAGCAGACTTCTAGTCCACTACCTAATAACGTCGTTTCCGTTCGCGCGCCCTAGGACAGAGTACCTAAACGGCCACCTACGGTTTTACTAGTGTCCCCGCGTCTACCCCTATATTTACCCCTACGCCTGCTCTAACCTCTACTCCTAGCTACCCTATACGCCCTAGACTATTATCGTACCTCGACTCTATTACTTACTATAACTATAACTAAAAGGGGCACTACGCTACTATATACTCTAGCCCTCGGGTATAGCGTTCGAGTAATAATAACCCGAATACCTAACCGGTATCTATATCCCGCCCCACAGTTAGCTATATCACGGGTAAGGTGCCTTAGGAACTATACCCACCTCGGACTACCCCTATTACTATACTAGTAAAGACACACGTATCCCTTCGCCGAGGTAGGGGATAGGTGTAGACGTTAGCCCTCCTCGGTAAAGGCGCCGATATTAACGTACTAGATCGGTCCCTCCTAGGACCTAGTTAGGTCCCCGAGGGATCCCCGATCCCGTTATCCTGGATTACGGAAGGATAAACGAAGATAACTCTTAAGTCCCTCTATAGGATTATCACTACTACCGACTATTAGGATCGGAAGAAAATATAGCGCGTCGAGTTTCACGTTATAGACCTCGATCCCTAGGGCGTAAAGATTATCTTAGGGAGGCTATGGCTTATAGCCGTTAACCCTAACGTTAATTAGTAATATAGCACGTAGACCTATCCCTTAACCTACGTAGAGCTTAGTATAGTCACGTTACCGAGAGAACTACGTAGGGCAGTTAGATAAGCTAAGTCTATTCTTACTCTAACCTATATAGGTTCTACGCGGGTTCCACGTATCGGCTATATCGGCCTTAACGGCCTAGAAAACCCTTTAGTGGGATATAAAGATATATTCTTAAACGGGGTCTACCCTAGCCTAGACGAGGACCTAGTAGCCACCCCCACGCTACCGGAATAGTATTAAGATTTCGCTAATGTTTTTAACGTCGAAAACGCCGGGCGGCTACTAACGCACTAGTAATAGGACCACGCCGTTGAAATCGAGGAAGGGAAGAAGCCCCCCTACGGACCGATTTACCCTCTCGCCGCGCAGAAATTAAAGGTACTACGCTAGTATCTATAGGATACCGTTACAAAAGAGTGGATTAGACCGTCTACTAGTCCGGCCGGCGTGCCTATCCTATTCGTCCCTAAAAAGGGTGGTAAGCTACGCCTCTATATTAACTATAGAGGGTTAAATAAGGTAACCGTTAAGGACTATACCTCCCTGCCCCTAATCCACGAAATCCTAGATCGGTTATCGTTAGCGTAATACTATACTAAGCTAGATCTTAAAGATACGTATTATCGGTCACGGATTCGGGAGGGCGACGAGTAGAAAACGGTATTCCGGATAAAATACGGCTACTACGAATACCTTATTATACTATTCGGGTTAACTAATGCCCCCGCGAGCTTTTAACGGTATATTAACTAGGCGTTAACGGGCCTTATCGATACTATCTATATAGTCAACCTTAACGATATCCTTATTTATAGTAAGGACTTAGTTACCTACCGTGTGCACGTTCGCGAGGTCCTTACGAGGCTTAGGCAGTGGTCCCTATATACTAACCCTAATAAGTATAAGTTTAAGACTAAAGACGTTAAATTCCTCGGGTTTATCTATAGTCTAGATAAGGTATATATAGACCCGGCCCGCATTAAGGCTATCCGCGACTAGGAACTCCCTAACAGTGTTAAGAAGATATAGGTCTTCCTAGGCTTTACGGGTTTTTATAGGCGTTTTATTAAGAATTACTTTAAGGTAGCCGCCCCTTTTATAGACTATCTTAAAGGGGGACCCACTAGGGGCCACGCCGGGATTATAGTATTATCCCCGCAGGCTTAGTCCGCGTTTAAGGAGATAAAGCTACTATTCCAGAAAGCGCCGGTCTTACGGTATTTTAACCCCGCTCTGCTAATATATATTAAGCCCGACGCTTCTACTTTTATAATTAGGGCCGTTATTAGTTAGCCCGAGGATAGGCTCTAAAGACCCGTTACATTTATATCTCGTAAGCTCCGCGACGCCGAGCTTAATTATAGCACACCCGATTCTAAGCTTATAGCTATTATTAAGTCTTTTCGGACGTGGCGGCATTACGTGGCCTATAGTTAGAGCCCTATAGTAGTCCTAACAGACCACCTAAACCATTAACACCTACTTGATAAGCCGAAGCTTAAGGGGTAGCACGCGCAGTAGCTTAAGGAGCTCGCCCCATTTAATTTTAAGATTCGGCACCGCCCGGGGATATTAAACCCCGCGGATAGGTTATCCAGGAAGCCCTAATATACGCCCTATAAGCGCGC